TTGAACAATTCCTTAGTAGTTTTGCCACCGAGCCAATACAAAGTTTGAAATTCCCCTTAGTAGTTTTCACACAGAAGCATAGTAGTTTTGCGGCAGAGCCAATATAAAGTTGTGACATCGTGCTTAGTAGTTTCACACCGAAGCATGCTAGTGTTGCAGTGGAGCCAATGCAAAGATTGACATCGCCAACGGCCAGTGAAGCATTTCATCTTGCAGCTGTGATGTGCCACCTGCCGTGACGGCACATGTGTTTCTTCCTAATTCAAAGGGCCTTTCCGGCCACATGTTGGCCCCCCCCTGCACCCCCCGGAATCAAGGTTGACGAAAATGTCTTGCTGTGAAGACCTGACGCTTTGGAAGTTGGCTGCTGCAGTGATTAACACCAGGAAACAACATTGATCCTGGGGGTGCGGGGGGGGAGCCGCTGCTGTGACCCTATACGTGGGGCCTCGTGCTGTGTGTGCAAAAGGTCTGAATTTGGGGTCGCTAACGGACGCTGATTTCAGCCCTCTTCATTGAGGGCCCTCCTTGTGACAACACAAACCTGCATGATGTGGAGAGATAACCAGCAGTGTTTTTCCATAACAGTGTCATAACACAAACCCACATGATTGGACGGCTCATCATCATTGTTCGGTCTTGCCTGCTCCTCACAGGTCGCCTCTCCTCGATGTTTTTTCCTGGACGCAGCCATATGAATCAAGTCTTGCCGCGCTGACTGCATGCAACAGCAATATAGTTTTTGTTTTTTGCATGAGCCAGACATGAATTTGTATGCTTTGAAATGCCGAGGCCATGCTTTGGCCGCCCTCATTAGGTCATCTTCCTTGCTTCCATTCGAATTCAGCTGTATCAGACAGCATTGGTTTGACATGACACGAATGTTTTCAATGAGTCTGCCGACAGATAGTTTTTCTGCGGTCAGTCATGCAGCCGCCCTGTGGTGTGGCCGAAGGCACATCTGATGCCAGGGTGTCAGACTTGAAGGAAGCCTTGGTGCAGAACGGCAAAGCACTGAAAGCGGCTTATCGGCAGAATGCCAAAAAACGGAAAAGGTTGCACTGTGCCGGCCTTGGAGTGGCAGCCCGCAAAATTGTGGTAGCTGTTTACATGCTGTCGAATTTTAACATGGATTTGACTCTCCGCATGGCTTGTGCTTTGACAACGATATCCTATGGCAGCAATGGGTACCCACGGCAGCTTTGATCCAAGAGATGTTGCTGACGACGCCGCTGCCAGATTTGACCGCTTTGGATGACACAGCTTCACGCAAAGCGCAAGCCTTCCTGGCCGAAGCAGCCACGGAGCAGTGGGTCTATGACTGCAATACGAATCATTGTCAAGCACCTTCTGCGATGGACACGTTTTTGAAGTGGGAGGAGGCCTTCCATGGCCAGAAGCTGGACATGGGTGTGCCAAACAAACGCATGGTCAATAAGTGGGTGCAGCGCTGGCGGGCTCGGTGGGGCGTCCGCCGGAAGGTGCTGAAGCAAGTTGTTAGCAGAGACCCCGCTGTACTGCGCGACAAGGCGCGGGCCAGCCAACTTACAACATTTTGTCTTCTTTTTTTGGGTTGGGTGGCTCCATTTTTGGGGCCGGAATGTGGCCCCAAAAATGGGTCCCCCTCATGTTTCATGCCTGTATAAGCCTACTTAATCCCGGTTGGGCGGTCCCATTTTTGGGGCCAGAATCTGGCACCAAAAATAGGCCCCCATTTTCAATCAATTTCTTCCCTCGGAATTATATTTGGGGACCCTATATATAATAAGGCTTTGTCTTTCACTTCCTGCAACGCTCGAGCAGGTCATGACATTTTGGCGGGCCATCTGCTATTGCCACAGCAGGCTCGCAGACAGGGAGCTACTTTTTATAAATCTGGATGAGACTAGCGTCGGCCACACCATGACACCGCCTATTGGATGTGTGGCAAAGCCACGGACAGCAGGTGGCAAACAGCCGCATGCACAGGTGCTGAAGCAACATGTTCGAGGTGCGTGGACTTACTTATGTCAGCGTGATTTGCAACTGCAAGCACATCCAAGGGAAGTTGCCTCATTTTTTCATTGGCACCCAGGTGAAACTCACGAAGAAGCTCTTGCGCGCCCAGCGCGCTTTGCCACAAACTCGTTTGCGTGTTTTGCGGCAAAAGTCCGCTTGGACCTCTGCTGCCAACAGTGCCCAAATTCTCAAAGAGATCGCAGAAGTGCTGAAAAGTTTTCCGTCAAAACAAGGCGTTGTACTCCTTGATTGTGCGCCGGCACACCTGCCACGGCAGGTCATGGCAATGGCACGCAAGTGCAAGCTGCAGCTTGTATATATCCCAGCGCAGACAACGGATTACCTACAGCCGCTTGATCTGCAAGGCTTCTCCCCTTTTAAACAATATTTGAAAAGGAAGCACCAGGAGTTGCGCTCATATTCAGAGCACGGTTTAGTGCCTCCTCTGGCCTGGCTATGGCAGTGCATGCAAGCCCCTCACGAATTTTGGGCAGCTCGGCAATGGCAGAAAAGCTTCGATGCAGTGGGCTGCAATGGCCCAGGTCAAGTGCACAAAGCGCTTCAACACTTGATGGGTGCAGGGGTGCCTTGGCCTGGGCCTGACAGGCCGACACCCCAGCAGATGCAGTGCGTTTGGCCAGCGCGACGCCAAATGGCGCACGCGTATAAGGTTCTTTTTCTTTGATGCTGCCGCTCCGGGTGGATCCAACAGATTTGCAGACGTGGGTGGCACTATAGGACAAAGATTTTTTTTCCATAATACTATGGGGGTACATGGTACGGGAGTCCCTTTGGCATCACTTTTCAAGCCCCCAGTTTTGGGCCCCCACCGGCCATGTTTTGTCACACTATCTTCCAGTTGTGCAGTTTGAGAAAATTGGCATGGAAGCTGTCCAGACGGCATGGCTTCTGCAGCTAGCACGGCTCACAGCTCGTCGCAGAAAACACAATTTGACTATATCTATAGCCATGTCGTCTGCCGCCGCTGGTATGGAAAGGGATGCTGCGGAAGGTGCTGCTGTAGCCCATGTGCCCGGGATGGATGACCGTATAGCTGCTTTGAAAGCTGAAAGGCAGGCCTTGAAACGCCAGCTGCAGCAAACCAGTCGAGAAGTCAAGGCCCAGGCTGGTTCAATTTCATCCTTGTGTGCCATGTTTGTGTTGGTGAAGCTGTATTGACATTCCATCGTGCCACTTGCACCTTCATCTTTCCCATCTCAGGTTTTTTTTGGTGAAGCTGCATTGCACCTGCATCGCACCACTTGTACTTTCAATCTTTTTGTTTCAGCTCTGCGCCGGGAGAAAAAACGACGCAGAGTCCTGAAATCGGCGGGCAAACTGAGCACCCAAGACCTCTCGTGGCTCCTGGCCTTCAAAATGACCCGTCAGCAGTAGCAGCTTCTTCAAAACTATATGTCTCACTGAAGCACTTGTGATTGCTGTCTCCCGAGGAGTCAGCAGCAGCTTCCTCAAAACTATATGTCTCACTGAAGCACTTGTGATTGCTGTCTCCCGAGGAGTCAGCAGCAGCTTCCTCAAAACTATATGTCTCACTGAAGCACTTGAGACTGCTGTCTCTAAAGGAGTCAGACAGGAATGTGGTGAAGTCACACGCGGCAGGTTACCTAACGACTGCTGTCTCCCAAGGCATCAAAAACACGTTTTTGCGTGCTTTGGCACCTGTTTTTGCTGTGGCACCAAAAAACTACTAAGGATACTTCCAACCATTTTCGCAGACTTTGCATTGGCACGGCAGAGTCACAGCTCATGCACGCATGAAAAACTACTAACCCGTGAAATTGAAATCACAATGACTTGGACGCAAAACTACTAAGGAATTCTGCCAATTGAAAAGAAATAGGAGAAAGTGTTTCCTTTTTTGTCCATTGAACAATTCCTTAGTAGTTTTGCCACCGAGCCAATACAAAGTTTGAAATTCCCCTTAGTAGTTTTCACACAGAAGCATAGTAGTTTTGCGGCAGAGCCAATATAAAGTTGTGACATCGTGCTTAGTAGTTTCACACCGAAGCATGCTAGTGTTGCAGTGGAGCCAATGCAAAGATTGACATCGCCAACGGCCAGTGAAGCATTTCATCTTGCAGCTGTGATGTGCCACCTGCCGTGACGGCACATGTGTTTCTTCCTAATTCAAAGGGCCTTTCCGGCCACATGCGGCCCCCCCCTGCACCCCCCGGAATCAAGGTTGACGAAAATGTCTTGCTGTGAAGACCTGACGCTTTGGAAGTTGGCTGCTGCAGTGATTAACACCAGGAAACAACATTGATCCTGGGGGTGCGGGGGGGGAGCCGCTGCTGTGACCCTATACGTGGGGCCTCGTGCTGTGTGTGCAAAAGGTCTGAATTTGGGGTCGCTAACGGACGCTGATTTCAGCCCTCTTCATTGAGGGCCCTCCTTGTATATATATATATAATGTTTTTGTCAAGAGACATCTCATCTTCAAAGTGTCCAAATATGTCCAAACATTTCCAAACGAAGAACGTATCCACGCTGGCACCAAACACACAAATTCTGTATCTTTTCTTCACATTGGGCAACAAAGCATCAGGGTCGAAGAAGTTCAAGACGATCCTTCCAAAAAGCATCAGGGTTTCCAAAGCACATCTTCATTGGTTGTAGGATGTCGTAGGATTGATTTTCTCTGAGTCGCAATTGGAGAGATGAGCGAGTGACTTCATATTTTGAGTCCGAACTCTTTTTTTTGCCAAAACTTGAGAAGGAGACAAAGTTGAAGGAAGTTTCGAAAATGCACTCACAGAAGCTTGGGGAGGACCCGATCGCATACGAACTGATCAGCGGATGAGCTCGAGAGTCAAGCTTTTGAACTTGAATTGTGAGCACTGGGCAACATTCGCATTGAGCAAAGCTGTTTCAATCAGGATGAATAATTGTCATTTAGATGATGAATAATGCGCATGCAGGACAATCCAAAGGCGATAAACTCCAAGGCTGAGCTCGCAGTTGTTCTGCAAGACTTGGATAAGGAACAAGAAGCAGCTCAACTGTTGAAACAAATTCTGCGAGAACCACATAGACATGACCCGGGCATCGATTTCGTTAAAGATCGTGCACCTAGCTCTGGACCTGCTGCTGTGGAGGACTGTGGTGTTTTTCCGCTTGGTTTTCTTGTGCAGCGATTTCCTATTTAGTGTGGGCGAAGCCAGTCCGTTCCATGCTAAGTTTTTGCAATGAGGACTCAGTCATGGATGACAAGCAGAAATTCACCTTGCACTTCGTCATGAAAGAGCGAGCACACGCCAACACCCAAGACACCAGCGACATTAAATATGAAGGCAGGATTCGATCTGGAGCCTCTACTTGCTGGATCTCCTTTCCGGGCAAATTTGCCGCAGGATGGGATGCTTTGGTTGCTGAGTTGCATGGTGATAGCGTGGCCTGCGTCTTCTTGAGCACGCCAGAATCTGGCTTAGGCAAACACCATACGTTCGAAGATGGAAGTTGCTACTGCAAGGATATTTACGGGGAGAGGGACTTTCAGACTTTCGGTTACTTGGTAAAGATGAAAGAACTTGACAGCGACAAGTTGAAACGCGAACAAGAAAAGGCGAAACTGACAAATGCTGTCATTGTTCCTGCAAATGCCACACCTGAGATGGAGGAGATGTGTAGACAAGAGGCGAAGAGGAACTGGGAGATGAATGGCAAGAGGGCAGCGTGGGGATGTCAATGGTTTCATGTTTGGAAGGAGAAGGCGCAATCCAGTGGCAAAACATGAGCATGTGCGACTATTTTGAGTGCGTTTTTTTTTTTTCTCTCTCTCTCTCTCAGTATCTTCTTGTGTGTGTGTGTCTTCAGCTTTGAATGTTGAGGTTGAAAGCTAGGTCCAACAAAACACATTTAAAAACCATGTTGATGTGAGCGTGATGCATTGTGATTTGCATCCGAATGGCGCATCATTGCGCTATGTTATGTGTATCTTCTCCCAGACATGTTGCGCCTCAATTATGATTTGCCGTTGGGATATCATACTGTATGGTATACGGTATATGGTATACAGGTGATCTTCATATGAAATCGCTGTGTTTGTCAGTCTGTTCTATTGTGCAATCTAGTGCAAGAGCGTTGTAATGCCGCAAAAGCGTCTGTTCAGTTGCTGGGGGTATCGCAAAGCACCAGCGCGACGGGCGGTGTGATAGCTGAGCTGGCCGGTAAAATCCAGCTGTTGGAACAACTTCCACAAAATCCAGAGGTGGACTATACACTCAATCTGTATCAATCTGAAATATGATATGATATGTGTCTATAACATGGTTTAACATTGTGTAGTCAATTTAAGCTTTCAGGCTGACTCACCCAATACACAACTGTGCAGACCACTTCGCCAATTATGTTGAACGCATTTTACATGAACTAATGCTTGGCCTACGAAACCAAACCTTTGCCATCCTTTGCATCGTTTCAGTTTACTCTTTTCAGATTAGCATGGTGCAAGGTTAGTGCCAGTGCAATCACGACAGCTTCACAAAGTGACATAGCACCGCTTGTGTTGACATGTATTCAGTAAGTAAAACTAGAAGGCGCAGAAAGCTACCTCTTGAGCCTCTTGCCACTGCAAAATAACAGAGGTCACAGTCAGAACCCGCTACCATGTTCCGATGGCCAATTTGCACCCTGTCTGGTATATTCTCATTCTAAAGAGAGATGATGCGTAGGGTCTTAGGGCAGCCTTTTCTTGCGTTGCGCCAAATCGACTGGCCTTAGTTCCGGACCCCCACAACCCGCGTCGATAGCAACCGCCATCGAGTTTTTCGCCAGAAATCTTTCAGGGAGGTCAAACAATGTTAATAAGGCACTTTTGACCTAGACTGTTTGTACCTTAATTGGCTAACGATAGAAGGCATTTTTACTGTCACTTCTACATTTCGACTCCAGAAACTTGTTCCATCAAAACCCTTCAAGTAATTAAACAGCGTAAAACAGCACCCAGGGATACCCAGGGTATGGGTTGCACACCAGCTACGAAGACTGGTTGTTGCAGAAGGGTTCTTCATTCATAAGAAAACACATTTCAATTGCGGGGAAGAACAACAGGCTGTTTTAGGACAATCACTGTTCATGGCCTCACACTAACCTTGAAGATGCACGAAGCCGTTGAGAAGAAGCAGACTCTCAGAGTTGTGTTTTTTCCTGGCCAAAAGGGCCAAGGAAAATTAATGCTTCGAGAGCTCAAGTACAGAGACTTATGGGATGGCGTTGGCTGCGGCGGAAGCCAGAAATGTGAGATCGCATATGTAGAACACATGCGGGCTGAGCATGGCTCGGCGTGGGACTATGAGGAGATTGACGTAACCAGGTTTTTGGAGAAAGAGTTCCCGGTGCATTCCACGGTTGATGCCAAGCATGGCAACAGGTGGAGAACAGGCGTGCTGTTGATGACTGTCCCAAGTTTTGACGATGATGTAGTGACAAGGTCGGCAGAATTAAAGTGGATTGTTCAGTGCAAAGAGACACAACAAATCTTTGTGTCGAGGCACATTCGTCACGCAACAGAAGCAATTCACAATTTGCTCGACACCGGTCGCCATGATTTTTTGAAAAAGGCCTTGCAAAGTGCCATTCCCAAGGGGATTCAGGCAGAATTGCCCTATCAAACAAGACTGCCACATGGTACCCCATCGATAGCTTTCAATGTGAAGACCGACAAGATTGAGATCGCTCAAATGCTGCGGGATCAAGTTCTCAGTGGTGAGTTGAATTTGAACATGAAGCAAGCTTTGGCACAGGATCCTCATGCTAGATCAGAGATTCACGTGGACCAGTCAGAGTTTCTGGACAGCTATGATAGGAGTCTGCAGAGGCTGTCAAAGCTTACTCAGCATCAGGAACAGAAACTGAAGGAGCTGAAGCAACTCGACAATCAAAACCTGCACCTAGCTGCCCCTGCTGGGGCGGGTAAAACATTTCTAGCGGTGAAATACGTGCTGGAAAAGCTCCAAGCAAATCCGGAGGGTCGTGTTCTCTATGTTTCCCCTTGCATTTCCCTTGGTCTTTATTTTTTACGATGGTTGGCCAGATGGCAAGCTGCAGAAACAGTGGAATCAACCCGTGACGCAATGAAAACCCTGATGCGAAGGGTCATCATGCTTCAGAAACCCTATGAAGAGTTTGTTTTCTTGAGCACTCAAGGCGATCAGATTTTGCAGACTTCGACCACGCCAGTGTCATTGAACGAGAAGTTCTTCTTGGCAGTGTTTGATGAAGGTCATGAAGTTTTTAGCCACTGCAGGAACATTTCAGAGCATGTCAGCTCAGAAAGCACACTTTTGCTCTCAGACACTTCTCAGTGTTCTGATATGAATGTGAACATCAATTACCCAAACATCAAGTGTGTAGCCCTGACGGAGGTTGTAAGGAGCACCAAACGTATAGTTAGAGGAGCAGCCGCATTTCAGATCCTGAGTGAAGAGCAACAAGCGACAAGTCTTGGCACAGATGGCCCACCGCTAAAAAGTTTTCTTTTTCAGAGTGCAGATGAAATTACGGCTAGTGGGTACAAGAAGGAATACTCCGCATTCGTCATGAAGGCCTTCTCACATGCGGCTCAATCATACCCCAACCTGTGCAGTTTTGACAATCGTATTGCTATCCTGGTCCCAGATGACAGATTTTTGGAATCTCTCAAAGGGCCTTTGCAGACAGAGCTGGGCCATTCGTTCAGACATCGAAGCTTTCGGTTGGTTTCGTTCAAAGAATCCCTCAGTTTCCTGCCTACATACTCATCTGAAACAAAAGATGAATTGATCATTCTGGATACAGTTGACAGAAGCAGAGGGCATGAGGCCTTAATGGTCATTTGTGTTGGGCTCGACGAACCGATTGAGGGTCAAGGCGCCAAAGTGGACTTGTTGACTCGGGCCAAGCTGTATGTCGGGATTTCCAGAGCTCAATTCATGGTTATGGTTGTCAACTGCCATGTGCCTGGTGGGTGGTTGGAATTTTTGGCCAAACTGGAATTCAAGGAAAGCAAATTCCAAGAAGCATCTGGACGTGCGGAGATTCGAACGAATGCAGCTGTGGAAACTCTGAAGGTGTCTCGTCGGACAAGCGATGCTATTGTATGATACGATATTGCTACCCTATTGTTCGACCAGCAAGTTTATGATTTGCAATAAGTTTGCGGGGTGCCAAGAATATACAAGCGCCGTATGATCAGAAGCTGAGTATATAAACCAAAATCATTCAGTAGAGGATGAGGTCCTTGGTATGGATCCTTCATGCTTTGTCCTTTTGGGTGCCCTTCTACCTTGGCCATCTCTGGTTTTACTTGCAAAGGGCTATGGAGTAACTAAATTCAAGTTCAAGTCCCCAAACATCCCCAAACAAGCGACGGAGAAACACTTCAAATTATCTAACCTGTGAGTTTGCTGCTCTTGCAGGCATTTGTGATGCCAAACCCTTCGCATGTAACAGTTCGCGAAAGCGGACATGGTGCCGATGAACCAAAGCACGATAAGGCAACTGGGCCGTTTGCAATTTGGTGTCAGCAAGCCAAGTTTTAGAAACATTCTAATAGGGGCTAATCATGCATGGGTGCCAGGAGTCTAAACTGCTGGAATTACACCTTCCTTCAACGAAACACCTTAATGTTGCAGCTGATGATATTTTTCTTCTTCCAAGTGACAACACATTTTGCTGCTGGAGGACACCAAACCAGAGAAGGGGCAGGTGTGGGAGTGAGCCGAGAAAAGCAGGGAGAAAGAAATGTTGGTTGGATGAGGTTTGTTACACACATATGTCAGGACTCACATATGGAACAATCTTTGCAAAATTCAGGGATGCGCATTTGCATGCACCCAGTGCTCCAAAGCTCGCTGAATTTTGCCAGGACCTGCCTGAACAGACGGAGCTCAAGGTACTCAAGAGCTCTGTGTGGGATACGATCATTGACAGCAAGATCGCAAACCAGATTCACCATCTCCGATTTGACCCCCGTGCCGAGGCAGGGCCTTTGTCAAATCCTGCACGACTAGACAAACCGACATGACAACTTTCCCGCACTTTTGCTTGTGAACCTGCCATGTGGGGAAGGAATAGAGAGGAATGAAAGGGGTCGTTGCAGATAGTGTTCCCAGGTAGATGTTCTGGGTTTTGCAAATAGTTTTTGAATGTTTTGATATGTTATGTAGGTACTTGTAGGGACTAAGACAGGCAGAGCTTCTTCGCACAAGCAAGTTTGAATCAAAAGGATTGCTGGTGTTATCGCTGATTGGTTGCGACCAATGAGAAGTAACCGATGCATGCTGATGAACTGATATCATTGATGCATTTGGCCCTCCAACTGACAGCCTAGGCAACAACCCCAGCAGAAGCTGATGCAAAGGCAGCCGCCAGTGTTGTTTTGGCCATGAGCCATGATCCGCTCTGATGTCGTTGAATGAACGCGGACCCTGCTGATCCCTTTTGCATAGTGACTATGTCATAGTGACATAGAATACATCGATATAAATCAAATATATAATTGCAATTCTGCCCCCCAGTATAAAATGTGATCGTGGCATCTCAACCACTTACTGACCATTTTTCTCCGAGCTTCAGGGAATCATCCCAGCATGTAGTTAGGAAGACATGCGCATGAATCAACACAGCGCAAAATGAGCAGCTGTGAATGTTGACAACCCATTCTCCTTCACAAACACCCCCCAAGGCCTGGTGGAATCTGGACGAATCTGGTGTATTTGTTGACTATCTGGTCCCAGAAAATTTGGTGGGGGTGAGTGTCATTGATCTTCAGATGATTTTCCAACATTTTCCCTTGAAACATTGGAACTTCCCAGCCAGCCAGTTTAGAATCCCAGGGAATGATTCCCAGAGGATATGCAACTAAGCACTCACCAAAGGTTTACTGTCGAATCTGTCCGAGTATCCGATTATTCTTGGTTAATCGCCTAGGCTTGGCTGTTTCCATATGGGTTTTATAATGTCTTATCACCACTTCATGTGTGGTTTCTCTGTTGTTCGATGTTGAACCTGGATTTTTGGATAGTAAACAAGGCTGCAACAACCGTAGTGGTAATAATCCAAATTTTGATGGCAGAATCTCCGTTTTCCACGGTCTAAATCCTTAACTTTGATTTTGCTATAGTCAAATACAGTAAATGCAACATCTCGCAGAATCTCAACTGTCAAATGTCAACTCCCAACCTTTCCTCGTCAAATTTTCATTTGTTGCTGTCTGATGGATCTCCACGCACTGTGTGGCCCTAGCGTTTCCAGAATAATGTTGTCGTTGAAGACGGGCTGGTGATGTTGGCTCAGTGGATTGCAATGCTTTCAACCCAATAGCAAAACCCTGAATGGGTGGTATAATCCATCCTCAAATGGTGGGTTTATGGTCTTGGGTTTGCCACAGTGTCAACAGTCATGAACATATATCAACGTCATGCATGGCAAATTGCCAACGATATTTTCAATTTCTTCGCCTCACATCTTGGTAGTGGTGACATATGAGTTGTTATCGAGTTCCCTGAAGTTTTTCATGGCAACATCCAAAGTGTGCACACAATTTCGGGAGCTGTGACACCAGGAAGATCCGGAAGATCAGGACGATTCAGAACAAGTCGAAGCCGACGAAGCGGCAGCGGCGAAATGTCTGGGCCTCAGTCCTTACTGACTATAGATAGAACTTGATTCTACCTCAGGTGAAGATCTGGAAAAAACGAAGTCGCACTTCAAGTTCCATAACATGAACATCATGAACTTAAAAGTTCAATAAGTTCAGTTTCTAACTTATAAGTTCTATATCATTTCAATAAGTAGCAGGCTTGTACTTAGAGAAAACAACATATAAAGATCTAAGTAACTGAGGAACTTCATTTCTGATTCATTTCTCCGCGCGCCGAGACGCCAACATCGCCGTCGCGGCGCGCGAGGGCGACCTGGCGGCGGTGCGGGGCCACCTGCGCCGCGACCGGCGCTGCCTGGACCGACTCTTCGAGGTCCTGGGGACGCGCGGGGCCGCGCTGCACTGGGCAGCAGCCAACGACTGCACGGCGGTCGTCGCCTTTCTCCTGGCGAAGGGCGCGGCTGTGGACGTCGTGGCCAGCGGCGGCCCGGGAGCTCAGAGCCGCCGGGAATCGCCGGGAGCGGCAGCAGGTGGTGCCTCCCCGCCTGCGGTGCTGAGGTCTCACTCCGCTGCATTATACAGCATACAACGGCCAAGTGGAGAGCGCCAAGCTGCTGCTGGCCGCAAAGGCCTCGGTGGACATCAAGAACAACTTCGGCTGGGGGCCTCAGCCGATATCACAACCGTTTTGAAAACAGTTTTTCACCGGCAATCACAATAATAGTTGCAGTTCAATGAATGTGGCATGTCTTAATGACTTAAAAATATGAATTTTCAGGTTCTTTCAACTTTCAATGGGCATGGGATTTCACATGATTTCGCTAGATTGCTCATCTCAGGTTCCCGTCTTCAAAGTTCCCTTGAATTTCAAGAGCCGTGATTTTGGGGCATGTCTCTGTCGCGATCAACGCAGCACATTTTGCTGAAACAGGTACTTTTGGAGTTCATCCATGTCTTTGGCATTTGCAGAGGGGATTCTTCTTGGATACCCGTGAGCCAATGTGAACAATGGCCAGTGCGAATGTTGATCACTTGAAATGAGATGTGATATATTGGAAGGGGTCAGTTCGAATGTCAGCTGTGGTTCCCAGGCAAAACGCCTTTGGATTTCGCGAGAGACAGGGGCCGCACAGAAATCGTGAACTTGATGACGGGCAACGCCTCTGGGCTCCACGGGTGGGGCCCAAAGCACTGCAATGTCACAATGGTATAGTAGGATATAGTAGGTGTGGGAATGTCAGCAGATGAAACCTGGTGAAACTGCTGGCACTGGTGGGGATGAACGCATGAAACGGGGCGGGGATAGTGTGAGTCCATACAAGGGATATTTACACATTCGATTTTGGACACATGAATCATGAAACCCATTGCCACATCATCATCACAAGCCACTGGCCAACAACTGAGCAAGGCTCAACCACGAATCTGATTAAATCAGCAGAATTGAGCCGGGATCCAACATGGAATTCTTTCGGTTGAAACGCCGTGCCACCCATTCAATTTCTATGACCTTCAAGAACAAATCAGATTATCAGATTAAGCATGGACAGAACAGGTATGTTGTTATGCGTTTGACTATCTTCAACAACACATGACATATCCTAAAGATCACCGATAGCAGAGGAGTAGGCATTCGCTCCCTAGTATTTTGTTCTACCCATATCGAATTTGGGGGTTGAATAATTTTGAGTCCCAGATGTTGTTTGCATCTTTGCTCCGCCCAAGGCATGAAATATAAGGCCTGGCACCGGGAACAGCTCCGTGGTGTCTCATGTGCCTGTCAATTTTGGCTGGTAATGACGATTAATGAAGCAGTGGAACCATCATCAAAAAGGTCAGGGGAATGATAAGCATGACTATGGGGCAGCCAAGCAGATCTCAGGGAGCTTTGTTACATTGTTCATTAGCAAACATGGGACACTTGATGAACATTCAAAAACCAAAGCTGTAAATGCTGGGCTTATCACAACATGCTGGGCACCTTTTAATCAGTTGTCCTTGTCAGCAAGTTCTCCCCAGTGCAAGATCCTATCCATATACCTGTACAACAAGCACCCTTGCGAGTTGTCTTCGTACAAGAAATACTGGACATGTCTGCGAGTGGCTGACAACATGTGATTTTAGGCAACACATCTCCAGTCACCTGCTTTGCCTCTCATTTTTGCAGGCTCGCTATGGTGATTTCAACATATATCAACTTTCGGGCCAAAGGTGCCTTTGGAGACTTTGGAGTGCATCCTATTTGTATGAACAAAGATGCGCCACCCAACACCATGGGGTCCAGAGGGTATGGATCAAACTTGGGTCCCCCAAAGTTGGGCGGCTTTAGATGTGAATCCTAAAACCACATATCATATTCCCAAAATGATGAACATCTGTGGTTGCATGGGGCTTCTCTTTATACCAGTTTGGGACCCGGATTGAGCTTGGCAAGTGGTTGGAATCTCTGCTGTGCAGCCATTAGTTGCATAGCCTCACACCACTCATTTCATTCTGTGGTGGATTTGTTGTGATCAATGCCACATGGCTGTCTTTCAATGTGATGACATGGTGAGCAAATGTCGTGCAATGACTTCAAGGTCCAAGCTATAGATCTTAGGTAGCAACTCAGGCAGTTTTGCTTTCAATGCAAGAAGAAAAAACTACCCCCCCGAAATAAATATTCTTCAGGTAGTCTTGGAATGCTCCCACGACTGTCGGGCGATGCGATCATAATCGCACGCAAGATGTATCGGTTCTTGTTTTGATTCATTTGTGTTGGGTGTATTAGCTGCGGTCAAGTTTCACCTGGGATGAAATTGCATTTGAACATGTGCAATATGCAATCGATGTCACTGGTTTCAGGTTCAAAGCAACGTCACCACATGTACACATAAATTTGCAGCGTTTGATGTAGAATCTGGAATTCCAAACACGTGGAGGTCGCATGTCGCAAGAAACAACTGGCTATGTTTTTTAATGTTTTTTTACTGTAAATCTTTTTCAATATAGAAGCAGGAACAACGAGTAGGCCAGAGAATCGCAAGAGGGTGTTGAAGGAAACTATAGGAAAATCGGAAGATGGAAATCAGCTGTGGGATAGTTGACCCAGAAAATACCGCTTACCCATTTTACCTCTGCGCTACTTGTGGATTCTCACTCCTATTTGCAGGGAAAACTGGATGATTTGAACATATTTGAAGCAACCACATGATTTTGCCTTATGTGTTGAAGCTGCTCCGAGTGATGCAACAACCATGCTTGCTGCGCCACGCCAAAGATCGCGTGCCGCGCTTGCCCAACGTTCTCACGACTTTTCCAGCGGCGACCACGCCTCGGCTGCAAGGGTGGCCTGGTGCTGTGGTGATTGCCACATTGCCGAAAGTGCTTCGGAGAGCAGGTCTAAGATCCCACGTTCCGCCTCATTGGCCCGGCAAAGCCTCGAAGTCACGGAGAAAACCAGGGGCAGAGCAGGAGTTCTTGGATGCACAGGCAAAGATACCGATTGAAACTGGTTGGTGGTTTGAAGCACTTTTTCTTTTTCAAAACTATTTGAGAGTGATAGTTGTTATAATGATACGACATTGACCATAAGTGGTTCATAATTTTCTTGGATGGCTTGAAAACAGCAACAAGGAAGTGAGTCCACGGCCGCCTTTCGATGAATTGGGAGAGTCTTGGAACGCTGCCAAGTTGGACGATGAACTTTTGAACGCCTTGCTGCGTGAAGGGTTTGTCCGACCCAGCGCTTCGCAGCGGTGGGCTGTTCCACTGCTGTTGGCGGGGAAGGATGTGATGGTTTGCTCGCAAACAGGCAAATTTCGCTGAGTTTTCAATCACAAGTGTCGGAATACGGGGTATACTTTACTGGAACATGATGATTACAGTAGCCAAGAGGATTTGGGGGTACGGGTGCCCTACTTTCAGAAGAAAAAAAATCGCTAGTAGAACGACATTCATAGGCTTCGGAACATGTTGTCTTTATTGTATCCCTTCGGACACAACCTTGGCATACCTTGGCTGATGTTGGTTTTAGATGATAGTGTTGTCGGTAATGGTTAGGAACACATACACTGGCAACATAATCCAGAGCGCTGAATCGTCATATGGACATCACTTTGCATACTATCACGCTGGTACCCTTGTCTTCATGCCCCCAAAGAGTCAACTGACGAAAATGTACAGGGAAGGGGCTTTGGGATGCTTTTCACTATCAATTCATATGGTGTTTTTCCGTTTGATGTTTCCACTTCCAGGTTCTGGGAAGACCCTGGCCTACCTGGTGCCTTTGCTGCAACTGCTGGCCCACCGTCCCCCACAGCGGCCACCACGTCCGGGCGCCGTGGTGCTGGCGCCCACGCGGGAATTGGCGTCGCAGATTGCAACGGAGGCGATGGCCCTGTGTCGAGAGGGCGAGATGAAGGTGGCCTGCATCTTCGGGGGCGTGCCATACCGATCCAGTCTGATGAATTAAACCTCCGGCAAGCTGGGCAATGGAAAATGTCCAAAAAATCAGTATTTGAAAAAGAACATCAGTATTTCCAAGAGGAAAGTCATCTACAAATGGGTGATTTTTCCATTGCCATGGTTGACTACTGGAGGGTAGCAGATTTTTGTTCTCTGTGTTTCGATGTTTGAGTTAGGTCTCTGTGCCAAGTATATTCTTTCATGTGGATATTAATTCCATGTTCCTTTCGAAATTTCATTGATTGAACTAGAGGCCAGGGCGGCCAGGAATATTGTGGTCTATTTGTAGCTGAGTCTTACTTAAGCCATCCCCATATACCCACCTCCACTTGTGATCTTAAAACCCCTTCCCCCAACTTTCAATACCACCAAAACAAGGGACGTGAACATGAATCGATCAATACTAAACCGTGCTTTTTTGGTGATTGTAAGATATTGATCTTAAGGGGATGAGATTATCTCCGAAAAAAAGGTAATTCTATGGCAAAAAGACTTCAACTTCCCAGTATTTTGATGATTTACGTATATGTTTTGCATATTTTTCCATCTTTTTTTCAGCCATTTTTTGCTGAGTTTAACCATCCAACTCAGTAAATCCCAGGCAGAGAGGAGCTCCAGCAGGGTGCGGATCTACTCGTAGCCACCCCGGGGCGACTGGAAGACGCGTGTCAACGGGGAGATGTGCAGCTCAGAGGCCGGGACTGCGATGGCAAAAAGTGGAGGACTGCGATTTGGATTCTGGGGAATTCACCAATGATTACCCTCTGGTAAACATACAAAAAACTATGGAACATCACAATTTTCAATGGGTAAATCCACTATAAATGGTCATTTTCAATAGCTATGTTAAATTACCAGAGGGTAATCATTAATCTATGTTGATCTATACTAATTTATGGGTAAGTGAAAATTGGGTACCCCCAGTAGTTTTAGATGGTTAAGACTAAGAATAGACTAAAATCTGTGGTCCCCCAGGTCTTCAATTTTGACCCACTCCCATTGATATATGTTGGATTTGCTATGTAGTCATCAGGAAATCAAATATACCAATGGACACTTCCCTACACATAGAGGTTTAGTTCGCTGGGAAAATCATTGCTAAACGCGAGATTTTTCCATTGCCATGTTTGATTACCGGAAGGTATTCCAAAATGACCTTCTGGTAATGTCAGGATTGGCGACATAAACCTGAAGTGTTTGAAATGCTGGGAGGATTATCCCAACATTATCCCACACCTTGAAATCTTTGGTAATGTTTTGGTGGGCTTTCATAGGTCGATATCCACTTTTGCTGCTTTGAGGAATGTTGAATTTCCGTTGGCAAACAGAAACATGCTCTGCAGCCAGTAAAAACTGGGGAGTAGTAAAAATTGTTGGTGGATTGAGACTCTCATTTTTCAACATACATGGGGAAGAAAAACCCATGAGGTGTTCTCGGTTGGAAGCGCCTGGTCATTTGGTGTTCCCGGACCCATCCGGGTCCGCGGTGGTACCGGTTCTGTGTCGCTGTACATCCATCATGGATTTGTGGGTCAAATCCATCATGCCATATGCCGTTGCATGTATCATCGCCTTAGTATGCCTTAGTATACATTTGATAATTGTATCATTATATCACCTCTGAACCCCTAGTTTGGTATACAGAATATATATATATAATACATTATATCACCATGATGAATTATACATTGCATAGAACATCGGTCCATCATTTTGTACCATCGTTTTGCTCCCAGGCGTGCGCGTTGCCGTCTTGGACGAGGCGGACCGGCTGCTGGATCTGGGCTTCGAGGATCAGATCCGTCTGCTGCTGACGCGGCGCATGCCGAGGACGGGCGAAGGCGCGGGGTGGGAGGTCGCTGGTGGTGAGTTGGGGATCTTGAAAGAAACGATGGGAAAAAGGTGGAACATATGATAATCATGGTGATATAATGGTGATATAATGGATATAATGGAAATGGATCTTGATAATAATGGTGATATTTCATGAGATAATGGATGGAGAATGGTGGGAACAGAATGGGATCATGGCAATGTGATGGGGAATAGTGGGAATTTCTGAATATTTTTTTTGGTGGGAATATATCATGGCAATAGTGGGAAGAATGGAGATATAAGATGGACCTTAAGAAATGGTAGGTAACAGTGGGAATACCGTGGGAATACAATGTGAACAATGCATATATATATATATATGTATGATTCAGAACCATGGGGATCTAAGATGGTGGGAAGAATGGAACAGATAGACATATAATGGAGATATACTGGCAGTAATTTTGCATTTTGGATGGTGGATTCGAAGTTGTGAAAAAAATGCAAAAGATAGGGGAAATCATGGGTATCATGGAGATTTTTTGAGCGGCATATGCGTGTCTGAAATGCCACCAATCGGGAAAATGATGGATTGCGGAGATGCTACTCAGAAGCTGGGAACCCCTCTTCTTGACAATCATATGAATCATAGCTTACTATAGATTGCTCATGATTGCTCTAGATCCCTTTGATTGTTACTTAACACCCCTCAACCAAAGAAACCCGGATGGATCTCACTGATCGAGAACGGATCGAGATCAATAAGCCGCCTGGTAAGATGATTCGTTCAAATTTACCCTGCACTTCATCATTTTTCAGGGTTCAATCCACATGTTCATTCCCAGAATTGGTTCAAGGGAACAATGTGCGGGAAAACCGTATGTTTGAGGGTAAAACCATGTAAAACCCATGGTTTCCGGTGACGATTTCCCCGTAAAGACCAATCATGACCCAAACCAAATCTCCTCATTCTTGATGCCCACCCCCCAATTCTTGATCTTTAAACCATGTTTTCCCATCCTTTCCCAATCCCACCCATCACAAAGGCCGGCAGACGGCCATGTTCAGCGCCACCTTCGGCACCGGCGTCCAGCACCTGGCGGCCGATTTCCTCGACGCCTACACCTTTGTGGCCGTGGGTCGCGTGGGCAGCGCCGCCCAGACGGTGCAGCAACGACTGCTGTGGGTGGAGGACAGTTGGGACGGTCTCCCAGGGTGGGTTCCCAACACGGATTTAAACATGGTGGGATTTATATGATTTTATGATTTTATTGGGGTGCAGATTCCACGAAGAAGTCGTTTGGTTTGATGTTATAAACCAATTCTTATCATGTAGAGTTTTAGGGTAATTTATTTTAGGGTATGGATCAATACCTATTAATACCATTTTTAGGGGGATGAACATCCATTTACCAGCTATTTTGATGTTCACCAGGGGTACTATTGGTTTTGACACACTGCCATTTTTCTTCATGATTTTCTCATTTCAAGCAATACTTCTAGTAACGTGGCAGCTTGCCAAGTACCATCTCCAGCAGGTGATTTTTTAACCATCCGCAAATGGCGCTCTGATGGGAGGTCCAGAGATGGAAGATGGGCCGCAACTGAAAGAATATGCTGCAACCACCTAGTGGTATATCTTTTTTAAGTCTTATGTGATGTATATATATATATACATATATATATGGGTGTGGGTCAAAATTAAAGACCTAAGGGGACCACAGATTTTAGTCGAGTTTAGTATTAACCATCCAATGATCGGGGTACCCAATTTGACCCATGTCCATATATATGTATATATATATATATGTATATATATATACACGAGGAAAGACCTCAAAGGTTCATGCAGGAACCTCTACATGAGAGGTCCTATGGTTGAAAATTGTCGCAAACCATGGAAAGCGATATGGTGAACTACTTGAAGCGATAGCGTCGAATTAATGGTGAAGTTGAAAGGTGCTGTTGTTTTTCGAAGCCATTTGGGATTGTATAGTAACTGTAGTAACCTCATATGCATTGTTTTAGTATTCGTCGGATGTGAATCCAGGGGCTCCCAAAAGGCCTAGAGGTGCTCCCAAAAGGCCTAGAGGACGCACTTCTGACCACAGAACTTGCTGCCAACACCTGTCCCGACACAGGCTCTGGAAAGCAGGTTGACTGTGCTTGAGAAACAATCGAAATCACATGGGGATGGGTCAAAACCCTGGTACCTAGTGAACCCCAAAATAGCTGGTAAATGGATGTTCATCCCACTAAAAATGTATCTATAGGTATTGACCCATACCCACATGTTTCCATATTTTCCCCAGATGAAATTATCGATAACCAAATCAATAACCTAGCGATAACCAAAAATTGCTGAAAGGGCCCCGGGCATCCAGAGACCCAATCCATCCCTGGAGTGGCGCCCTTCAATTTTCGTGTCAAGCCTTGAAACATTTACTTGGCGTGGTCCAGCCTGGCCTGGAAACCTATCACAAGATAGCTTTGATCTAACGATCCAAAGAGATGAACAGAATCTGCAGAAGCAGAAACCAAACCGTTCTGAGGGAAATCATTTCCGCGCATTGAAGACAAACAGTGGACAGCAGACTGCTGATCATGAAGTGCCGCTATTGTTGATGTGGAGATGACTGGAAATGGATCTCCAAATCAATAGTCGTTTTTTGGCATGCTACAAAACCATGTAGAACTACGATATAGCGAACTACCTAAATCGATAACTTTTGCTCATGACTGCCTTTGTGACCCTTAGTTTTGATCCTTGTTCATATACATAAGTTTTGTATAATCATTATAAAAGGCCCTTTTTTGATCCGTTTGGAATTTGTTTCCTACTTTTAGAAGTCACTTACCTATGTGCAAATAGTTCGATTCCAACCCCCCTCACCATTTAGTGGTGCCTGGAAGCAGACCATCGTTGCACAGGGAGGGCCAGGAATATTATCCCCGCTTTTGCAGGCGAACTCCACAACATTCCAAGTGCAAATCCTGGTCATCATCTCATACCATATCATTCTATATCAAGTCAAATCAAACCGCATTAATTACCTAATGTAACATGTCGACACATAATATACAATGTTATGTCGTATCACATCATTTTTTCCAAGCCCAGCCTTCTTTAGTTGACATCTGAACCCTCCCCATTTTCGACCTGCAGGAGGACCGAAAAGCCAAGGCTCTCCTGGGTACCTTACTGGCCCTGGAAGCGACGTCGCCATCTCCGCAGGCTCCGCTGAGTGCCGTGTGCTTTGTGAACACCAAAGATGCGGCGCGGCTTGTGGAGAAAAAGGTGAAAAATTGGAAATTTCGTGGCCTGGCACTGCCTGGATTCTGAAGACGTTCTCGTTTTTTTTTGAAGAGTTTTTGGATATGTTCCTTTCTGTTGGAAATTGGGTTGAGATGGGTTGAGTATGTTTTCATTAGGTTTTTAACAAGTTTTGAATTCTTGTAATATTATTGGTGATTTTGCAAACCCAAAGTCCCGATCAAATTCAAAACTAAGGTTTTTTTTTTGGTGGTTGATTTTTCAAAAGAGAGTAAGTATAGCGAGTGTTTGATCACCTGACAATTCTCTTTTGCATGTTAGGTGATTTTGTTCGGGTTGTCGGGTTATCCTTTGCGAAGTGCCCAGCCAGGTTGCTTTTCCATCCATGGCGACAAGAAGCAAGCAGCCAGGGAGGAGGCCTGGCACGATGTGGAGTGAAAATTCTAAGGCTCCTTCATCCACAGATTTTGTTGTAATTATATATACAATTATTTAGACACACACAGTACACATTAATTGTACATATTATACTATATTATATATAATATATTATATATAATATATTATATATTATATATTATATATTATATATTATACATTATATATTATAGTATATATTATATATTATATATTATATATTATATATTATATATTATATAATATATATTATATATTAGATATTATATATTATATATATTATATTATATATTATATATTATATATTATATATTATATAAATATTATATATATTATATATTGTATATTATATATTATATATTATATATTATATATTGTATATTGTATATTGTATATTATATATTATATATGATATTTTATATATTATATATTATATATATTGTATATTATATATTAGATATTAGATATTATATATTATATATTATATATATGATTGTGGTTCTACATATTTAAAGCCTTAACATATGTTCAATTGAACAGTTATATAATGTGTGTAATTACACATATGTATTTATATATAAGTATATAGCTGCTGTTAATCCATGTGTGTGTGGCATTTTTATTGGCAGGCACCTAGCACTTGACATCGATTACTGTATTAGAGGGATGAGAAGTGGACATCTAAGCAGTCTAGGCGTCTCATTACATGATGACAACCATAAGCAATGGTCCTGCAACCAGTAGAACTGGGGATCATCTAGCAGCAAATTTTAGACCCGTTTAATGTAGTAATTCCCATTATATTCCATTACTGTAATATCCATTTACATAAGCATATTCCAATGATATTCCCATATAAAAAGCAGCTTAAATCGACATTTTTCCGAGACTTCCCTTGGTTTTGCCAGGCCCTGCGTCACTTCCGCGCCCACGTGGAAGGCGGTGGCAAAGCCTCGAAGGCACTGGCGGTGTTGGTGGCCACGGATGTGGCGGCGCGGGGGTTGGACATTCCCAACATCTCCTGCCACTCAGCTCGTCTTGGAGGTTTTTTTCGGAGGAAGCCGGTGGGGAGGTGTGAAGCATGGTAGTGGGGTATGACAGTTTCAACAGTTTGAAGATTTTTTACGGAAAGAGGAGTAAAGATTTGGGATTGGGAAAATTTTTAGACGGATTTTGATGGAATTGCACATCTAACATAGGGTTTGTCTCAATAATTAGCCTTAATTCATGACAGTTGAAGATTAGGGAACATGAAATGTTAAACGGCTGGACGGAATCTGGTATCCTATTTTGGCACAAGCCACTGCTTCGGGCCGGTGAACAGGGCTGCGAATTTGGGGTGAAACCAAGGAAAGAAATGAGGATTCAAGTCACAAAAGAAAAGGATTTCAGTCACAACAGAGATCTGATCTAAGCCACAAAAAGTAAATTGAAAATAATTGGCAACTGGGTTCAAAACCATATATTCCACTTGAGCCCAGCTATAAAAGATTCTCCATATTCTGATATACCAGTAGTACTCGCATGAGGCGGGGCGGAAGTTGCCTTAAGGTTATACTATGAGACCATTCTCATCTATAGAACTTGCATACCTTTTTGTGTGTCAGAAAGCTTGTAGAAAGTCTTATACATAACAACCGTGTCAGTTTTCTCTTGTGATTCAGTGCTACTATTCTCGATTTCCCGTATAAAATCATGCATGGCGTAGTTGTTATCTTTCACTCAGACTTAGACTTAGACTTACACACTACATTCCTTTTACGCAGCAGCTTGTGTTCGTGCTCAACAGTTGCATTTTTTCACCACTGTAGTATGTCCAAGTCTTTGCAGTCCATTCGACCCGCACTGGAATGAAGGGCTGCACAGCATGGCGCGGTTGGGTTTGCATGGTCGCTCGGGGCGCCGCGGCACTTTGTGTGGCAAGTGTGGCACTTGGTGACATTGACTTCCGTTTTGCGTGGCAGGTGTGGCACTCACGGCGGTGGTCTGAAGATGGTCTATACCCATAAAGTTGCAGTTTGAATGGGGAAATGAGGAAATGATGATAAATCAGTGGGTGGAACGGGGTACCTTCATGTCAGACAAACCCACATGAAAGGAACATTTGCAGGCTCTCTTTCAGTTGAATGCATACATATATATATATATATGTATGCCTGCTACTGGTTGTTTATTGCATACTTCTTCCGGTCCCACTTTCAGAAAACCGTGTTTTGGGAAACATGTGGTATCGCCCATTTCAGGGAAAATCAACGGGCCAAGATATACAAGGTCCACTTTGTTCAGTGGCTTTCGGTGAAGTTGTCGCAAGCGTCCCGCTGAGACCCAGCGTCCAGCCGCAGCCTGCGACTTGATGGCAGAAGGTTTTTTTTGATCCCCCATGTATTACACCCAGCAAACACGATCCTCACAAGATCGGTGGTGGCATTCACGACATCGGTGGAGAGATCGAGATCATCCTTTGCCATGCCTGAAGTTCCAACAAAAAATGCGGGTCCAAAATCATTCAGCAGACATGTTTCTATAAAGTGCATGGTGTATATAACATGGTATGGCCATTCTTTGAAGGGAACCAACGTTTTTAAAAGCGCAGTGCGCATATTAAGAAGGTTTCCTTGTGGGAAAGCAGCCGGGCACAAACCAACGTTGCAAAACGTCATCTTGGTGGATCCAAGGGCATGTTTCTTGCTGGGACCTTTGTTCGCTTGCAACCTAGTGAATTTGCCAAAACAAACGCGCACCTTTCGTGATCATATCTTTCCGGATTATGAAGAACATTTGTTGCGAAATGCTGGTTTTTGAGCCCCACCGAAAAGTATTATCATCCGCACTGATGCATGCATGTGCAAACACTTGTTGGAAGTCTAGTCGCTCGGCATGGCACGTCTCGAAGCAAATGAGTCAATAAGTTTTCACCATCCGCAATGACATTGCGTTGTGACAGACGACACTCTGCCCCTGCTCGATGAAAGTAACAGCAATCATGCAGCCATTCCGCTGCCATCTGCAACCACAGGGTCCAAAACACCCTTCAACTGCGCGCACCCACGCGCGCACACACAAACACACCCAAAGCAGCTTGAAGCCACCGTTACAGTGTGGGAACCCAAAAACGTACCCGCAACCGCCTCACACACGAACTGCCCTTGATTGCCGGCTGCAGCCACTTTAGCCGGAAAAAAACACAATGTTTCGCGCTCCGGTTTCCTCCCCACAGCAAGCTCCATGCAAACAGTCATGCAGTGTTATGCAGCATCACCTGACAAACGCGCATGTATGCTCCGGCTTCCTCTCCACAACAAACCCCATGCAACAGGCATGCAGCCATTTTGCAGCATCACGTGGCAAGCATTCATGTATCTACGCACATGGCAACAAAACAACAACAATCATGCAGCCATTCCACTGCGATCTGCATCCACAGATTCCAAAACCCTTGAACTACACACACAGACAAACACACCCAAAGCAGCTTGAAGCCACCGTTACAGTGTGGGAACCAAAAAACGTACCCGCAACCGCCTCACGCAGGAGCTGCGCTACATCGCCGGCTGCAGCCACTACCTGAAAAAACACAATGTTTCGCGCTCCGGCTTCCTCCCCACAGCAAGCCCCATGCAACAGTCATGCAGCCATGACAATGCGTTTTGCAGCATCACGTGGCAAACAGTCACTTATCTACGCACGAGGCAACAAAACATAACAACAATCACGCAGCCATTCCACTGCGATCCGCAACGATTCCAAAACAATCTATAAGGACGCGCACGCAAACACACCCAAAGCACCCGCAACCGCCTCACACACGAGGTGCCCTTCATCGTCAGCTGCAGCCACTCGAAAAAAGACAATGTTTCGCGCTCCGGTTTTCTTCCCAAAGCAAGCCCCATGCAACATGTTAAGTCTTCATTCAGTGTAACTGAATGTCACAATGCACCACCACTTCTCTGAGCCCCCATTTCCTAAGTCACCACTTCCCTTAAGTCTCCACTTCCCTAAGTCTCCACTTCCCAAAGTCAGACCGTTTCCCTAGTCACCACTTCCCTACGGTAGGTCTCCCCTTCTCTCAGTCCCCACCTCCCCATGTCATCATATCTCCAAGTCACCACTTCCCTTAAGCAAAGTCACCACTTCTCCAAGTTTCCACTTCCCTAAATTGCCACTTCCCTAAGTCTCCACTTCCCAAAGTCGCACAATAAAAGTCATCCGTAACTCGGAAGAGTGCTGCCAAACTTCCTTTGATTATCAACCCTATAACTCCATATAAAGGTTAAGATTCTCCCTATCAAACCATAAAAGCCCAAGACTTCCCAGGTGTGATCCACTACGACCTGCCCCGGCGCATCGACGACTATGTGCACCGCACCGGGCGCACGGGGCGCTTCGGGCGCAGCGGCGTCAGTGTGGGCTTCGCCAACGCGGCGCAGCGCGGCGTCAGCGCCGAGCTGCTGCGGAGCCTGGTGGAAGCGGGGACCCAGCCGCCAGCGTGGCTTCTGGGTGCCACGGTTGGAGAATGGGGACGGGTCAAAAGTGCACCTAGTGAAACCCGAAATAGTTGGGATTGGATTGGATGTTCATCCATGTTCATCCATGTTCATCCCAGTAAAATTGATAATAATAGGTTTTAAAGTTTTGATCTGCCCCCATGTGTGTGGGTATATGATGGTATATGGGGGAGAGCAGGGCACGAAGCGAAACAAATTTCTTGATCACCCAATGATGTCGTATTGGAGATGGCCCGACTTTCGGATTCCATGGTCAGTGTGGGCTCAGTAATGTCCGTGTGGTTGTAAGTGTGTGTAGTATATATAATACATACTAATACTATTAATATTTGATATAATATATGTATATATATATGTTTATATGTATATGTAATAATAGTGATAACAATAATAATCACAATGTTGATAAGAACAACAACAATAATTATTCCAATTATATATATATGTTTATATATTTACGCATAGTACAAATCATATATACTAAAAACACGCGTTTTATTAGTCTCAAAACACCATCACTGCTGGCTAAATCGCCGCCAGTGGCCGCCAGTGGGCAAACATAGCAGTTGAGTTCGTGGTGAAATCAAGTGAAAACATATTCAAAAACCTGCGGGATGCACGGTTTTGGTGCTCAAGAGTAGCTGGACCCCTCGACTTGAATGAATATGTCAGGCACAAGAATTAATTTGGTGGCTTCAAATCTGGATTTCAATCCAATTTGCAGGGTTTGTACGCGCTCAATGTGGATTTCTATTCCCAACCCCCAAAAAATCACTGAATCTCTAGATTTACAATGAAAATCTGATGGCATTGAAGCTGTCGAACCCAGAAGTATAACCATGACCAGCCAGGTATGGCCATCGCCAGTGGGACCGCCCTCAAGGACCTGCAGCCCTTCCTTGACGGCGACAGCCACGTCGCAACGGAGGGGTTGCCGGAGGGGCAACGTGCCGGCAGCGACTCAGCAGAAACTTCCGGGCAGTTATTTTTTCCGCATTTATTCAAATATTGATGCAGATATGTGAATGTATGGAGAACTTTTCTAGCTCTCTATCACTACATGTGTATAATATATATATATATATCTTTCTTCACATATACTTTGTATATCCATAATAGCATACAATAACTAAATATAATTATATGTAACGCTAGATATGTTGAAGAGGAATATTTGAACGCCCGCCGCCCCACACATTTTGCGGACATTTTTATCATACATGGAAAATCTTTGAGTCACCGTTGCTTGAACGTTTGATTCACCATATGTGGGGATAGAACAGAGCTCCCAGAAGTCCGGGTGCTTCGCTTCTGTTTAGGGTTGTTGCTGCAACACCCTTAGACATACTACTTAATTGTTTGTAAGTGGGTTTGTAAGCCAGACAGGACCAGCATTCTGGAGATGAAAAAAACGCTGGTTAAGTCTTAAGTGGGATTATGCCCTTAAGGTTTATAGATCATAGGGAAGGAACCTCAAACATTGAGTCTAACCACGACAAGGCGGCGAATACTGCAATGTCTATTTTTTAGAATATCCATAGAATACCCTTAGGATAATCTGCAAGGGTAAGGAAGATTTGAGATTCAACTGTCGAGCATCTGGTAGAATCAGTTGGCGTTGGTGGTAACTTCCTGAAGTACACGAAATAAATTGCAGCGGGATAACTGTGGGACATATGCAGTATATAGAGAATATACAGGGGATGTTTAACCATTGCTTTTGCCAAAGCAGTCAACTATATCATTGGTGATCGCAAAAAGACTTTTGCTAGGTGGCGCTGTGTTTTGCCATAGCAAACCAATGGAAGGATGTAGAGCAGTTGCATTGCCATTTCTGATGGTTGGTTGATGGTGAAATGTGGGGAGCAAAACCAAATGGTACCCTCTGGTAAACTAACAGTTCGCTATGGAAAATGGCCCATAGAAATACATGGTTTACCTATTAATAGCATGGTGATTTTCTATAGCTATGTTAGTCATTACCAGAGGGTATTTTGTCGCAGTCTAATGTGGAAATGACGTGAGAAGTGAGGGAATCCCTGGTGGTCTATGGTTGACAAAAGGTCATGATTACACTTTTTGTACTTGCGGACTGTTTCAAGCGTTCAATGATTCTGCATATACATATACATATACATATTAATTTACATATACATATACATATTAATTAATACATATACATATACATATTAATTATATACATATACATATACATATTAATTAATACATATACATATACATATTAATTAATACATATACATATACATATTAATTAATACATATACATATACATATTAATTAATACATATACATATACATATACATATACGTATACATATACATATATATATATACATACATATTAATTGATACATGATATGTTTTCAAATCAAACCTCCACATTTATATCCCAACTATTATATACAATTCCTCGCCCCTCATAGCAAATACCACATGAACAAGTATTGGATCTCTTTGTTATCACCATCCAGAATGGATCTTTTACACATAAACGACCAGTTGTGTGGATGACACAGCTTGGTGCTTCAATATTGGGCCATGCCCATTTCATTTTTTGGTCGGGGGATGTGATAAATTTACCATTTATGTCATTCATACCTCAGGAGTTCCATAGGGTATCATAGGGTAAAAAAATGCCCCAGTTGTACTATAACATCCGAATTGCACCAGCCAAATATTTGCCAAATACTTATATATATATATATATTATACAGTATATAAAACCATAATTGACTATAGATCCAGAAAAAAAATAAACATCCATAGATCAACAGTTGACAAATAGAAATAAGATATAAATCAACAAATAAGTCAACAGAAATTTGAACCGACCTTTTGCTTTCCATATTTCTAGGGCCCTGTCGCGGATATAGCCCAGGCTATGGCGCCCAAGACGTGCGAAGCGCCGGCGCTGGGCTGCAGACGCAGAAGGAGCGGCGCGAGGCGCAGAAGCTGCGGAGCTTCGCGGAGGACGCCTACGGCCCTACGGCGTCCGACGGCAAAAGTGCGAAACCAGGAGATGATGATATTTACCTCATATTTCCAGGTTTCCCACTTTTTTGTACGTATATACGTATATATATATATATAATATAATACCAGTTGGAATATGGCGCATGTGCATATATATATAATATGTATAGTGTATAGCATGGTAAAATATTAAATCGGGAAAATACATGCAGTGGGTGTTCCATTGCAAAAATGTTGTGATGGCACAGGGTTCTTCTGGGCGTCACCTCAAACAGCGGTAGCATTTGTTGAAGGTCGCCTCAATGAATTGCTCAAGTTTTTTGGGGTTCAGGCATAGCCACTTTGACAAATACTCAGGTTTCAACCTGTTCCAACTCGTTCCAGCCATCCAACTTTTTTTAAGGGTGGACTAGTCATGATGAACTGTAGCCACATGGTGCAACCCGCAATGCCTGCAATTTGCCGCCGCGGCCATGGTTCCAGTTGGAAGCCATCCATGGCATCGCCACACATGGGAAGAAATGGTGCTTCACCGCCTCCAACAGGAATTTCTCCTGTTTTTTTTGGGATCCAAAGATATTATGATTCTTGGTGGAAAAATATGTGCAAAGCCTCTAAGATCTCTAAGTTTTGAAGAGAACACGATTTTTTGTGGAGACCCCAAGATTTGTCACATCAACATTGGCCATGCCGAAGCAGACGCGAACAAAGGTGGGTGCCATCAGGTTTTCTCTTCCGCAGTTCTGAATTCACATGACAGCTGTTTGAATGTGTTTCGATATATATATATATATAACTATACCTCAAATTCGAATCCCTTGATTGTAGGCTTTACTTGAAGATTTAATTAGACACCACCGTGTGTCGTGTCGGGGATCTCATATTATTTGAAACAATTGGGTGGGAGTGCTGCAAAGATGTGTGCATTTTAACTATATACAATCAAAAACGTCATGTTGTTTGAGAAGAAAACTGAGAGAGCGGCCTGATGTTTACTGCTGGACTCCCAAGCAAACCAATTGGAAACAATGTTGGTCTGGTTTTACAAGGTGGTGCCCCCCAGTTGTATATTGTAAATTTATTTTGAACAAACCCAATAAATATGGTTGTAATATGTTATAATCACCATAAACCCAAACGTCAAGCTACTTGTCAACCAACTTAGCTATCGGGCACCACCCTGGGAGTGGGTGAAACTCATTCGCCCTCCCAAAATGGGTGTTTTCAAACTTAAAATGAGCTATACCCATTTAATGTTATGGTAGGATGAGATTACCGGGTTTCATATCATTTAATCATTTATATTTTGCAATATCGTTGAACATTTTTTGGCCTGCTCTATATAATAATATTATATATGGTTGAATAGAGTTGTGTAACCCATTTTGGTTGGTTAACGCTATATGTATACATATACTGTAAGTTGCCGTCCAGCAATCAAGCATTGCTTGTTAGAAAATCTTAAGCATTTTGTTCGATGCTTTCCCAACAGCAAAATTCCATTTCTCGGGGATCCAGCTAGCTATGTTTGATTAGCGCAGGGTAACCATCATTGAATCCTGGTTTTATCAAACCAAATCACCATTAAATCACTATGTTTCTTGCTGAAAAAATCCTTGCTTTACCATATTGACCATCACTTTTCACATAAAATATCCATAAATATCTCATCATAAACAATTGTATGTTTCTACAGTATAGAGTGAAATACCGGGTTCCGGGTATGACCCATTTTGCCATTTTGGTTGTATGCTTGCGTATCTATGATCCATATCTCTTTTGGATGTTCATCCCAGAACGGACCTGGAAAACGCCTGGAAAACCGACGGGTCGGAACCGGTCCGACACCAGGTCTCTAAGTCGATGCGTCACAATCCCTTGGCCCATGATATCCTGGAGGAGTGCTGGCCGAAAATCGAAAATCGCCAATAGATGCAGCTGATTTACTCATTCATGGGGATTGAATGGGGATTGCGGCGTTTTATCGAATTTTTTAGTGGGATATTTTAGCGATTTGAGGGGATTTGTGAATGGGATTTGTTGGTGATTTTTTCGTGGGATTGAATCATCAACTTTTTTGGGGCTTCTTTTGGGGTTTGACTATCAAAAGATAGGGGGTTTTATTGACAAATGATGGTTTTTCTGGTCGCGACTCTTGGGGGTGGGTTGGGAAAACCTGGGATGTTTGATGATGTTTGATCCTTCGGGACCCGCCAGCCAAGTAATCAAGGATGATCCATAGCATACCCTCTGGTAAACTAACATAACTAATGAAAATCACCATTTTCAACGGGAAAATCCACTATAAATGGTCAATTTCAATAGCTATGTTAGTTTACCAGAGGGTAAGGATTGTGGGGCCCCTCAACGAGAGTGGTCGGTGAATTGGTGAGTAGCATGCTGTCGCTGAGGGATGGCGCTCTGAAACTTGGTGATTTTGAGATCGCTGGTTGAATATACCCTCTGGTAAACATACAAAAAACTGTAGAAAATCACCATTTTGAGTGGGTAAATCAACTATTTCGATGGCCATTTTCAATAGCAAACTGTTAGTCATAACCAGAGGGTTACTCCCTTCAATTATGAATGTGGAAGATTCTACCCTCTGGCAGCCTGGCATGCTGTCGCCTCACAGGACACTCCAGAAAACTCATGATATTCACTGCTCTGGAGCTGCAGAAATAAAAAAATCCTACCAAGGAGTATATCTCCCGTCTTTTTTTTCAATGTAACATCCTGCTCAAATCCACATGCTTAGCGGTTTACCCATGTCAAATCATGTCAAATCCACATTTTTTGTGGTTTATCCATATAAATCTTCCCTGAAATTCACCATTTTTTGGTACTTTAGCCATCTTCTTTCCTGGCCGCCAAAACAGCCCACCAAATCCACCCATCCGTTGCCTGGCAATCGAGGAGGAAGCCACCCGTGGCATCCGAAGAACACCGTCGGGCAGCCGAAGATGGCATGGCACTGGAAAATTTACCCTCTGGTAAATAAACATAGACCCTGAAATTCACCAATTTTTAATGGAAACTAGTCTTCCAACCCCTATCTGCCAGGGTCTATGTTAATTTACCAGAGGGTAACATGTGGTTCGATGTTTTTTGACGCAACTAGGTCAACGTTTGGTTTTTTTTAGGGGATATGACTATACTCAGATGGGGTTATAAAGCAACTTATAATCAATGGGGATTTCAGGATCCTAAAATGGAGGTACGTTAGTACCATATTTTTGGCCACATGATGTGGTGATATTCCCTTACATAGCCCTAAAAAATAGGCCTTACATATGGTAGGTACCTGCAATTTGGGTAGGGGGCATATTCCCATATCTGGAATCATTGGAGATGACGAAAAATCAACCTCATGGCGACGTCGGCCTTCACGTTTCAGGTTATTGAATTGTTTTAATTTATCCAAAGCAATGATGATTATTTAGTTGATTTTACAGTTGACTGGATCCATTTGGTCAATTCGGCAAATGAATGACATTTTTACCAACAACTACTACTTGTAGTTACTAGTTGATTCGATTATAGCCTTAGGTAGTCATGGCAAAAGGCGATCCCTGCTTTCAATAGGAACCCTTGCAGCCTTGGATTGCCACAGAGTAGCTTCACTGATTTGCTGATCGGCAGCAACTGGTTACATTTTACCATGCCATGGTCCAACGGTTGTTTCATGTGGAAATCCGCCCAATGAATCCCATCCATTGAATCCATGCCGACACATTCCGGAACAATTCGACACATTCCTTTTGGCAATCGAATCGGGCACTGGAACGTCATAGCGATAAACATAAAAAAGCGACGTGGATGGGAAAGCGGCCCATCCTGCACCAGCAAAAGGATGGTTGAAACGTGCTGAAACCCTATAACTAGTGGGATGTTTACCACCTATCAGCTTCAGGATTTTGTCACAGTATTTCTGTAGATTTGTCCAAATATGGACTTTTTCCAGCTATCCAACATAGATTGTCAGAGGGTATACCCCTAAGGCGCAGCAAGCAGCGGAAGGGTGGTGAGGAGGATGAGGACAAGAAGGGCGGCTGAAAATGGGTGTACGGTATAGCCATTTTTTTTGTATTGGGAACATGTTGATAATGGATTTACGAGTGCCCTAGGGTCTGAACATTTCGGGAAACCCCAAAATTTGATGAAATTTCGTGCTTCGATGCCAAGAATGAACCATTTCCTGGGTCTATTGGCATTCCAGTTTTGAGCCATGGCCGTGTCAGATTCTGAAGATGGCCAACTAAAGGTGGCATCCAGATTTTGGGCGTCAAAAGCTTTGAACAGTTCTGGGAAGGTCTGCCCAAATGGTCTCTTTTCGTCTCTTTTCCACATTTTGCCAAAGCCCGAAATTCTCCAGACCCAAAGTTTCCCATTTGGGAACCCATCCAGCGGATATCATCAGCGGTTTTTTTTAGGAGGGAGGTAGCGTGGTGCCTTCCAGTGTGGCCAAGAAAGTGCTGGGGATGGCCACTGGGTTGCGATTCTGCTTAGCATCCTGGCAGTGAGCCAATCCCAATCTCACACTGGATGGATCATAGTCATAGATTTTGATTTTGATTGGTTAAACATCGGTTTAGTCGGTTTAGTCTTTAGCTAAATATATCTTTTAATTTGATCGTTTATATTGTTTTCACTTGTTTTCACCTTTATATTTATATCCTACCTAAAAGTTAGACTTCGAGGGGGGGAGCAACACACCACTATGCACATGTACAGTAATCGCACGAATTTGACTGTCGTAACTATTGCCCCGAGCCGGTTCCGAACTTGCTGACCTGCAAGCTACCCTCCAACAAACAGACCAGGTTTGATCACCAGCCGGGTTACATCCCCCATTTATTTTGATGGTCAAAATCTTATTTCAACTGGATTTTTGTTGGTCAAACCAAGCATGTTTTAGACCCATGGTAAACCCATGGTAAACCCATGGTAAACCCATGGTAAACCATGTAAAACCACCATGTTTTACCTTTTTCTGCCCCATTCTAGTGATTCTAGTGGCAATTCCTCGAATACGCCCAGGTTCAGTCGCAAAAAGCGGATGAAGAAGACGGAGACTTTGGCTCCGAACTCGCAGACCAAGAGGTCAATAGTACCCTCGACGTTGAGGAGGCGACCATAGTCATTGAACGAAGTAGGGATGGGCCGGGATGGGGCTACAAAACCAAGCATTTTACAGGGTTGCTCCAACATGCTCCATCAGAGGTAGATGATCACCAGTTTCGGTGGGAAAACTCGGGGAAAATTGATGATTTTTGATCTACAATTTGTGCCCCAAACGTGATGTTGGGATGTTGAGAGCAAGCCTGATCATCTACTCCTATTTGGTGGCTTCTGAAACTTTTTGACCCCTGCAGGTTTTGATATGGGTCCCGGGTTTGGCGTATCTTGGCACTTTTGATCTATTATGTCTATGGAATGTACCCGTTGATATTCCATCCCTTGAATCAGACAAGTATTGCCTGAGTCATCTTGGTGACTTGCCCTGAGTCATACTGAGTCATCTTGAGTCATCTTGACATTTACTTTCCCGAGTCATCTTGAGTCATTTCTCTGAGTTTCAATGGGGATACTGGATCAAAGCCACCCGGTTGGCAGACGGCCGGGTTGGCAGGTTTTATTTGATGGGATCAAACCTGAGCTGTGCAGGCAGAGGAAATTGACGTTGAAGTCGATGAGGCAGGGCTTGGAGTTCAACCGGTAACCAGTCGTCGATGTGGTGAGATCTGGTAAGATGGCTGAAGCATGACTATTTGAGATAGGACAATCACATAGAATATATATATATATATATATAATCTAATTCAATAGAAGAATAACATCATATAATACAAATTAACTTAATTCAATATAATATTACGGTATACATGTTTTTCACGTTTGTCCCACTGTCATCTTTTTGAGGGTAGCTCCCCGTTCAGTTGTGAACAATGGGCCACCTGAAACCTGGCCTTGTAACCACCTGGGGAGAACTGGTTTTGGTATCTCTGTTTCTACCGAATTCACTGCTGAGGACATCCAGATTTCATTGGTTAAACCGTATATATATAATATATTGTATATATATATGCAAACATCTGCCTTTCTAAAAATCGACCCCACAACTCGCTGAGGATGGCTTCATTGTGGGTCCCAATGCCTCCGAAGAAGATGAAAGGGCCCCTTGTTGGCCCAGGGGTGTTTGGCGTTGACGACTTTCGGCCCAAAGGATGGGCTTATCAGCAAAACGGATATAACAATATTAATAACAGCTATTCAAACAGTAGGTATTCCAATTATTCAATGTGATTCACCAGCCATATGTATAATCACTGTATAATCACTATAGTCCAAAGTATCGTACAATCGATTTGATCATGGAAAATTCTGGAGTAGATGCCCGTGGTGTGTTCCGGCCCAATTTTTGACCTCACCATGGCGTTGCCACCAGGGCATCCTAGCCTTTTTGAGCGGAATCTAGCCTCACATGGCGCAGATAATTTGGTTCCAAATAGACCCAGGTTCTAATTTCCACTACAGGATGGTGGGACTTGGGTCCACTACAAAATTGTCAGGCAGGCTATTTTGCACGGAATCTTGGTGTAGGAGCCTTCTATTTTGTAGCAAAGGGGTTTGTGTTGCCGGTCCAAGCCACATAGGGCCCTAATTCATCAACAAATCAATAGATGCCACCAGGGTCTGCTGGGGGTGTTTACAAGGTGCCTTCCGCCTTGAGGCAATGTCCTTGTTTCTTCCAAGCAAGTCTTCTGCACAGGCGGTCACCGTTGCAATGGGATGCTTGAGCTATCTTCAGCCAAGTTGCTCACCTTTCCTGTTGAGCCTTTTTTTGGACATGTGATGCAGTTTTTCCTCCCATGATTCATGGTCTCCTGGCCTAAGAACTCATGTGACGGGCAAGCCGGGATGAGGCCATCCGAAGGTTCCTCTCAATATTGGAGCTAACGAGCAAATCTTCCAACTATAGGTGGTATATACGGTATAGCTGCAAATGTTTCTTCCCTCAGTCATATGGTAAATTCATAGGTAACTTGACCCATCCCCAGGTAATTTTTTTTGGATTTCCCGTGGCAAAGCCTCAAAATCAGCCATCAGGCCGGCCCCACCCTGGCCGACATCATCCTGCAGAAGATCCAGGACCAGCGACCTGGGAGAAGCTGCCGAAGTGGCGAACAGTTCGACCACTTCTTTTTCGGGCCTCGTTGATGGGAATTCATCACAAAAACAGATAGACAAGGATCAATGCATCGATTTTTTACTTGGACTGTTTTCTCCTTTTTTGGGCTACTGACTTGTACACTTTCCGTCAGTTTTGGGTTTTCCTGCTATAGAATGGTGACTCGGGGACTTGGGCATTCCATCCGAACTGGAAGCCATGGCCCATTTAGTTCGATGAGTGAGATATCGAGATTTTATCCGCGATTTTCTATGGCAAACTGTTGAATTATATATCAGAGGGGAACCCTCCAAACAATTCACCATTAACTATTGGTATACCATAAACATGGTGTTTATTGGCGCGGCGAACCATTACGGGAGTTGGTTCATTAACTATAGTTACAGCGAGAACCACTACAAGTCCATTAGCTAAGTTGGTGAATGACTTCAATCGTTACTAGTTAAGTTATTCTGACGCAGAGTTAGTTAATTAAGCCTAGTTATTCGATGTTATTACTTATTAGCTGGTTGATGATCACAGCATTTATGAGTGTTTTGGAACTTAGCGATGATCGTGATGGTAAGTATGCTGATCTTTATTAACTATACATAACTATTAACTACAGTATATAGTGATTGTTGGTAACCCCATTAAAAATTAGCCCAATCGTTACCAACTTCATGTGACCATTACCACTTCGGCACCGCCTAGGAGGCCGAAGCCCGAAAAGCTTCGGGAGAGAGTGCCTGGCTCTGCGCGGAGAGAGTACCTGTTGGTTATGGTTATGGCGACCCCAAAAACGATGCAGAAAAAGTCGGTGACTTACAGATGCCACTATCGTATAGCAACGGATTTTGCCAAATTCTAGATCTTTTATGATCTTTTTGGAGGTTGCTATAGTACTCATATAATGGGGTTTACCCATCAATTTATAGGATTTTATGGGGGTTTGATGGTTTGATGGAGATATCACATGATAGTACATGATATTTACTGCACGTGAATCACGTGATAAATGTTGTTTTCTTTTTATTAGTCAGTTGGAGTTAAGAAAACCTACCCATGTGGTTGGGGATTCTCTTTTTCTCCACGAACTGATCGATCATTTTCTCAGCAATGATCTCAAGCGGGTTTTGTTCATTGTGAAGATGTGGGGTGCTGCATCGGCAAACATGCTGAAGATGTGGGCATTGGTGAAAACATCCTGAGACCTGTCTGATTTATTCAGATTCGTTGATGCTTGGGATGTGGACAGAGGAATTCGGTGTTTTGGTCCGCGACCACGACGACCACGAGTTTCTTATTGAGTTGTAAAGCGAGTCGCTGGGAAGGGCCCATCTGACCGGGTGCATCCATTTGGGATGATGATCAAGTCTGCACATCTACATCAGCTCATTGGACAATTCAACTCATCCACTGTCGGTAGTTTTTTTCATACATCCAGCTATTGGGGTACCTCTATTTTAGAACACCATAATTCATGCGAATGCTCTCTAAATGACCTTTTGGACGCTAGAATTTCAATAGGTCCAAGTGCGATTTCACCCGTCCAGTCGTGATGAGTTGCTTCCGAGTTTTTGACCCAGGTGCTCCCAACGAAGAGCAGGGACTTTCCCCGAAGGTCGTGGAGGTGCTATGGTCAAATTGGTCAAATGAGAAGTTTCATCAGTGGAATTTCGCCAGGAACTGGGAGTTTCAATCAGTTTCAGCAATTTTTGCATCTGGAAAGTTTTGCACAACGAAAAGAAAGGACTTCGACCAGGAATTTGAGCTATGAAAAACCATCAGAATGGGCAAGGAAACCGACCAGAGCTAACCTGGCAATGAAACAGAAAAGCATGAAATGCCGGGGATTTCGCAGCCCATGTTGAAATCTAGTGGAGGTTAAACTCGTTCAAGTTGAACTTTCAAGTTTGGCCTGGAAGTCCGGAAAGACTGAGAATTTGTAGCTGACCTTTGACTCAGCATAACTGGGCGGATGCCGATCTGCCTGATTGGGTAACCGGATGAGGCTTTTGAAACAAATGCTTCACAACGTCCGTGAATGTTGGGAACACTCCAGAGCTCATTGTAAATCTATAGATGTATTTGAGTCATCCACTATCTTCTCACCAAACTCTGATGGTTTATATAACGATATATAACGGACATCATTACCAGTAGTACCGCGCAAGGCGGTGGCGGAAGTTTCAAAAATAGGAAACCTATAGGAGAGATTGGCTGTTGTGAATCAGGGATGGCAGAGGGAATCCACTGATGGACCGAAAGGTGCTTGAGGTCTCCTCTCTTTCTCTCTCTTTCTCTCTCTTTCTCTCTCTTTCTCTGACTATCTACTTACCTACCAGCCTATCTTCTATGTATCTATCTATCTATCGATCTATCTATCTCTCTCTTTCTCTCTTTCATCTAATTACCTATCTACCTATCTACCTATCTACCTATCTATCTATCTCTCTCTCTCATCTGTCTATCTGTCTAGCTGTCTACCTGTCTGTCTGTCTGTCTATCTATCTGTCTATCTGTCTACCTGTCTATCTGTGGTTCATTCAGTGTAATCTAGTGTAGTGTAATGTAGTGTAGTGTAGTGGAGTGTAGTGGAATGTAGTGTAGTGTAATGTAGTGTAGTGTAGGTTAATTTCGTGTAGTGGAGTGTAGTGGAGTGTAGTTGTGTAGTCGTAGTTGTAGTTGTAGTGTAGTGGAGTGTAGTGTAGTGTAATGTAGTGAAGTGTAGTGGAAGGTAGTGTAGTGTAATGTAGTGTAGTGTAGTGGAGTGTAGTGTAGTGTAATGTAGTGTAGTGTAGTGTAATTTAGTGTAGTGGAGCGTAGTGGAGTGTATTGTAGTGGAGTGTAGTTGTGTAGTTGTAGTTGTAGCTGTAGTTGTAGTGTAGTGGAGTGTAGTGTAATGTAGTGAAGTGTAGTGGAAGGTAGTGCAGTGTAGTGTAATGTATTGTAGTGTAGTGGAGTGTAGTGTAGTGTAATGTAGTGTAGTGTAGTGTAATTTAGTGTAGTGGAGTGTAGTGGAGTGTAGTTGTGTAGTTGTAGTTGTAGTGTTGTGGAGTGTAGTGTAGTGTAGTGGAGTGTAGTGTAACCTGTAGTGTAATGTAGTGTAGTGTAGTGAAGCGAAGCAAGCGACATCTGAACCTCCAAAAGTGGTCCGAACTCCTGGTGTTTTTAACATGTTGACTTCGAAATGTGCTTTGCGCCACAACGGCGTGCACTTTTTCGACATCTCAACTTCCAAAAGTGCTCGGAGACCCAGGTGTTTTGTACATTTTCACTTCGAAATGTGCTTCGCGCCACAACGGCGTGCACTTTTTCGACATCTCAACTTCCAAAAGTGCTCCGAGACCGCCAGTTTTTAACACTTTTTACTTCCAAATGTGCTTCGCGCCACAGCGCCGTACACTTTTTCGACATCGCAACTTCCAAAAGTGGTCTGAGACCCAGGTGTTTTGTACGTTTTGACTTCGAAATTTGCTTCGCGCCACAACGGCGTGCACTTTTTCGACATCTCAACTTCCAAAAGTGGTCCGAACCCCTGGTGTTTTTAACATTTTGACTTCGAAACGTGCTTCGCGCCACAACGGCGTGCACTTTTTCGACATCGCAACTTCCAAAAGCGGTCCGAGACCCAGGTGTTTTGTACATTTTGACTTCGAAATGTGCTTCGCGCCACAACGGCGTGCAATTTTTCATCTCTCCTCTGGCCAGCTGGCTTCGCACCCGCCGCTTTACCGAGCCTATTTTTCGACCCTCCGGAGCCACAAATCATTGGAAAAACACAGTGAATCGCGACTTTCTTACCTTTTCGCTCATCTTCATCTTCTTTCTTCTCTGATCTTCTCTCTTCTACTCTTCTCTCTTCTGATCTTTCTCTTCTCTCTGCCTCTGCCCTGCTCTGCTTTTCATCTGTCCATATTGTCGGAAGTTTGACTTCTAAACTTCCTTCGACAATTCAGATGGGTTTAAACCATTTTATGTATACATGCTTGGATGAACTGCGGGATATGTGTCCAACATTCGCGACTTTGACCCCCCAACATATTGAATCAATGTATGCGCCAATCGCTTGCTAGGTTTTAACGACATTTCCTTTCCACGTTTCAGGTTCAATGGTTGATAGCCACCAAAAATCAAAGGTGTATTTTTTTTAAACCATCCAAAATTGGAGGTTAAATGAGTTAAATGTACCATGTTTTTATTTCCCACAGCCCAATCATTTGTGAACGCCGGTAGCCACCACCACCCCTCGGCCCCTCGGTGCACTGCGGAGGTGTACAGCGACATTGGGAAGTTCCTGCGATTTTACAAATCGGGCCCAGTTCCCAAGGCTTTCAAGGCAGTCGGGTTTGGGGGGGTGGATTTTTTATCCAGCCCGATGGCTACGACGTTGATCCCCAAAGAATTGAGTAAAATCATGAACATCTGGGTGTTTCACCAGCAGAAATGTAGTTCCAAGTTCCAACATCACTTGGTTTTACCCGAAATATTTGAAATTGACCGAAATTCTCAAGATCAATCTCCGGATGATTTGGTGTTTTCCATCTTGATTTGGTGTTCAGCCGACTTTGAGATCATGGCCGTAGTACCGTAGGATTTCAGGTGGTCCTGTGCCTCTGACAGAGCCAAAGATATCGCTGTAATGAAGGATTAAACTTCTTACGAAAGAAGGCAGTTTTACTTCCTTGTCATACCCAAGGGGGCATGGATGTACCACCACAGGGCAAAGTTTGTGACCCGACCTGTAGATTGGTCAAACAATGAACGAAGATGACTTTTCTGTGCAGGTGATGATGCAGTGAAGCATTTTTTGCAGGAGCAATAGCCAGAAAAAAATGCAACTGAACCCCCTTCAAACAATTCAAAACATGTTTGGACACATATGATTCTACTGGCGGATGCGGCCTGGTGATGTGAGCAAGTCAATTCCTGACATATATTTCTGCGGGTTCATCTGCAACACATTGGGGGTTTTCAAACATGTTCGCACATTATTTCCCATATTTCGATTGATGATCGCCCCGGAACTCATATAAACTTTTGGGGGCGCGTAAAACGCAACCAGTCTTAGAGGTGGTTTCGGAAAGTCTACAGGACACCAATATAATATTATATATATATATATATATTATATACACACATGCTAACCCCCCCAGAAACCTACCGTTTTCGATTTTTTATTGTCTTTTACAGTGATTTTTGTTGGTTTTGCCATCATTTTTTTCATTCATTTGAAGACTTTGGATGCTTGATCATCATGAGTCATGATGCTTCATGTGTAGATACAACGACATATTTTGATGGTATTTGCAGCGTTTTCAACTACCGAATTGTGTTCCCAACAAAGGGTTTCAATTCAAACATTGACAGAATGCGCACGGCACTGTGGTCAAATGCCAACTTTAAGCTTTACATTGGTTTTTACAGTGGTTTTATTCCTTTTTGTGACACATGAAATTTTGGATTCTGGACACCTTCAGATCTTGCAGACATATTATTTGATGATCAATATGGTAGATATTTCTTAGGCCTTTTTTTCCTTACTATGTAGCTTCTCTCTTGTTGTACTGCTGCAGTGGCTCAATACTTTGGATGATGTGTGGGTCTCAGGAGGTCCTAGGACCTCTTAGTTCGTACCCCTTCCAAACCATGTCTTAAGTATAATTTAATATAATTTACGTACCTCCAAGTACCCCAACCTCTCTGCAAATTTTCTCTTAAGTAGTGATTCAACCCATATGAAAAAGATCCTTCAACTTTGGGTCTTTTCCCCAAACCTGAAAAAAGGCGGTGAAAACACTGTAAATGACTACAAGAGACGATCAAACATGCATCCTTCTCTTACTGTAACCAATTCTAAGTGACAAGAGCAGGCTTTACAAACAGACACTTTCATTCAAAGGGTGTAGCATTCCTTAAGCAAAAGGAGTATTCCTTTTCAATAGGTAACATTCCTTTGTAGAAAGCCACTTCTCTTGAAAATATATCTCTTGATTTCGATCAATCGGTGTTTTTTTTTTTTTCCCCAACATGTAAATATGCATGAACGTACCAAGATGTACTAAGTATATACAATACTTCTGGAAGGGAGAAACACGTTGCACAAACAGTCCCTGCAACATACAAGGCATCTTCCAAATCAAATGCAGTATCTCTTCAAATCAAATAAGACTATCTTCAGAAATGTAGCCATTACTTTGAAGAACATACATGTTTTTCTCTAAGTGACACTATATTTGTTGAAAAACAAGTTGGATATTTAAAAGAACATGCTGCACATGTGGCACAAGTACTGCTACATTGTGCTTTCTAGAGTCAGTATGCCCTAATTTTTTGACAGTAATTGTGTATACTTGAAATGAACAAATGCGAGCCGTCTTTGCTTAAACAAGAACATCACAAATGCTACCTTTGTGAGATTGACAGCGCCCCTTCTGAAGAAACGTGACTTGAAAGGGCACAGCATAACTTCAATAAGAAAGCTCCCTTAGTCTATGCAGTATTCACTGGAAACAATCATAGTTCCAAAAGAGTTGTAGTGTAGCATTACTGTTTTGCAGTTTTCCATTGACAAGAATGATACATTCCTTAAACATGGTGGGGCATTCCTTCAAGAAAATGTAACATTGCTTTGACACAGTCTGTTCATTTATTTTTCTGGCTTGGGGAAAAGACCCAAAGTTGAAACTTTTTCATGGTAGTTGAATCAATCCCATCTGCTTAAGGGAAACCCAAGATGGATGCATTTCCACAGGAATGCATTCAGAATGCATTCTTTCCCTAATCTAAGATCTAAGATCTAAGATTTGCTCAGGAGTCTTTGGGGAATCTTAGATTCAAAACCAAGAACCAAGAACCAAGATTCCCCCAGGACTCCTGAGCAAATCTTGGTTCGAACCAAAACCAAGAACCAAGATTCCCCCAGGACTCCTGAGCAAATCTTGGTTCGAACCAAAACCAAGAACCAAGATTCCCCCAGGACTCCTGAGCAAATCTTGGTTCGAACCAAAACCAAGAACCAAGATTCCCCCAGGACTCCTGAGCAAATGGAAGCAGGCCGTGCAATCTAAGCTTCCTGGCTGTGCAGGTGATCCCGAGCTTAACCAACTGGGAGGAGGCGAGCTTCACTGCTGACTTGAGTGGTGAGATTGGTTTCACATCAGCTTCAAGTATCCGTTGGAGATTATATCATATTATATCCCCTGTTTTGTGGGGCGATGTTTAACTATAGGACATATTTAGGACATATTTAGGACATATTTAGGACATATTTAGGACATTGACATTTACCAACCCAATGTGATTTAGGGGAATATGGGGGAAGAATTTCACAAAGCCTCAACCATGGGGCTGCGACCTTTCTGGAAATCGGAAACACCGCACCATGGAGGGCTGATCCGCGCGACCGTGTTTTTTTGGCTCAGCGGCTCAGCCGTAATTCGGCGTCGTTGTCACGGATCAAAAGCGTGACGGGCGTCGTTGTCACGGCCTTGTATGGCAATGATGGAGACCTGCCCCTGGAAGGTTTTGCTGAAGCGGAGGAAGGGGTCGCCCATGCAGTTGAAACAGTTTCTGGTGGGATGCCAAGTGGGATGGTGAACTTTAATTAGATCATAGATCAAAAGGGCCTGGAGTGGTTTGGACATTTCGGTTGGTTCAGAGTCTGCTTGGGTTGATTTCTCCCACATTCTCCCAGCAAATTGATGGCGAAACCACATCCTTCAGAAAACTCATGGTGGTGAAGCCCTCCAAACTCAGACCGGAGGCACGCACCCTTAAACCACCGTGCACTGGTTTAACATCCCGGAAAAGGGTGGAACACATCATTTTTTCCCCACTTTTCCGGACTTTTCCGCAACTCCCAGGTGATGATCAGCCGAAATTCGAAAAGCTTCGAAAGCTTTGTAGAGCAGCAGCGACAGGAAGGCTTGGAGGAGATCCGTGCAGCGATTTTTGTTGGGTTAGCATCCCCTGAAAACACGAAATACCATCATGATCACACTTGGTGGGACCATATGAAAATATGTGAAAATTTATTGATACATATGAACATATACATTAAACTAGCTTATTTTATTTCCAGGTGGTTAAAAACCAGGGTTTCTATGAAAAACTTGGTGATTTTTTTGGCAAAATCACCCCAAAATGGTAAGATCTTTTTTCTATGTAGAATATGGTTCTCAACTATTCTCAGCGACAAGATTTTGGGGTTTTCCCAACATTGTCAGAGAGAAGCCCCCAACTCCCCAAAATTGTGACGCAATTTGTGGGATTTCACAGGCGTTTTTTAGAGTATTTTATGGCTATAGGGTATAGCTTAGACAAATCATGTTTCTGGAGTGTGTGATTTACACCGAAAATCCACGCAATTCCGCATGATTCATGGATTAGCCCTGGCTTCATAAAGTTTATGATCACTTTCAAAAGTTCCGTGGACATTTCGTCACCCTGATGCGAGGACATGGAGATGGAGTTTCCAGAATTTCCAGAGGACGGCCAACTGGAATCTCCACATGCAGCCCAGCACGTCATCAAGATGTTGTGTGAGAAGCGCAGCAGACCCTGCGAGCGCTCCATGCTGAGTTTGTAAAATTTGAATGGCGATGGCTTTTTCAGTCAGCTAGGGGATCCCAACCAGGTGGTGCCACAGTATGCCACAGTTATATTAATTGTTTTATAAATCGTATAATTACATAGACTATATAGATATGTATCTTGTAAACAGTGTTATGTATATATATATATAATTATATATATATACATATATATATCTTTATGAACCATAGTAGCTACAGAATTACACTTGTTTTGTCAACCATAGGTACCCCATGTTTTGTCAACCATAGGTACCCCATGTTTGATCACTTTGTTATGGTCAAAACATGACGATCGTGTACCACCGGGATTCGAGCGGGCTTTCCCCCGGGTGAACTGACTCATTGCCGTTTTTTTTTGGGTATGGCTCAAAACATTGAAAACTATGGACGACCATCATTTTGGGCATGGCAAATTTTTCAAACATGATCCAAAGTGTTTCTGGGTCCGATGCTACCCTAAAATGGCTTGAGCCATTCTCGAAGTCATGTCCTCTGACATTCGCACAGTTCGTGAAAAAATCGTTCCATCGATGCGCAGCTTCTCCATCGTTTCAACGCCCGGGGGATCCCGGGGGCATGTTGAGAGATGGGGATGGACCAATTTTAGAATTTCATGGTGATGGAGAAAAATTGGGATCTGATACTATCCCTCTGGTAATTTGTTACGTAGCTATTGAAAATGGCCCAGTCGAAATAGTGGATTTTCCCATTAATAGCATGGTGGATCTTTCCAGTTCGCTATGTAAACGTTTACCAGAGGCTATCCCATTTTGAAACTTATGTTTTGAACAGACTTTGGAGCTCAACATCCTGAGTCAAAACGTTGCCATCTGTCAGTCGCGTTGCGACTGGTCGTTTAGAAACATCGAGTCGACTCCAAAGTTCTGCGAAGCTGTTGTGTAAAATTCAAGCTTAGCTGGCTGTGAAACCAGATTCGAAACCAGATTCGACTGCATGTTGGAAAACGATGGGCCCTGCTACTTGTGAACTTCTGGTGATGAATGACGGTCCAATTTCATTCAAATCAACTCACATCGGTCAAACATCATATATTCTGAGCTGTTATCACTTTTATCCCAGAATAAACACAAGCTAGTATCATGGAATCACATATAATCACATCGCTTGCAATATTATGATATAATAATTGACTGTATATATATAGATACATACAAGCTATTTGGCTACAGGGCCCATCATTCTAAACAGAGAAAGCTTTCTACAGGACAGGGGGATCTCAAAGTGAGGCAAAGCCTACACATGGAGTGCCCGAAACATCTCCTGAATCTTTAGATACTGACTCATCCCTGCACAGCTTGGTACGGGGCACTTCAGCTTCTCCCAGCTTCCACCAATTCCAAATGGACGTGCCTTAGTGCCTCATTCAATGTGCGCAACACGTTTCAGAAAGCGAACATCGTCGGTGGAAAAACGCCTGTGTTTCTGCTGGCTTTTGCGATGCAAACAAATATGGCATTGTCAATTATAAATTATCGATTGTGCTTTAGCATATCAAAACCATAGTTGCTGATATCTGAATGTTCACATCGTTGCTGAAATTTGCCCTCGTTTTATTTCCATCATACCACTTTTTATTTACGCCAATTCAACCCCATCAAACCCGCATAAAATCCCATGAAAAAGTATCTAAAAACTTATTAATCCCACCATTAATTAACACATCTGAACTATAAAATTTTAAGTATAATGAAAAGCAATATAATTATATTGAAATGTTATATGTATAATATACAACATTTGAACTATATATATATATATAATTTTAAGCATAATGAAACCCAATTTGGCCACCATCAAAACAATGGATTGGTTTTTCCGGGAAAATATTGACCGGAAACCGTAAATGTTCCCATTAAATATGTGGATTTCCTGTAAATTTTCCCTTAAACCAATCCATTGATACATATATACAGTACATATATAATATATTATAATATCATATTAGTATGATTAACACATTGATTAACCATATACTACCCATGTATTAAACCAATCCATTGATTTTTCAACATCTACGTGACGTACCTGTGCAGGTCCTCGCCCTGACATCCCCATTAACCTGGAGCCCAGCAGCCATGTACCAGGCGGGTTTCCGTGGTGACTTGGGGATCCCCCTGATTCACTGATGGGAACCCACCCCCTACCTGAGTTCGTTTAAAAAAAATCAGAGAGAGTAGTGATTTAAGCACCAACTTAGTATTTTTTTTATCATACATTAACTTAGTATTTTTCATTGACTAACTGATCAAATCATACATGATACATGTCCATCAACAGGGATTTCCACACTGACATGTATCACATTTTCATTTGATGATGACATCTAATATTAGCCATCAAGAAAAGGAAATTAAAGGGATTGAATGGGGATGTGATTGGATCTATGACCAACTAAATAAAAGACTATTAGTGTGTGTGTGTGTGTTTGGAACTTCTGAACAGAAGTAAAACCTCAACTGTTGCTTCTTTTTCAGCTTTCTGATTCAGAAGGGGGACGTGGCATGCAAACAGGGACCACGTCCAACGAAGCTACCTGGTTGGATAAGATACAGAGCCTGATCAGCTCTGCGTACCTGCTCCATTTTCCAATTTGTGTGGCAAGCGGCCAAGCCAATTTCCGCCCAGCCATTTTTTCATGTCTGCACAATTGGCGCAATCTGAGACTGTGGTGAAAGACAGCCACCGATTTATTTACTTAGAAATCTTACGCTGGATCCTCGTGACTGGCAATTCCTATGTGTTCTCCTCCCCTGATCAGGAATAATTGAGGTGTTGTTTTGCACGACCGACGCATTCCATATCACAATTCGATAAGAGAAGTCTGAGCAAGTGTGTGAAAATGGAACGACCCCACTTGAATGATCATTGAAAACTGGGAACATGATGATTGACCATTGGATAGAAGGGGGTTCCCTGTTTTCAGACAAAGTCATTTTTTTTTTGTGGGTTTGATTGGTTGGGTTTGATGATTTCATTGTTTTTCTTCCTCTTATGGATGATATATTTCCGGGTAAATGCTGGATTCTCCCTTAAGATCCAATTCTTGGAATTTGACTTTCTTCTAATCCCCAGTTTCGGGTGCATCTGAATCCACCTGTCTGGCTTTTCACGACCTCACTGACCGTTTTGTTGTATATCCGACTAAAGTCTTTATGTATGTCTCTTGGGGGCATTCCAAGGTATTGGATATTCCTTCCGATTTCGGAGCGTCGAACAAAGATTGGGTCCACTGGCAACTTTACACTGTTAAGACAACCCAACGACTTGGTGACAGTACAATTCCTGTATGACAATCTGGTGTTTCCACATTTCCGATTGGTACCTGGGAGGCATTTCTCCCAGGCTCTGAGATTTTTTGGGATGGGTCAGTCAACCCAACCAGAATTGCTTTAAGATTTTAGGGGAAAAATTACCGTCGAATCCTTTACCTGTAATCTTAACCAAAGATTAGAACATCCCTGGTTTATTCCTGGAAGTACCAGGTTTGAAAGTAGTTTATCACTTTCCATGGACCCCGTTAATTTCTAAACTAGGGGGTTGGCAGTCCCGGGTTGACATCAATTTTCAGAGTTACAAACAAATCACACCCCTATGGTCGGTCCCTCTAACACCACATAGTTGGACCGAACCAGCATTCTTGGCTGGTTTCGTGGGTTTGTTTTTGGGCCCCAGTTATATCCATTTACAACTTACAATCATGATATAGTGTTTGGTTCAACGGGCTATTAGAATCCACTATGGGAACATCAGAGCTAATATCAACATGGGGAGGGGGTCGAAATGATTGGACCAAAAGCGGCAATGACAGGGATTCGTAAATGTCCGCAAGAAAATTTTCACTTGAACCATTAAGTCGTTAAGTTTGTCGGTCAAATCCTATATTTTCCCATATAAACCATCATTTTGCAAAACCAAAGTTAAAATATTGGTTTCCCCCCCAAAAAAAAACAGGTAAACAAAATTAGGTAGGCATGATTGATAATGTTGTACCCATCTTCCAATATAAACCATCATTTACCAACAACATATGATCCCTACGGCCTAAGTTTTTTGATCCCGACAAACCAAAGGGAAACCACATATCATATACCCACCATTTTACCATGATTTCCCTTTGCTTTCCGTGATATAAATCCAGCTATGCATCACCAAAAGCTGGCTCCGCAACGGAACGTTCCCGAGTTCCCGAGTTCCCGTGCCCCGCAAAAGCCGCGAAAGCGTTGTGGTCAAACGCCATGCGGACCATCTATGACGAGATCATGGAGAAGGCCTTTGGGCATATTAGGGTATATACGGGTATTACAGTATATGAGTATATGATATGTTGTATATATATATACATATACATAGTATACACATACAACCATATATATGGGTATATAGTATGGGGCATCTTCTAAGGTCTGATTCATCTGACCTGCTCAGAAGCTGCATTATCTGTGGAAACCATGCTTTGGCAAAGCCAGCATATCGAAGAAGTGGTAGGCCGAGACACATCTGTTTTTCAGACACTTAAAGATGCCTGGTCTAGCTTTGAGCACGACACCAGATTGTTCACAGCAAGTGCCAACCAAATCAAAGCTGTTTGGGAGGCATTGGCGTTTTCGGATAAGGTCAAACAAGCTTTCGTTTCTGTCCGACGCTTCTATTTCGTATTCGTTTGAAGGGAGTTTGCGTCGGAGAGTTCTGACTGATCTTTGATCCTGAACCTCGATTGATTTTTCTGTCCTAACCGTGCCGACGACAGATAGTGTTTGGCACGAACAGAACAGGGTATATAGTATATATATATATATGCAACTTGGGATGAGATGAATGGATATTTGATATGATCTATTTTCTATTTTAGTTTAAATGGGTTTTATGTTGTAAGACACATCGGGGCTCATAATTCTTGGTTCTCAATGATCATGAATGGGATTTACACATGTCGTATGTAGCAACAATATTATATTGGGTGTGTTTGGTCATTGTTTACCATAAATGGCAACGTCGATGGTAACATCACTACAGTATCCACCAATATCCACCATGAAATTTTTGGAGTTTTCCAGTCAGCAAGTATTCAAGTTCAGCTAACATTGATATTTGCCATCTCAAATCAACATTTTTAAACAGCACTTGGGGGATTTTGATGATTCCATTTTACCACTGGATCAAGTGGAGATCCAAGTTTTTTTTGTTGGCAACCTGACGCGCAGGCCGAACCCATTTTAAGTGATGGTTAACATCAAGGGAAGCGACCTCAACTAGCGGCTAACTCTTTGTGGATATGACATGACCAAACAGCTAGAGGGGATGCCATGAAGCCAATGATTCATTGCAAAAGGTAGGACCTCCCCTGGAAAAAACCATCCCTTTCAGTGCCATGATGAACCGAAGCACTTCAAGCTGTGCAAACATATGGTTTGTCCCATAAAAATTGGGGGGCTGGTCATCCATGATTCCCAATATGGTGTGAATGACTGGAGAGACACCCTTAGGACATACACACGGTTTGACCAATACTCCAAACCCAGGGGCTTTATCATTTTTTACCCCATATTTGGCTGCTACGGCACGCATTTCTGTTGCTGACAACCCCCAATGTTAGGGATCTCCATATGGTCGTTTGAATGTAGCCGAATGTAGCCCTTATTTTATGACTAGGTCACTAGGTTTTGCTGGTAACGGGCATTCATCGCTAATTGTTTTATATCTTTCCACCGAAACATCGGCCTTTCAAAACACTTCTTGAATCCACCCACTGTTTGGGGTCTACGGTGGTGTAATTTCAAGTTAAATTGCTCTTGGAGTGTGGGTCTGGGAGGTTTTAGCTCCAGTTTTTTCCGGCAGGAAGAGAAGTGGAACTTGAAGTTCTTCCTTCAAAATCGCCCTGACTTAGCGGCAAAGCTCCAGAAAGGACCTGAGTGGCTTGGGGATTCGTGACCCTCGCCCCCAACTGAATTGACCCAGCAAGAAAAGGAGTGACACGTGACACGTCAAGCCTGAGTTGTTTTGGTGATTCTTTCCCCCACAACACAGATATGGTCATAATTGCTGCAAAGCTAAACCCGGGAGACCAGGTCTTTAACATTCTTTAACAGATCCTAAACATAAAGAAGGGCCATGGCTCTGGAGGGGGTTTTGTTTTGGGCCTTGATTCCCCACATTTTCCGCTGGGGAGGATGGACTAGGGGGCTACAGGCTACAACTCATAGATCACTTCTCTTTTTGCACGGTGGTTTGATCCGAAAATGGAAGGATCCGTAAATCCATTGGTTACTGATCATGCTCCCTGGGTCATCTGGGTCCCTGTTAAGGTGGTGTGGCCATGTCAAAAAGTGGTCTCCCATTGTTCTCTTTGGATTATCTCATAAATAGCATAGATATGAAGAATCCAGCATGGTCCAGTAGATCATTTCCTGGGAACAGGAAAACCAGGAAAAGCCCACCAGGTAAACCCCAGGTAAATCCTTGGAAAAGCCTGGGAAAACAGGAAAACCCCAGGTAAATCCTTGGAAAAGCCTGGGAAAACACCAGGTAAACCCCAGGTAAATCCTTGGAAAAGCCTGGGAAAACAGGAAAACCCCAGGTAAATCCTTGGAAAAGCCTGGGAAAACCCCAGGTAAACCCCAGGTAAATCCTTGGAAAAGCCTGGGAAAACCCCAGGTAAACCCCAGGTAAATCCTTGGAAAAGCCTGGGAAAACCCCAGGAAAACCCCAGGTAAATCCTTGGAAAAGCCTGGGAAAACACCAGGAAAACCACAGGTAAATCCTTGGAAAAGCCTGGGAAAACACCAGGAAAACACCAGGTAAATCCTTGGAAAAGCCTGGGAAAACACCAGGAAAACCCCAGGTAAATCCTTGGAAAAGCCTGGGTCCTTGGAAAAGCATGGGAAAACACCAGGAAAACCCCAGGTAAATCCTTGGAAAAGCCTGGGAAAACACCAGGAAAACCCCAGGTAAATCCTTGGAAAAGCATGGGAAAACACCAGGAAAACCCCAGGTAAATCCTTGGAAAAGCCTGGGAAAACACCAGGAAAACCCCAGGTAAATCCTTGGAAAAGCATGGGAAAACACCAGGTAAACCCCAGGTAAATCCTTGGAAAAGCCTGGGAAAACACCAGGAAAACCCCAGGTAAATCCTTGGAAAAGCCTGGGAAAACACCAGGAGGCGACCGGTGGGTTGTCCATAGCTATGTTCTTTCACCCTTTGGGCCCTGTGTTCGGTGCAGGACAGGAGAAGGCCAGCTCGGTGCAGGCGACCTCGGTTTTACTGAAAACCCCCAAAAAGGGGGTTTTCATCGATTCAGGAAGGGAGTTAGATACCTATGAAATATCCTAGAACTGAAACAGAATCTGCTGGCTTAACTATGGCTTATGCAAGATATAACTATAGTATACCTATCTGGTTGGTGGTTTGGAACATTTTTATGACTTTCCATATATTGGGAATGATAATCCCAACTGACGAACTCATACTTTTCAGAGGGGTAGGTATACCACCAACCAATATTAGTCAGGATTCTTATTCTGAGAGGGAGTTGTTTCTACCTATGAAATAATAAGGATTCCGAAATTTTTTATGGGATGGATGAGCTTCATTCTGAAATACCATGGTTACCATGCTTTTGACCCCCAGCACATTAATGTTTCTCGGGGAAACGGATGATCTGCGCATTTTTCACATTCCCAGGGATTTCCCAGCGAATTCTCAGGGCGAAGGGATTGATCATGGATTGATTTGATTAGATCAACATCTTTAATATAATATACAAGTTATATCCCATATCAATCCATATCAATCCATATCAATCCATATCAATCCATATATGATCTCTATATATATAATATGATCTATACATCATATGGGTATGGGTCAAAATTGGGTACCCATATCAAAATTAGATGCTTAATAGTAATCATATACGAAATCTGTGGTCCCATAGGGCTTAGATTTTGACCCATCCCCATATCTATATCATCTCCCACATCTCCCGTTTCTCCAGGCTTCCAGGTCTTTGCCAACGCTGCCAAAGATGCAAATTATCGGTGGGAAGCCTGTCCCTTGTCGTTTCGGCAGCGAGCTCGGTGTTTGAGGTTCTGTAATTCTTTAAGGGCAAAGGCTAAATTGGAACTTTCAAAACACCAAGAAGAACTGCAGAAATGATGTTTAACCATGTTTAAGCCCTTGGGGAAGGGGTCAAACTTCACCCCTTGCCACGAAACTTAAGCTGACATGCTTTGCGATATCATAGAATATGTGGGAAGGGATAAGGCCTAAGTGGACAGACCTCCTTTGGACAATCCATCAACATAGGGCTTCCATCTGATTCGATTTTTCAAAGGGTGTGTTTTATCATTTTTCCATCGCATGTTCAAACAAAAAATCCTCAGATTCCCCACGAATGACCAACAACTGGGGGATAGCAGGCCCATGTTTGGTGGATAGTGATTATACTTTCGAGTACATTGAGAATTATCAACTGGGAATCCCGTTTTCTAATCATCCAGGATTTTTTTCACATGGCTGGAAACTTTAGCGCATTTATAGAGGATTTTCCCAGCTGTAAGTCTCATTTACATAGGATTTTCGAGTGCCATGCCGCCATATTTGATGACGAGGTGCCGACCATCCTGAATCGGCAGATCTCATATCGACGCCACGACTGGGGCAGGCGCGGGCCATAGAGATGGAAGGGGTGTTTGCCAGTTTTTACCCGGCCTGGTAAACCACCATTTTAATGGGATCTAATGGGAATTTATGGGAATTTATGGGAATTTATGGTGGTTTAATGGGATCTAATGGGTTTTTACCCTCTGGTAAACATACAAAAAACTATGGAAAATCACCATCTTCAAAAACGGAACATCAACTATTTCTATGGGCCATTTCAATAGCTATGTTAAATTGCCGGAGGGAAAGTGACACCGGTATGTTCCTGCAATTTTCACTGAAAAACATAGCAAGTTTGTCACATTCCCCAGTCATTTCTCAACGGCATGGGTGGGTTCCAGTCACCGGTGGCCCGATGGCCCGATCACCTCGGCACCAGGCTGTATGCCGACGCACCTGGATGGAAGCAATGAGGGCTTCGGAGCTCATCAGCTGCTTAAAGCAGACGGTGACCACGCTGACGACGGTGACGGGTCAAGCCATGACTGGTGATGGGTGCATTGGGTGGCCAGGAAATGGTTGCTGTTTGGCCGTGAAATGAATACACAAGCTATGGATCGCTTATATGGGATCCATGATAGAACTATAGAGCTAAGGATTCTGTGAATATGTATATTTAATTGTGTATATATTTAATGGGATAGCCAGCATTTTTTTGGGTTCATGAGTTTGTCCGAAAAGTCTGTTTTAATGGTTTGGACATTAACAAAAAACGCATTTTACTGGAAACATAATTGGTAAAAACCGTTGGATTTTGGTCGGAACCGACTAATCCCATTTTCGGATAAACACAAAGAATCTAGATGTGACACGCTTCCATGCAGATGGAATCGACAAGAAATGTGATGTCTGAATGTGTCAAGTCATTGTGTACTCCAAAAATATCCAAAAAATGGATAGTCTCGGAAGTCCAGAAAAAAAGAGAATAACTGCTGTGAGTCGTTACGCATCTTACGCTCTGGCCCATACCCATCATGAATATAACCGATACAAATAACATCAACAGCATTATCAATACAAGAAATAGCACCCCGAACACTACCAACAATAGAGTGTACCAAAAACGCCAATACCATCAAGTTACAATCAGAAGGTACGACTCGTATGACTGGCCACCTGGCTGAAAAAATGCGGGATCCGTTCACCTTTGATCCATGCACTGACTTATGAAGTTTGTTCAGATTGCCATCCAACTGCCCCAAGGGCACACATGATGGCTGTTCATGGGATGTTTAGTGATAGATCTGCGCGAAATGACTGGAGCCAAAAAAAACACTTTGTTGTCATGGCAGAACTCGACCGGATTGAACTTGTGGCGGACGTGGACGTGTCTGAGAATAGGATATATCGTGAAATCCAACAAACATTCTCATCATTTCCTCCCATTTTATGGCCAGTTAAATTGGGCCCTCTTTGGCGCTGCACAAATACTGCACAAATGGCTGGTAGAGTGACAGGCCTCCGTGATTTTCGTGTCCAACCTGAACCCGCGCCACTCGGTTCAGTTTCGTGGTATTCATCAATGCACTATAAGAGCGTCATCCAAGCATTTTAAGAGCCGATTGTAAAAGATTGGATAGCTATAGCTCTATTAATAGTTCTAAAATGATCCTCGTTCTACAGATATCCAATCCGAATGAGCATTGAGGTTTCAGTATACCTATAAAATGATTCAGGAGGAATCATCCTGTTCAAGAGTAATATCCTCTGTTAGTAGACATATATCTGAAACATAGGATTCCAGAATTGGCTGAAGAAAGACATTGCAGGGTTTACCATGTGGCTTTCTGTTTCATGTAATCCCTTCCTCCTAATACTAAACGTCCCCCTAATACTAAAAACAGGCATCCATCTCCAATTTCCGAAAATTTCAGTTTGGCCAATTTGACTTTTAATTGATCCCCTTTAAAAAACAATTCAAAAATCAACCTACCATTTGTGGGTTCTCCCCCCTAATACTAAAAACTAATTCATCCCGGGGTGTTTAGTATTAGGGGGGCTAGTTTTTAGTATTAAGGGTTTTAATTTAGTATTAGGGGTAAGCTTCGAACTGCCATTTTTGGCAATATTTTAATTGCGTTATATAAGGAAATTTAATTGATTTTGAGATCGGAAAAAATAGTTTTTAGTATTAAGGGTTTTAATTTAGTATTAGGGGTAAGCTTCGAACTGCCATTTTTGGCAATATTTTAATTGCGTTATATAAGGAAATTTAATTGATTTTGAGATCGGAAAAAATAGTTTTTAGTATTAAGGGTTTTAATTTAGTATTAGGGGTAAGCTTCGAACTGCCATTTTTGGCAATATTTAATTGCGTTATATAAGGAAATTTAATTGATTTTGAGATCGGAAAAAATAGTTTTTAGCATTAAGGGTTTTAATTTAGTATTAGGGGTAAGCTTCGAACTGCCATTTTTGGCAATATTTTAATTGCGTTATATAAGGAAATTTAATTAATTAATTAATTAATTAACATGACTTCGATTTGGTTCCCTAATAATAAATACCCCCCTAATACTAAAAACTACCTGCCGTGTTTTGTATTAGGGGGGGGGGGGTTTAGTATTAGGAGGAAGGGATTATTTTAATATGTTTTCTCAAACAGATCGTCAGAGAATTTTGGGGCATGTTCTGAATTTTGTATCTCAAAGACCAGGGGTTGGTAACTGTCCCATTTTGGGAATATTGGACATCACCTTATAGTAGCCATTATAGACCATATACCCAATGATTGGGTGATGTTCAATGGGGACATTTAATGACCCATGAAGACTCTCACTTAAACTGTGTATCTCAAAGACGTTCCTGGTGTTTGAACCACTGGCGATTCAACGATTCGCCACGATTCGGTGATTTGGTAAAGCCTGGTCGTTCGCCTTGGTCGAGGTATGGCTCAACGCTTCTTCAACTTGGTGCCTTGGCGTCGAATGGATCATGCTTGGCGATGTGGCGATGTGGTTTGGCAACAAGTCGAAGATTCGAAGTAGGTCCAAAGTTAATGACCTTGGAATGAAACATCGCAACAAGTCGAATCCCGACCGATGATGTGACTGTGGATTTTCCCAGCAATCTGAAAAAACCTTGACACAGTTGGTTCGATGATTTTTCCAGCTAAGCGTGTTTGATTCGTTTGATTGCTCGTGGTGATTGACGTGATGGATAAGTTGCCAAAGCTGTCCTGCACGTCGATTCTTGTTCATCGTTTTTTCCCCTTTCCCTTTGGTTTTTTTTACAGATATATAGATATATATATATATAGTATATACACTATATATATATACTACATATACTATATATAGTATATATATATAGTATATATATCCCCGTTGTGTTTGACCACCGGCACCTGAACAACTCAGCCACCGTCGATGGATTCACCGTTGATGGATTCACCGTCCGTGGCGCGATTTTAGGTCCTGTTGCCAGCGGTGCGTCAAGACATTGGAGAGCCGGATCCTGTGGTTTCGAGGGCAAAACCAGCATCGATTTGATCCAAAGCCTTGAAGAAAAGCAGAGTTCCAAGAGCCGGCCAGAACGATGGTTGTGAACTGAGATGGATGAAGTTTCCAGCTTTTTTCCAAGTCTTATGAAAAGTCTTCCCAATATTTTTTGTATCAGAGTCATGATCAAACTTAAGTGACTTGAGGCATAAGAAGCTGAATTTCCACTACTACAGGTGCACCGGCTGGGCACCGGCCTTTGGACCCGGCCACATGTTTTGCCAAAGTTGGTTGACCATGGGTCTTGAGTAGCGAGTGGGCTACTCAAGTCTCACTATTCATTGTTTTCTTCTTGGTCTTGGTATGAATGGTTTTGAACGCTTAATCTGCCAGCCAAACAAGGAGTGCTTTTTGAAATTTTCTTGGCCTCTTAAGATCTAAATTTTGGTTTCGGATTTCAGGTGGTTTTGGGATGTTTTGGGCTTCATGAAAACCATCAGAATTTCACCATGGAGAAGTTTTACTTGGAGAATTCCCCTTTTATTCCCAAACTGTGGGAATCTTATCGACGTCCACAACTCGGCTAACTCGGTGATGTTTTTGTTCACTAAGGGGACCAGTTTCAATCCACAGAAAAATGGTGACATGTGTTTGGTGCTTTCTCAAAATTGGGGGACCCCAAAACCATCCAAAACCAATGGTTTTCCTGTTGGAGATATGAGGATGGGTCAAAGCTATTTATCTGGGGAATACACATCCATTAACCAGCTATTTTTTTGGGTGTCCGAGTACCAGGGGTTTGACTCATAGAGATCATTTGGAGATATTTGGATATATTTGGATATCAATCAATTTTATGGATGATTTTGGAGTTCCATTTTAAGAACCACCATTAATGTCTGGCCCAATGGCAGCCGTTGGTCTTGATCCGAAACTCGTTTAACCATCATACATTGACAGAAATGGAGTTCATAATCTCTATTTGAAGCTTCGTATACCCAATAGCCATACTAAATCAGATCAAAGCATGCATAAACCATGTGTATATATATATATATGCACTATACATATACAAACCATAAGGCATATTGACAGCCATAAACCACATCAATTCATGTACCGTGGGAGATTCTCCAGTTCCCATTGCTGTTACCAGGGCCTTGAGGAAGTCGCTGTTCAAACCCGCGGCCTTCTTCAAGGCTTGGTCAGACGGAAAGAATGCTATCGTTGGGCGCGAATCAATGTGGGAAATCACGATTTCCGCCGATTTCCTAGATTTTTTTCCTAGATTTTCATGGATTTCATCATGTAAATCTAGGAAATCCGTAGGAAATGGTCGAAGTCATAGCGATTCTGAATCCGCAGAGTTGATCGTAAAAGCCACAGCCAGCTTCCTCTGCCACCATCCCTCGAAGAAAGCCAGATATTTATTGGTGATTTTATAAACCCTCCTCATGTATTTGGGTATAAATATCCAGTTGATTTTATGTTGATTTTATGTTGTCAGTACAACTGAGATCCTTGAGTGACGAGTGACTCGCCCGGGATTTTTTTTATCTCCACTGGAAGCTGCGTAGGGTATTTTGCTGCCTTTAGCAGCAGAGAACTGCACCCTGCGCGAGGCCGGGAGTTGGGTCCTTTTCAAATCTGTGGGGCCATGGTCAAATGTTGGATTATTCTGTGGAACATGTTTTTTTTTTTTGGGGGGGGGGATGAACATCCAATAGTTATAGATTATAGATGATTTGTTTCTGGTAAACCGACCAAGATGGCTTATATATGTTTATATATTCTCATAGAGGTATACAAAGGTTAAGAATGGGATATTCAATGGGATACTCTCCGGTAATCAAACATGGCTAGTTGGGGATTTTTTTGGGGGAATCCCTGGACTAGATGGAGGTTTAGTGATGGATGTTCCAGCCCTGTTGGATGGCCGGAGGATTAAAAAAAACACGGGAATGTAGTGAGTTTTTTTAATCTGAGTATGGGTCGAAGCCAACAAAAAAAACATAATATCTTTTGGGGATGAAGATGGATGAAGATGGATGAAGATGGATGAAGATGGATGAAGATGGATGATGATGGATGAATATCCATCATCATCCAGCTATTTTGGTCTTCGTGCTGGTCTTCACCAACAAGGTTTTGACAGATTGCCACCGCCCAGTATCCAGTTGCGGCGGTAATTCATCAGTTACCCTTCTTTCTGTCGGGTCAATCCAACATTTTGCTGGTGAGACCTTTATTTTTGATTGTTGAAAGCCATACGTTTGCGACCTAAATCCAGTTTTGCTGGTCAGTTCCTTTTTTTCCGCTGGTCAAAACTATTCAAACGCCCTGTTTTTTCCTGGCCGAACACCAACTTTCACGGCATTTTTTTCCCACGGGCAGGCCGTGATTTTGGGTTCGGTGGTGTCGAAGGCTTCGGTTCCGGTGATGCATGTCACTTGGCAGATGGGGATGGTGTTTAGCCATACAGCGCTGGTTTTTTTCAGAGCGCCCTCAAAATGAGAGGAATCCGTACATGACCATGGGGAACTCTAAACATGGTAACTAAGCATTAGGAAGCATAAAACGAATGGGTAAGCCAAGAGTTCCTATTAGATGTCCCTATCTGATTGGATGTTCTTATCCATTTTTTGGGGGGAGCCATGGGGACCCTAAAACTAGCTGCCTTGGATCAGGGAGTTGGCCATGGACAGGGATGGATCCACAAGACCGGGGATGTTTGTCCCAAAATAGATGGAAAAACATAAGACTCAACATCACTAGCAGTATCTAGTTTAGTGATGTTCTATTTCTATCGTTTTTTGGGATTTAATGTGACCCATGCGGAGAATAGCCGGGGCCCAGGGTCCGGTAAGTTTCTTTGGAGGGACTAGCCGCATTGACCAACAACCAATGGTACAGAGCGGTTTGCCGCCGGACTCAGGTTGCAGCCTGCATTGTGCGCCTATGCGTTGCTTGTCAGAAGCTCTTGCTGGCCGTTGTTTTTTGGGGAGTGCGTTCCTATTTTCAGAGTTACGGCTTTGGGGCTTTGAAATTCGGAAAGTGGAAATTGCAAGCCAAGTTTTGATGCATAGCCCCGTGGCCCATATTTTCTTGTAGTGGAATTGGTTGTTTGAATGGAAAGGTCGGAGAAGTTCAATGGTAGGATCATGGTCATCAAAACATGTCGAACTATGTCAACCCAAGGTGTTGGTCATTCCTTCATGATCCTTCATTGCTTGATATTGGGGTGTTCCTAACATGATTTTGGTATATGTTGGTACCATAGACCAGTGTTTTTCCCATTGATTGTATAGCAATGACTTGGATGATAACCTGGGGTCCCAGTTGGGGGTTCCCCCCCTGATATGGAACTTGACTTTTCCTCCAGGTGAGCACATAGCGGACATGATTTCCCAGTTCCATGTGCGCAATGTAGATGTCATGGTATGTCCAAAATGCGCCCTATGCATCCCCCAAATCCACCAAAGTTGTCCGTATTTGGGAACCATTGGGAACCATTGGGATGGGGTTGCCCTGCAGTGTTTTCGAAAATGGCTAGCTGCTAAATCCATCATTCGTAGAGAGTTGCCTGGAGTTTACCCATCAAAGATGTTTTTTCATAGCCAGGCATGTTTGTTTGCTGAAGATATCAAACATACATAAACATACCATTTTTGAGGCAGATTCAATCGACTTAAAAAAATCAAGAACATCAAACATAATGGTTAGCAGGGGGAAATCATATGCAATCATTCCAAACAACAGCTGTGGCAACTATGGTTTGATGGGAATTACTGAAAGCAATTACGATCATAAGACAATGGCAGAAGTGTGATAATATTAATGTTCACTTCCTCATGTTTATTTGGCTTATGCTAATATGTGCTAGTTATGATAATTATGATATTTATATACTAGTTGCCATTGTTTTTTTGAATTCTCCCAGATATGACCCTTCAAAAAAGATCGGAAAAAGCAGAAAAAACAACAACATCCCACCGAGAATGGTCATAAATCACTTTTCCGCATCCTTTTTGGTGGCTTAGTGTTACCATATGGAGGTTTCCGAAAATAGAGGTAACCCTAAATCATCCATTTTAATAGGACTACTTGGTGGCTCATCCCGCTTAGTAAGTGGGTCAGAACCCCAGCTATAAATGGGACAAGAAGGGTTCATCCACTGAAATCACTGGGGTGAACTAACCCACTTACGATTCGTGGGATGAGCCACCAAGTAGTCCTATTATCAACCATCCAGCGATAAAGGGGTATCTCCATTTCTGGAAACCCTCCATAAATTGACATCTTCCACGTGAAAGATCTCCGAGACCATGACGCCCTGGTACGGCACCACAGCCATTCTACTGGCGGCGCAGCTGAACAAGAAGTTCCTCGGCTCCAGGGATGGCAAGGGCTGCGATGCTGGGTGGTTTATGGTGGTTTATGATCCTTAAATTGCCATGAAAACTGCAGGAAAAATGAGGTTTCGAACAGTTTGACCCTCCGCGTTTTTGTTACACTTTGAGAACTGGAAGCCATGACCCATTTAGTTACTTAGTTCGATGACTGACGTATTTGACATGGTGATATTCCAGTTCACAAAGTGTTAAATTACCAGAGGTAAGTTTTCACCATTGGATTCTGGGGTGGTCTGTGTTTTTGGATAAACCCATTGGTGGGATCCCAAACATGATAGAAAAGGAATGCCAACCCCATATTATTGATTGGCTAAGAAGCCAGTGATTGTCACCAATTTGCTGGGAATGGATGCGAGAAAACCACGTTTTTTTCTCCCTTTAAATACTATTTCAGTGTTTTGTAAGCCATGCCCAATTGTTGCAATGGTGTGATGCCCCAGGCTGCAAGTATATAATCTAATGATTCTATTGGAAAAAGGTGTTACAAACTGTCCCAACTGGGGGTTTATGCTTCTCGGGGCTACGCGATGTGGCCTCAAAAAGGATAAATATTTTGTGCGTGTTTCCGTCGCTCATTGCTGCAGCCAAGAAGAGATGATCTTGCATCCCAGATGGTATTTGGTTAATACCTACGGTTTACACACACATATTATACTATATACGCATATAACACATAGAAGTATATTATATTATACTAGTTACTATATATTTAATATATGTACATATACTATATATACACACACATATTTCTTCAACTCATGTAGACCTGGGATATTTGAAGTCCACCCCAGGCTTTTTCTTCGTTTCTACTTCCCACTCCATCTCCCACATCGCCGGAGGTACGGCCTGCCATTGAAAGTCATCGAAATTCTCGTGGCGCATTTCTGCGCCTTCGCAACGGAGGAACGGGTTTTGCCTTTGGCACCTCGGTTTGGATGGTTCAGGTGGGGTGTTGAACCAACTGTATGGCCCACTTTTATGGGGAAAATGGATGACATATTCATACAGATTCACATTTAATAGGGAACAGATGCACATGGCAACTTTAATAGGGAAAATGGATGAAACCGGTCACTTTTATGGGTTTGTCTGAAATTCCTCCCAAATTTCATGGTGTAGAAAGTCAGAATTTCCCTATGAGAGTGGCCATGACGCCATGTGTGTTTGAAACTGGTGAGGATTTAGCCCAGAAATTGGTGGTAATGGGGGAATCATTGCCAAGATGGCAAAGATGTTTGTTTTTGTACAATGACGTCCTCATCGAAAACCCAAGTATAAAATGCTTGAATCATACCAAATACCCACAAAAAACAAACCACAAGGAGTTTGTTTGGACTGTAAAACCCAATAATTTGGTGGTCCAACGAAAACAATGTGATGTGTCAAGGCTCCGGCATCATTGCAAGATCCCCTAACCCTCGCAACTCAGGTGTGGCATCGAGCCCTCTTGATCTTTGTGCAGTCTGGGGGACCCAGTGGTGTTTCACTCGCAGCGACTCGGGCAGTGGATTCCAATTTCCCCCTCCCAGCGATCGCAGGAGATACAAGTTTGACCTGTCGCCCGATCAGAAGAGACGCATCAAGGCCAAAATTGGGGGGAGTGGAGGACTTTTTTTGGACACGTGGTGAATTTCCACCAGAAAACACCAGAAAACACCATGGTTTTGGGCGACGGTTAAGCACCAAAGATTTGGGAGAATTGGGATCCCTGCCTTTGAGAAACCCTACCTTTTTGGCTCGAGACTTACCGTAAAACCAGAGATCTTAGGCTTAGGCAGTTTCTTGGAGGGGACTTTTTGAGGATCATGGAATTGACAAATCATTGGGCTACGCATGGCTACGCAATGACTTGACCAATTTAGATTGGAGTCATACACAACTAGATTTGTAGTAGATGTTTGACATGTTTGACATCTCATGTTTTTTTTTCTAGGTGCGGTATTTATGGTGGTTTTGCATGGTATCTATGCCACCCTAAAAAATATCAAAAGCGTTGGCAGATCTCTTTAGGAACTGCTGCGAGTGCATCATCACGATTCCGCCGGGACACTCGTGGATCGATCGTGGATCCTGTGGCACCTTGGAATTGTCCAAAAAACATGGTAGCCTCTGGTAATTTAATGGGAAAATCCACTATTTTTAATGGGAAAAACAAGTGATTTACCCTCTGGTTATGTCAAAATAGCAATGGAAAGATCCACCATTTTTAATATTTTTTAATGGGAAAATCCCACTATTTCGACTGGGCCATGGCTTCAATAGCTTTTTGTAAACGTTCACCAGAGGGTAAGAATTCTGGGGAAATACGACATCTTTGTAATACTATCCGCGAAACAATAAACTAAGAAAAGAAAAGTATATATAACATGTATATACTGTACATAGGATATCACTTGCAGATTGTTTTCCTTGGGCTTCTTCTTGGAATTTACATCTCGACTTTAGTTTACCACAAGGTATCTTCAAATTTGATGTGCTTGTAGCTTGAAGCATTCGCAAAAACGGATCTGAGACTACCATATAACGCTACCATTTAGTTTGATTCACCCATTCGAAGAGTAAAGCGAGTTAGTACTCCCAAAGATGATTGAAACTCAAAAATCTCATATGATTTCTCAGTTTCATCATATGCGGATTTACCCATATCCATATGGCTGTGTCTTTTTTTCAGGTGTGCAGATTTTAGTAAGGGTGGGAAGTTCGAGTTCTGCGAACCATACCCACGAATCATACCCCGAACCATACCCCGAATCATACCTGCGAATCATACCCCCAAAAATCACGATTATGAATGTTTCTTTTGGGATCGTTTGGGATTGCATGGCCTCACTAGTTTTAATGGACATGACAAGCCAATTGACAAGTGTTGGCCAGATCCGATGATCCCTGGCTGCCTTCACATACCTTCACGACATGAGTGGTGAGGCTGGCTGGCTGGCTAGGTGGCTGGCTGCGTGGCTGGCTAGGCTAGGTGGCTATGGCAATTGCTGCTGCTGGTTGGGTGGCTGGCTATAGGGCTGGCTAGTTGCGGCTGGCTGGCTGCGTGGCTGGCTGCTTGCTGTGTTGTCTGCTATTAAGTAGCAGTTGTGGTAGGTTGACGGTGGGAAAAAGAGACTCAAGCAACAAAGCTTCCTGAATTCCAAAAAAACATGGGTTCCCGAACCATACCCCGAATCATACCCGAATCATACCCGAATCATACCTCAAACTTCCCAATTCTGAACCTTGGTACATTTGCAAGATCAGAACTTGTGTTTTGTGAGCATAAATCTTTTTCTTTGCAACCATTCGCCACGGGCTACACTACGCCTCCTGCTGCTTCTGAGAAAAATCCGGGAACGGCACCCTGCAGTGGCATCCTGCGATGGCACCAACATGCCAACTCCAAAGCGCACACACCACTTTGACTGCAGCACCTTGAAGCAGCACCCTGCAGCAGCACCACCAGCCAGCTCCAGAGCGGACACGCCACTCTAACAGCTGCACCCTGCAGCGTGCAGCACACCCTTCACTAGCACCATTGCACGCAAAATCGATCCCAGGGCCATTGAGACCCATATACTCCATGCATGATATAGATAGCATTAATTAGCAACATTCTGATGTTTTTGGGATTTTGGGACTAAGTATAGGTACATAAAGGGCCGCGAACCATACCCCCGAACCATACCCCGAACCATACCCCGAATCATACCCACGAATCATACCCCCTAGTCAAACTTCCCGGGCCGCACTCCTCATTTTGAGACATACCCATATCCTATCATGGGAATATACATGAAATATCATGGGAATATACATGAAATATCATGAAATATCATGAATACATATCATGGGATATCATGGGATATATATATATATGGATATATGATGTTTTTCCTGAAAGTTTTGGGAATTTCCCCAACAGGTTTTCCGATATTTCGATTTTTCAGGTGGCGCCCGAGATCAGACGGGAACTGGCAGCCAAGGTGGGCGAGGCTGGTTGGAATTCTTGGAGCAACATCTTCACCAACTGATAATGGATTTCTCATGAATTCTATGTATCTAAGAATTCTACAATTGTTATAGGTTCATCATACTTCATAATACTTCATAATGCTTCTACGTACCAGTTCGAGTTTGGTAGTTCTTGGAGCAAAACCTTCACCAACGGTTGGCGCCATCCCGCACAAAGAGGACACCACTTTAAGCGGGATGAGTTGATCGACAAAAACCACGGTGTAACTTTCCGGGCAAAATGTTTCCCAAACAAAAAAATCCATCCGTAGCACCATCAGCAATAGGGATCCAATGGAATTTAATTGAATATAATTTATACATATGTATAAATGGGACATATCTAGGTAAGTTATAGTGATCTCTCATCGTGATCGAACCCTGGAATCATTGTGAATGTGTGGGGGAATTGTCCATAAATAGCTGGCCTTATTTCATCTTGTTTCAGGTTAGTGAATTATGATTATTTGCCCAGATTGAAGAGATCCATAGCACGGCATAGTTTTTTGGTACTGTATTTTTTTGTTGCTATCTGCCGAATTTCGAAGAAGAGCCGGAGGACTATACCCCTTATTGAAAGCTGTGGCTAGGGATACAGAACACCCCACTTGAACTTGGAAATCTTGGAATTTGACATCATAATTCTCTCATTTTTCGGGACAGAAAGTGAACCATTTGGTCTCAGAAAAACCCTGGGATCAATCCCATGATACCTGATCCGGATCCTCCGGATCCGGAGTCCGATCTCGCTAAACCGGTTTGTTTGGAGGTTGTTGAAAACACATTCCACGTGTTCCCCATGGAACAAATTGATGATCACCAGTGTTTTATGATGATTTACAAGCAATTTTCAATGATACAACTGGTTGTTTACATGGACCCAGTGGATTTATGGGACAATGATGATACAACAAGTTAAATCCACATCTTCCACATCATTGGTCACTGTGATGTACCTCTGATTTTTTGCGCAGGACCCTGCGGCAGCGGGGTATGGTGGGGCCATGGCCATGGAAATTGGCTGAGCGCCGAGAACTTGCCGTTCCAAATGTGGATTGGTTTCCTACGGGGTTTCTGTGCATAAATATGTTTTTCATCGTCCAAAACCGTTCCAAAGATTCCAAGTTAGTTTTTTTCACCTATGGTTATATATATATAATATATATCCAAAACATTCCAAGCAAACCCATGCCATGGTCTCTATAGTTTCCTTTGCTCTTCATGTGTTCCCAATTTAGGGCTCTCGTTGTAAGACTGTGGGCACAAGGGCGAGATGTAAAGCACTCGTCCGCACTGCGCTGCAGCAGACGGGGCTGGGCGGTTCAAAAGGTGCCCCTTTCGGACGTGGGGGACGTTGGCGAACTGAATTTTCACCTCTGGAAATGTTGGATATATCAATATATAAATAGCCCGAACCACCTTCTAGCAGGGTCCAAAACTGAATCATATGGAAGGCGATTTTTCCAATTTTTTCCAGCGCGTGAACCCAGTACCTTTCTTTAAGCGCAAAATGCGACATTTTGCGACCGGCATGCAATGGGATACAATGGGTACACTTACATTGAGTTCACAATCTATTATATATAAGCATGTGGATGGCTCCAAGGGTTTTTAGTGCGTTTGGAACCCCTCTGACTCCCCGTATACTATTTCATTGTTTTCCTTAGGAATTGGACTGCCCTTGCAATCTTTTGGGTTCACGCAACCCTGAGTGAGCCAATGTGTTGAACTTTTTGTGATGTACACTGACAATCTAAGCAGGCAATGAAAGATCCACTCTTAATATCCCATTAGATGCTTTCCTACTGAAACATGGTCATTTACCGATGCCAGGTTTGATTCTCTCCAAGCATTGGTTTGACGGGAACTTTACAGTAATCTTTGGCGTCTTTACCATGGGATGAATTAAAAGGTATCCTATGGTTTCCTGAAGAATTTTCCGTACACTTCAATCTTGGAGGGTACCCTCTGGTAATGACTAACAGAACTATGGAACATCACCATAGAAATAGTGGATTTTTCCCATTGTGACACGGCGATTTTCCCATCAGTTTTTGGTAAACGTTTACCAGGCCGGGTAATCGGGGCCTTGCAGAGAGGTTCAAGCTCCAATGGGGCCGGGCCTCCCGGGGCCTCCCGGGGCCGGGGCCCGGGTAATCGATGGATGCTGCTCGGTCGCAGCAGTCTGACGCGGTTGTGTCGTCAATTCTTCAGGCAGTTGACCTGACCTAAAAAACAAGAGAAACACAGAAAAACTCGTCAGCTTTCTTTTCGGGTGTTCTTGAGGTTGCATTTTCTTTCCACACATTGCATTGTTTTTTCCTGCAACATACAATAAGGAATAATAAGGATCAATATTGTATCACTATTGTATCAATATGGGTGTTGATGCGCGTTGATGGGTGCTGATGGGCGCTGATGGGTGTTGATGGGTGTTGATGTTTCATGATGATGATGACGACGACAATGCTGCTGCTGCTGCTGATGATGATGATGATGATTGTGATTAGGTTGTTGTTATTGTTGTTATGGTTGTTCTTGTTGATGATGCTGATGATGTTGTTGATGATGATGAGGATGTTTGTGATTGTGTTGTTGTTGTTGCTGTTGCTGTTGCCGTTGGTGTTGTTGTTGTTGTTGTTCTTGATGATGCTGATGATGTTGTTGATAATGATGAGAATGATTGTGATTATGATGTTGATAATGATAATGGTAATGGTGATAATTGTGATTATTATATTCATTGAATATTCTGTTTCATTATAACTATAATGGTGATAATGATGATAATGGTGATTATTATTCTATATGATTTTTTGATATTCAGTGATGAATATATTATATAATTGAATATTCTGTAATATTCTTTATTATTATGATGATGATAATGATGTTTATCATTCTATATGACGTCATTTTAGTTTATTTTGTGTGTTTTTCTTTTGTTGTTGCAGCTGCAGCTGTTGCGGTTGCCGATCAGGACTTTGAGCGTGCGATCCGTGTGATCTTTGCCCAGGATCCGCGCGGAGACTCTGCCAAGAAGACGTGGGAAAAACGTGGTGAAAAACGTGGGATTTACACGGAAAAAGGTGGCATTTAAGCGATTTAAGAGGATTCTAAGTGGTGAACATGTGACTTGAAACCAACTTCAGAAGCGGCAAGAAATGGGTTTAGCATGGTTTCGCGGTGTACTGCAAACGAGAATTGAGAATAATGATACCGTAATCATCTGATGAGACATTGATTTGGTTCAGTCTTTGGAGGCAAGTGGAACACAGGCCCCTGTTGTTTGATGGCTGTACTGTTTACTACTCACATTTGTTTGAATATGATCATCAAGTACATTTTGAGCCACTAACTACTAAGTATATATGTGTGTCAGTAAGTGCAAAGTGAAACAGTAGCTTAATGCACTATCGCTACGGGTTATCAGTTCTGAACTTTGGATCTGACAATGCCCCTGCTGGGCGGGTCTGTCTGAAAATGGGATTCGTTCCCCCCAGTTAATGGAAATTCTCATGCGAAGATGCTGATGAAGACTTGGAGTTTTGAGAACACGATTTTCTGGTTGGTGGTTTGGAACATTTTTTATTTTCCATGTATTGGGAATGTCATCATCCCAACTGACGAACTCGATCATTTTTCAGAGGGGTTTAAACCACCAACCAGTTTTCAGACGAAGCCTAATATGCACAATCATGAAGACCTCTGAAGACGAGTCTCTCAGGTCCATCACTCCAGCAGTTGGGGGGCTTAGAGATGGATGGATTTTTCACGTGGCTTTGTTTTGGTAGATGACAATTCAGAGGGTAACTTCATTCCAATGGTTTAAAACGTCACTTTGTTATACTTTCTGGGTGAAACTGAATACTCAAACTGGGGGGGTATACTGTAATCATTTGAGGAAAGCATACCCAGATCATCTATCAGATAGATTATGTCACTTCAGGAATCTCATGGGTTGCGGATGGACATCCATTGCCCGACCGCTGGTCAACCATGAAGATTTCGATTAAGTACTGCAGAAAAACGCTCAGAAGAGGCGATACGAGTTGGAACGAACTAAGATGAACTAAGTCATGTTCTGAATGCTTAGGTGAATAATTTTAAGTTTAAGTATGCCCATTGGGCCAATTTCCATTTACCCTCAAGCATGAAAGCTGTTTTTTAGGAGAGAAGATGGTCTATGTGGCCAACTCACATAGTGACATCGTCAACAAAAACTCGTAAAAAAAAGGAGTTCTGCCAGCAGATGTCCTTTTCCCAAGGGCACGTGAATAGACTCTGGCTAAACAGGCACTCTTTTCAAACTTGTAGTGGCCCCAAAAAAGATAGAAATGGTCAGGGGTTCAATCTGCGTTTTTACATGTTTTTACGACAGTTTGCCTTTCAAAATTGCTATTTTTAATATTTTATAATTATATGGAGGTTTCCTGAAATGGGGGTACCCCGAACTGGATGGTTTATTTACGTTTATTTCATGGCAAATCCCTGAAAAAAATGGATGACTGGGGGTACCCCCATGACGTAGCTGGTGATGTCCTGACATGCTGGTCATCCAGGTCCGTGAACAAGCGACCTCCTATTGCGATAGCATCAAGGCGCGACCACTTGGGGTATCCTTTCAGCCTGGGGAGTGGTGATACCCTCTACTGAAACATGAAAAACGGCTGGACGTTTGAATGGGAAAATCATGGAAAATCCTGTTGTGAATGGATGTTTCAATGGGAAATCACTGGAAAACCAGGAGGTGAATTTCGCTGAATTTCTTGGGGGTCCATTTTTGATGTGTTACGTTGTCGCCACTTGACCAGCCGACAACGGGTGATTTTTTCCAGCGGAGATATGGGAACGTGGCTGGACACTTCCCCCGATGATTTTCCCAAAAAACCCTCTGGTAGACTAACATAACTCTGGAAAATCACCATTTTTACTAGGTAAATAACTATAAATGGCACCTCCATAGCTCAGGGATTTGGCCAGCCACGTTGATGCCGCATGATGTTTTCTGTTGATGCCATTGGAGCCATTGGAACATCCGTCTTTGGAAATTTGGAGGCGCGTCCTGATGGTCAGATACTCAGCGTTTGCCACAAGGCTCACAAGGACCTCGGTGGATGAATATGGTTAAAGTATCCAATGATATGGTTGAAGGCACACGACCTGGTGCCCCAGGTCGTTAGCTAAGTTGCTCTTTTTGGATGTTTATAGTTCCAATCACTACGGTCGATGCGGGATAAATCCATAGTTAATGGGAGGTATCAACCAACTTGTACCACCCTGAATGGTGAGTAACCAATCTTATGGTAATAGAAATTATTTGGTTGAAGTACCAATTGATGTATCCAATTGTGGTTGAAGTACCCAATCATTGGATCAACATGGATCATTGTGGAACCACTATGCCAGGATGTCAGAATTTGGGAACCTAATCTGATTGGTGGTTTCAAACATTTTTTGTTTTTCATAATATATGATATGTGATATGATATATATGGGAAAATCCTTCCCATTGACGAACTCCATCATTTTTCAAGATGTTTCTTTTTTCAACCACCAACCAGTAATAACTGGATCATGACTTACCCTCTGGTAAACGTTTACATAACTGATGGGAAAATCACCATTTTTAATGGGAAAACCCACTATAAATGGCCATGTTCAATAGCTATGTTAAATTACCAGAGGGTAAGCCACTTGCCCTTAGCCCTTAGCCTTTCTGGGCGTCGAATCGTTGGTCGGAGAACCAAGCGTCGAACCCAGGCTGGCGATTCTGCTGGGACCGCTTTGCTCAGACAGATTCCCTGGAGGCCGCTTGCCCTCTGGTAAACAAACAGTTTGCTATTGAAAATGGCCATTTATAGTGAGTTTAACATAGCTATTGAAAATGGCAAATGTCAATACCCTCTGGTAATTTAACATAGCTATTGAAAATGGCCATAGAAATAGTGGATTTACCCATTAGACATGGCGGATCTTTCCCATCAGTTTTTGGTAAACGTTTACCAGGCCGGGTAGTTGCAGCCGAAAGCAAGGGAGATCAGTTCCCCCTCTGGTCAGCAACGTCTGGAGAATCCACCCTATCAATGATTGACCGGAATTTACACATTGAGCGATTTTTATGTGGCAACCCAAACCATTCAAACATCCATAAGCTAACCATAAACCAACATTTCCATAGACAAACATCTTCAGAAACTTCCCCATTTCCCTAACTTGGCCAGATGGGAAAAAGCCCAGCCCATGCTTTCGGGTGGTTTTTCGCTCTGCCAGGTGAAGTTCTGGTGTCTGCAGGCGCCACGTGGCCACGGATTTTGCGACGGATTTTGTCCATGGATTTTTTCGACGTTTGAAGTTTGGAGATGTTGAACAAAACAGATGTTTCTAGATCATTGTTTTTTCTGGATGAAAAAACAACAATTTGAGTTGTTTTGTTTTTTTGTCCAGAATCATGATAAATAGCTACTATTCCGGATTGATCCGTAGCCATTTTGGCTTAAAGCATTTTCCACTCACTCAGCGCACAGTCCAACTGCTACTTTCAACCGATCCCACTCAGCGATGGCAGCCGAACTGAAGGCTGAGATTGAAGCGCTGGTTGCGAAGATTGGTGACAAGGCTGGGTTGCAATTTGGGTAAATCACAGCCCCTTTTTGGGCTTCAATTGGTCATGTTATAGATCCCTATTTAGCCCAAAAGAGCAACCCATTGAGGCATCATTTGGGGATTTTATCTTTCCAATCAATAAACATGTTTTTTTAAAAAAAACATATAGTTCCCATATATTCCCCTATTTCAACTATGCTTAAAGCTGGGATGTTTTTCCTGTATCCTTGAGGCAGCTGGGCAATCTGCCCTGGAATCTCTGGCCAAGATCGCAGAGGAGAAGGGTCGTCCGGCCGAGCCCTTCCTGGTCTCGGCCTTCCCCAAGATCTTGGAGGCCTCCAACGACAAGTCCAAGAACGTGAAGGATGCCGCGGTGGCGACCAGTAAGACCATCATGGGTACCTGGGATGACGTGTGAATGACGTGAATGACGTGACATCTATGACCTCCTGGGATCCATCTGCAACATCAAAACCAGATCCAAGACATATTGCCACATTACAGCCCATCATCAACCATCTTCAAGCCCATTAATTACTACCCAACAATAACTAGTTAATATAATATGTTAATATCATTTAATGTCTCAATATCTCTCCGTATTTTTCCCAAGCCCAAGCCCTCATCCCAATCCTTCCCATCCCAAGGCATGGTTTCCCCCTTCGCGGTGGAGATGTTGCTGCCGGCCTTCCTCAACGGCCTGGCCGTGAAGGCCAAGCCGCCTCAGAAGGAGGCCACGCTGCAGATCATCTCGGCCTTGGCGGCCAAGGCGCCCAGGGCTGTGGGATATCTGCTGGTTAACCTGGTGAGTCCTGTGGCGGATCTGACCTGTGACATCAAGAAGGAGGCGGGGATGGGGGGATGGCCGAAAATGGGTAGATCATGGTAGATGGGTATAGCCAGAATTTATGGTGATCCTGGTGATGTGAAATGATTTTTAAGAGGGGAAATGATGATGAAGCAATGGATTTAGGGAGTTTTCTGTCTGTTGATTGGGTATTATAGTGGGTTTCTACTCTGGTTTCGAAATGCCTGAAATGGTTAGTATACCTCCAATTTATGGATAAATGTTGATATAGGGAAACAGATGATTAACTAGAGGATGGGATAGGGTTTTGTTTGTAGATTTTTCATGATTTTTCATGGCTCAGGTGAAGCAGGCGGCCCTGGAATGCATGACCGCCATCTGCAACTGCACTGGCAACAAGGATCTGGAGCCCTTCCTTCCCGCGGTGGTGGATGCGGCCTCCTCCATTGACAAGACCCACAACTGCGTGGAGAAGTTGGCCGGCTGCATCTTCGTGCAGAACGTGGAGGCCCCAGCCCTGGCAGTCACCATCCCGGTGTTGACCCGCGGCTTGAACGACAAGAACGAGGAGGTGAAGCGTACCTGCTGTCAGATCGTTGACAACATGTGCAAGTTGGTGGAGGATCCAGCAGAGGTCCTTCCCTTGATGCTTGGGTTTGCTGAGTCGATAATGTTTTTTGATGTTCCGCATTGGTACCACCAGAAATGGGGAATGGGTATAGTAACTGTTGCTGTTTAAATCATGTTAAATCACAATGTTATGATGGTAAAACCATGTAAAACCCCAAGCTTTCATGTTTACCTCCCCATTTAACCATGGTTAACCCATGGTTAAGCCCCTTTTGAATGTAACTTACCGTACCACCATTCACAGTACTTCCACCAGGATGCCCAAGCTGGAGCCCTTGGTGAAGAACGCCACGCAGAAGATCTCGGACCCCGAGGCGCGCGGCGTCGCGGAGAAGGCCTACAAGACGCTGCAGAAGGCCGCGGGCGAAGGCGCGCAGTCGCTGCAGCAGGTGACCTCGGAGGCGGCCAAGAAACAGGTGGGGCCTGGGTTAGAAAATTGTGGGGCGAAGTCGTTGGTGAAACTTGTTCTTCAAAAATGGTTTATTTTAACCATTTGGAAAACATTTTGATGGAACATTTTTATTTTTTTTCAAACTGTTCTTTAAATCAGTAAACCATTGTTTTACATATTCCAGGTATTGTTGATATTTCTTCAAATCTTCCTCAACTCCACATTTTCCACACGTATATTAAGTAAAATGTAATTTTCTAAAGGATTACTTGGGATTAATTTCTACTTTTTTTGAATATATTCCACACGTACTGGGCTTTTCCTAGTATCCCCATATTCCTAATATTCTTAGTCATAGTCTGTCTTTTATGTGTTCAATCATTTTGGACAATCATTCCTAGAACTGAAACAGAATCTGCTGGCTTAACTATGGTTTATGATAGATATAATGATATTAAACTACAGTATATGTTATAACGAACTAGTATTCAGAAGGGGTTTGTAAACCATCATTCACATCACTGGGGGGCACCATCCTTCATGGAATTGGATGATGGGACAATTGAAACCGGAAACCCCAACCAATTTGATGGTAAAAAACCATGGGTTTCCGGTTAAGATTTTCCCCAACAAAACCAATCCATTGATACATATATACAGTACATATATAATATCATATTAGTATGATTAACACATTGATTAACCATATACTACCCATGTATTAAACCAATCCATTGAATCCGCTGGCAGAACTTTCTTCAGGTGGAGGAAGCCCTGGGAGGCGCCAAGGGCTCCGGAGAGGTCTTCGAGGCCGAGCTGCAGCATGTCTCGGCCCTGGCGGCCTGCGCGGCCAACATGCGGGTCTTCGATGAGGGCAAGTGGAAGTCGGATGTGGGTTACTTGGAGACATGGATTTTTCATGGATTTTTCATGGATTTTTATGGATTTTTAATGGATGTTGAATGGATGTTTAATGGTTTCATGGATTTTTCATTGATTTTAATGGATTTTCATGGATTTTTAAATGGATATTCATGGATTTTAATGGATTTGGAGTTCGGAGGGACTGTATATGGGTATTATTGGATTTTACATGGTTGAAATTCTAAATGATTCTAATATGCTGGTTACTGGTGACATGGAATTTTATATAAATGGAATTTAATGGGGGTTACTATATATGGGTCACTTGGAGGGGATGAAAAAATGGTTGACATATGGTTGAAAGATGGATTTTAAGATGGTGGTTACTAGTAATTTTTGACACATGTTAATCTTTCCAAGTATACCCTCTGGTAATTTAACATAGCTATGGAAAATTGCCATTTGTAGTGAGTTTTCCCATTAAACATGGTGATTTTCCATAGTTACATTATGTTGAACTATGTTGGAAGATGGAGTTAAAAGGAGTCGCACGAAATGATTAGATTAACAGTTAGAGGTTGGGTTTCCAGTGAGACTCGTGGCTTTCATTCCCGAAAGATATTGTAACATGTATCGAACCTATCCATACAAGGTGGGCCCCCAAATGATGGCTAACTTAGTGTGGTTCATTTGGTCAATTGTTGGGTTTATGGGATATATATAGAACTATAATAACGAACCAACAGGTGTAATATCTCTAATTAATCACTATTTAATTTACTTTAGATATAATATTCACATATTTCCCGGATATCATATCCCTGTTTAACTCATGCTTAACTCTAGTAATAATTAAGCATATGTCACACACATATATATATATATATATCATAAACACTAAATGTCACTATGTAGATATTGTGGTATTTAAGAACCATATTTATGATAGATATACATCATAGTTTCACCACTAAAATATCTAGTTTCACCACCAAAATAATATCTATAGTTTCATAATCACTTAAAAACATATATACATATATAATATATATATATATATATTTCCCATTTATTCCCCATTTATCGAATCAAAAAATATCCATCGTTTCACCAGTCCAGAAATCCGTGTTTTTTTTTTTTGCACCGAGGCTACCTGGCGCCCTTCGACGGCGTCACGGAGCAGCTGAGGGCCAAGATGGAGATCGCGGCGAAGCCCAAGGAGGAAGTCGAGGAGGAGGACACCGAGGGCGTGGACCTCTACAAGGCCGGGCGAAAATTGAAAAGAGATGGCGGGCGGTTTTTTTTTTTGAGCCATGGCTGGTGAAAAAAAAAACCAGCGATTTTCTTTGGGTGATGATTGATTTGGATGTTGGATTTATAGATGTATGGCAATTTCGATGATGAATTTATCCATTATTCATGATAGCTAAGTTGGTTAAAATGTCACTGTAGGTGAGTTTTATAGCTTATGGTCCATAAATATAACTCAACCAAAAAAACTATATGGAACCTTGATTTTCACCTTGTTCTTCACCTCGATGAATTCCAGGGCGCCTTCTCATTGGCCTATGGTACCCTGACCTTGCTGCGTGATGCCAAGATGCACCTCAAGAGGAACCGTTTCTATGGCCTTTTGGGCCCCAACCAGTGCGGCAAGACCACGCTGATGCGCGCCATCGCCAACGAACAGCTGGAGGGCTTCCCGAAGCGAGATGAGTTGAAGTCGGTCTTCGTGGAGCATGAGATTGAGGATGAGGAGGTGGATGGTGACCATGAAAAAATCATGAAACATACGGATAAAAATGGGCTATAGCCTTTTGCCATGGAAAAACAGATGGGAAGATGTGGGAAGCATGATATTTTTTATCATTGGCCATTTATTTGGGAAAAAAACATATTGATATGGAAAATTATATTGATGACCGATAGCATATGTGAAAATGATATGAGAACTCAATGTTAGACAATGTTAAATTCATGATATTTATATAAACCATATTTAAACCAGATTTAAACCATATGATCAATATGATTATATAAACCAATATGGGAAAACCGATGGATTTTGCGGTTTCCCACCCAGGTGGGCGTGCAAGATGATGGCTTTCCCATCCTGTCGGTGGATAAGCCTGGCTGGTGGTGGGTGGTTCACACCTGCAACGACATCTACAAGTTGGAGCCCCCCGTGAAGGAAGACACCGTGAAATCTGGATGCGCTTGAGGTGTGAACTTTTTTGGTATCTGTTCGTTGGTTAATTTGTCAATGAATCCACCAGACACGGGGAATCTAGCGGAGATACTATATGATACTATATGTATATTTTTTTTGTGAAGCCATGGGAAATGCATTTTTTATGGTTGAACTCCCTATCATTGATAGTAAACTCACCATTTGTTTCCCCCAAATCATCCAACACCCACCATATTTTTGTTCTGATAAAGGAACTTCTCTATATTGATGGTGAAGTTCCCCCCACACATTTTTTTTCTGATTAACTTACTATTTTTGCCGTTTTTTTCGTAGTTAACTCATCATTTTCCAAGCATTTTTTTTCTGGTTCCCCAAAATTTGGAGGGTCGTCCCAATAAGAAAAACTGCTTAAGAATAGCTTATTCCATTTAGACCGTTTTGGTGGTTTGGTGGTTTAGAACATGAATTTTATGACATTCCATTCAGTTGGGAATGTCATACTTTTAACTGACTTTCACTCCATCATTTTTCAGAGGGGTAGGCGAAAAACCACCAACCAGAATACATCTTCACAAGCGGGGGAAGCTCCAGCCATTTGCTCAGCAACGAAACACCGCTGAAATCCCAGGAAGGAACTGATGAAGTCCATCGGTTTCGGCTATCCCGGTGGCCCCGATCGTGCCGCCAACCTGGAGCTCCCGGTGACCAGTTACTCTGGGGGTTGGAAGATGAAGATGCAGCTCTGTGCCTGGGATGTAGGTGGTTATCACCATGGACAAAGACATCTATGGTGTGCCATAGTTATGGGTAAACACATGTAAACACCTATATGAACTAATATGGAGTATAATCTGAAAATTTAATGGATATTTACTCTGTGCCTGGGATGGGGATAGAATAACTATGAACAAATATGGAAATTTAATGGCATGACTAGGGATATATACAAATATATGTATATATATATATAGATATACATATGGATGTGATACCAATAGAAAAATAACTATGACCCACCCATCTGGATATTACCTCTACCTATATCACTATAGACTATAGTAGATATATCACTAAATGTCCAGATGCTGTGGGAAATAACTATATATAGTATATAATAGCTATATTGACTATAATCTGGATATTCAATATTACTTAATTGGACATTTGATAACAATATATATATATGTTTTTGAGGGATGGGGATGGGGATGGGGATGTAATCACTATGGACACAACTATATTCTGAGGATATCTAATGAGGATGACAATAACTATGGATATAACATGATATTTTTTCTGTAACTTCAGCTTTAAGGATATTCTTTTTGTTGGAATTCAACTGGATCACCAGGGCAATAATTACGATGGAGACATTTCATATGGGACAAAAAAACTATCGCCTCTCTGAGGTGCTGCCCAGTTGATGAACGCCGACGTGCTGATGTTGGATGAACCCACGGGTCACTTGGACGTGGACAACATCAAGTGGTTGGAAGATTGGTTGGAATCCTTCCCCGGATCCATCATCTGCACCAGTCACTTCAGTCCTTTCTTGGATAAGATGTGCACCCACATCATTGACTTCCAGGACCGACAATGACCATATGACTAGGGGAACAACAACTTTCCATTAACCACCTATTTTAAGTTGGGTACCATGGTACACCTATTTTGTGACCATGGTACGCCATGTGGTTTTGACCCATATCACTTCCAGGACCGCAAGTTGAAGACCTTCAAGGGCGTCAAAGGCACCTGTTTGACGCAGTTCGTGGAGAAATATCCTGAGAAGAAGGCGTACTTCGAGATCAGCAACGAGACCATGAAGTTTGTGTTCCCTGAGCCCGGCCCTTTGGAGGGTGTGAAGAGCCGAAGTAAGGTGGATGTTGGTCAAAATGTGAAGTGCCAACGATTTTTTTCGGGCAGATGAACGTCCATTTGCAATGATTTACCAACTATTTTGATGTGAACACCAGGATTTTGTGTGGGTTTTACCTGCTTTTACCAACCCATTTTGCTGCCTAAACCATGCAAGATATATGTCATATCTCAGCCAGTTTTGAGCCGCCGTGGGCCGTATCGAACTGCCAGATCTGCCAGGTGATTTTGCGCATGAACAACGTGAGCTTCACCTACCCCACCAAGGACAAGCCCACCATCATGGACGTCAGCCTCACCGTGAGTCAGGTGAGCCGTGTGGCGGTGATCGGCGCCAACGGCGCGGGGAAGTCCACAGCTATCAAGGTCTTGGTGGGAGAACAGCTGCCTGGACGTGCGCTTAACGATGGAGGGTTCACTTGGCTCGCTTTCCCAATGGATACCTTCTGGTCATACAAAAAACCATGGGAAAAAAAACACCTTTGTTAGGTAAATAAGCTATACATATCTATACATGGGCTATTTTCTATAGCTATGTTAGTTTACTGGAGGGTATGTTAGTTTATACAGGGACCCAAAATTTCAAGTCCACCTCAAAACTGGAGATTCTTTTGGGAAATCTAATATAGGGAATAGATGTCTTTCCAATGTTTTTCCTCATCCCCATGTTTCTCGCTATTTTTGGCTGCATGACCTAGGCTCCCCACAGAAGGTTCCATCTGGAAGGCCCAGGGTCTGCGTTTGGCCTACGTCGCCCAGCACGCCTTCCATCACTTGGAGAAGCACATGCAGGAGACGCCCACGGCTTACATCATGTGGCGCTTCGCAGGGAACGATGACCGAGACCTGGATTTGGAGATGAGTTGTTTATGTAAGAACGCTAAGATATTTAAATGGAGGAGGTAAGATGATGAACAACATGTGATGGAAACATATGGAAACTATGATTGACATTATTTGTGGATGACTTGAGATGATTTATGGTTCAAAATGCTTTCATTGATGACTTAATATGATTTCATGGATGATTTAACACCAAAAACCGGGGAAACCCAAGCAAACTGGGAAACTAGAACTATCATATACCACAATATATACCACTTATTTTGGCACTTTTACATACTTTTCACACATTTTCATGGGTACTTGGAGGGTTTCACCATCATTTGACCAAGCAAGATTTAGTGATTTAGTGATTGATATTGGTTCGTTTATCATATCACCAAATCCATGGATTTACCAATATCTCTTCCAGAACTATGGTGAATGGATTTATCATTTGGTGATATGGATTATTGGGTAGTTTATGTTAGATATTTTAGTTTATCTGGTAAATCCATGGTAAATCCATGGTAAATCCATATCCCTGGCCGCGATGCCAGGCGAATCCCTGGAGTTCAAGACCGACGAGCTCTCCGTGGACGAAGAGAAGGCCCGCGCGCAGAAGTGGTGCATCGACAGCGTGACGGGCAACGTGCGACGCTGCACCGATCCTAAGGAAGATGCCAAGAAGGCCAAACAGGACAGGGTTTTCTATGTTTTTCTGGGGGATCCCTTGGGGACTTTTTTTTTTGGGACTTTTTAATGAAACTTTAACGGAATTGTATGGTGATGCAGATTCAACTATTGATAGATGTTGATAGGTAGTTTTGAAAATGAACAGAATACTGTAATCCGAGTAATATGTAGATGATTCTCTATAACCTCTATGATCGTAGTTGAAAATGAACATCATAATTTCATAGTAGGCATACAGTATATGATCATTCGCATCATTCGACCGATCTGCCATTGTTCCCATCTGTTCAGGATGAGGCCGGCGCCGTGATCCCGGATGCCATCGTGAACCGCCGTCAGAAGAAGAAGGAGAAGACCTTCGAGTACGAGGTCAAGTGGCAGTTCAAGAGCATGGATTCCAACACCTGGGTGGAGAAGGACACCCTGCAACGAGTGTTGACAGTGTTGCTGTTTCCCCAAAAATCAATGATCCCGGATTAATATGATACCCATGGTTCCATAGTATGCCAATAGTATCCCTATATTATGCCCATAGTCATAGTATGTAACAGTATGTATTAAAAAATGAATATTATTAAATAATATGAATGTTTTTATCACAAGCAAATCAAGTTGATCCCCTTCTGAATGGTATTAACCACAACAAATTCCCTGGGATTCACCAGAACGCCAGGACACCCTGGTGAAGATGGGTTACCTGAAGCTGGTGCAGCGTGAGGATGAGCGTCAGGCGGCCATGGCTGGGCTGATGACCAAGCAGCTGACACAGCCAGGTGAGGGATTTTTTACGTTCTCCCGGCGCTTTTCCAATGGGAAATATGGGTCAATTATGGCAAATTCAATAGGCTTCCTTATGAAATTGGCTTATATGTTGTAATCCCATATAAGAAACGTTCTTGCTTGGTGAAGTTATAGGATATCCATATTTTTCCAACATTTTACAACTGTTATGGTGGATACATCCATATTTTTCACATGGTTTTCGCCCTATTTTTCCTCAGGTGGATGTGGGTCAAAATGGAAGACCTAGGGGACCACAGATGTGAATGTCTAGTTTAGTATTAACCATCCATAATTTTGGGGTCCCTAATTTTGACCCATACCCAGGTGTTGAGAAGCACTTGGCGGATTTCGGTGTGGATGCAGAGAGTGCCAGCCACACTCAGATCAATCAGCTCTCGGGAGGCATGAAGGCGAGCCGAGCCTTTTTTGGGCGCTCGGATGCTGGAGAAACTCCTGGGTTTTTCATCCGGAAATTTGGGGAATTTCATGGGATTTTATGGTGGTTTAATGGGATTTAATATGATATACCCTCTGGTAATTTGTTACATAGCTATTGAAAATGGCCCAGTCGAAATAGTGGATTTTCCCATTGAAAGCATGGTGATTTTCCCATCAGTTATGTTAGTTTACCAGGGGGTATATCAAATGATCCACCAAAACATGTGGTGAATGATGAGAGTATATGAGAATATGAACGTCTGGGAATGATTTTCATACTTAAATAATGTCAAATCACATTCTATTTGATGCTGAAAACCATGTTCAATCAAGCAATTCATCTATAAACCCACCATTTCCCACATTTTTCCGTCCCGCAAGCAGTGGTTGTCCGGAGACCCCGTTCTCCCCGTTACGCTATCCCTACCCTCTTAAAAATGGAATTTGAGGGGGGGAATCGTACTGAAATTTCATTTTAAAATTCCATGTTTGCAATCATGCTTTCTCAATGATCAATATTCCTCATCATTCCATGTCATTGGCAAGCAGATGAAAATTAAATACTTGCGCTTAGCTCCGGAGGAGCTAAGCACATGTCAGACTGAAGCAGCACATATGTAGGGATGGCATCCCTCCAAAAATTGCTAACCAGTGCCCAAGGCTTGTTAAGAAATGTTACTTTACAATTCCATTTGAGGGGTTGGATCACTATCCCAGGGTTCCAAGCAAAAAAAAGTGGAATTCGACAGGTTGGTTTTGTCCCCTCCCGCCCTCCCCCTCCACAGGGGTAGGGATGTTACGCTTTTTTTTTGTAAAACGGCGAGGTGAAGGTGGTCCTGGCGGCGGCCATGTGGCAGAACCCGCACGTGTTGATCTTGGACGAACCCACCAACTACTTGGATCGCGAGGGCCTGGGAGCGCTGATCCTGGCCATCAAGGACTACAAGGGCGGGGTGCTCATCATCTCCCACAACAAGGAGCGACGATGGTGATGGAGGTGATGGAGGTTGGTTGCTGCTTTCAGGAATTACTATACGAATATGTTTACTATATATATATATATAGTAATATGAAACTAGCATCATGATACTAGGACGGATCTTGGTGGTTTCAAATATTGGAAAATGGTGTGATATATGTTGTAAACCCTACGTATGAGTGTGTCTGAAACTGCGATTTATACCCATAAGATGACACTTTAATGCGGAAAACATGATCATAAACCATGATGTTGTTTTTGTTTTTTTTCCCCTAGGCGTTCAGACACACCCATTTGGGATGATGATTGTCCCCATGACTGGTTAATTAGTCAGTTTAAATAGTCATTTAAACGGTATAGAAGCCAATTTAGACTGTTTGCTTGTATGCATCCCCATCAATTCCCAATGAATTCCCATTAAGTCCCTATTGCTGATGCTTTCTATACTGGTATCGGTATATAACATATATGTTATAGCATATCCTATGAAACCTCATTCTATACTGATATACCGACCATGTTTGGACCCATCTTTGTCCGGAAATTGGTGCAACCACACCCAAACATTTGGTTGATAACAATGATAATTAATAATAACTATTATTTTTATTTATTATATAATATATATAATGATAATAACAATAATAATAATAACAATAATAATAATATATATAATATGTAATAATAATAGCAATAATAATAATATATAATATATATTATATAATATATATAATAATAATAATAATAATAAAAATATAATATATATAATATATATATATTATATAATATATATATAAAATAATAATAATAATAATATATAGTAATAATAATAATATATAATAATGATAATAATAATAATAATAGTAATAATAATAATAATGATGATATATATAGTAATAATAATAGTAATAATAATAGTAATAATAATAATAGTAATAATAATAATAGTAATAGTAATAATAATAATAGTAATAATAATAATAATATTTATATATATATAAATATTACTTACCCCCTTAAATCCCATGAAATCCCCATAGTTGTTGGCTACACCACCACCACCACCCAGTCACATACTTGGCGGCTACCTATAGGAGTTCTGCGACAACGTGGCCACCGAGAAGTGGATCATGCAGGGCGGCCGCCTGCGCATCGAAGGCGAATCCGTGGACACCTCGAAGGACGAGGGCAGCGGGGCACAGGGACCCGATGAGGTCTTTGATGGCGCGGGGAACAAGATCGAGGCGGGGCAGGTGTGAAGATGGCCCCTGGTTGATGACTATGGGTATAGAAAGGGATATGACGGATATGAGCTGGTAAAATAATGTTATTTGCCATAAATACCAAAACTATGTTGGTTGATGAACTATGGGTATATCCTCCAGTCACCATAAATATGGGTATGTCTGAAAATGGGGTATATTCCCAATGAAATAGCCATTTAGTAGGGATAATGATCAGCAAAACCATTGGGTGTAGGGGTACACTATTTTCAGACAAACCCATATATAGGTGGTATATTTTCTAACCAGTCCCAGTCATGGTAAAAATGGCAACTGGCCGAAGGTGAAGAAGAGCGTGACCATGACGGAGAAGGACAAGAAGAAGGCCATCAAGGACTGGATTATCAACATGACATAGAGGCCTAATATCTAGCGATATCATATCCACATCTCACACATGTTGAGATATTTTCAGTCTTTTTGTGATTATAGATGGAGAATTAGCCAGTTTCCTGCTTCAGGACATTGAGAAAAAGATCAAGGATGGCAAGAAGAAGCAGACCTTGACAGATGAAGAGGTCTGGGAATTGGAGGACAAGCTCAACGAGCTCAAGGAAAGCCTCAAGGGCAAAGAGTGAGTGGAGCTCTCAAGTTGACTCGAAAAATCCGGTCTTTCCGCTTGAGGAAGCGGCGAAGCAACATCTCACAACAGTGAGAGAAAAAATGGGCAAGGGACTGTTGTGGCCTCAAATTCTGTATTTTTCGTTGTAGTCTAATTGTCCGAATTGCTCTTCAATTCCATGAATCCTTCGTGCTTTTGTGGGATTCAGACCATTGGGGCTTAGAATTAACAGCTTTAAGTCTATGGTAGTTAAATCATGGTACCCATGCATATCCATAAATACTTAACAGGTACTAGCTAACACCAACTGACATTAACTAACATCAACTAACTAAATTGACTACTTCTTTCAGGCCATAGTGCGAATTCCCATTGTGCCCATCTTTCAGTTTCTACACCGGTAGCCCTGGGATCTGCCACAGGTGACTCTCCAGTCCATGCTGTCTGGAAGCTCAGGAGACGCTAAAGTCCTTTTGGGGGGCTTCAAGTTTTTCCCTTCCATTCCTATACATACATACATACATACATACATACATACATATATATATATATATATAATTATATGTATATCTCATAGCAACCTCTTGCTCCCCAAAAAGGCTATGAAAATAACATCCCTTCGATTACACGCTGATTTTCGCTCAGGTCCCTGCCACTGGATGCCCGATTAGAGCTGCGAAGCAAAGTGTGGCCTGGCTGAGACGAGTTGGGCGCCGACATGGACTCAGTTGATGAGAACTTAAAACTAGGAAAAGTGGCTGAATGAACTATGGTTTATGGATGTTTATGGTAGATAGAACGAACTAGTATTCATGGGGCTTATAAACCAACTTACCCTCTGGTAAACGTGTACAAAAATCTATGGAAAATCACCATTTTTCATGGGTAAATCAACTATAAATGACAATTTTCAATAGCTATGTTAGTTTACCAGAGGGTAAATGTCCCATGGCTTGGAGATTTTGTTGCCATCACTTTAAATATCCCCATGCCAGTTGGGTGTGAAAAATGCTTGGACATAAAAACCAAGCCCTGAAGTACAGTAGCTGTTGCATTTTGCCCACAAAAGATGGGAATCTTCTCAAGAATGACAGGGATTCACCAAGAATATGAGGGTGGCTACACCCAGTAGAAGCATGGCTCCAAGATCCAGTTCTGGATTATGGTGATGGGCCCATGACTTGTTGGTAACTTTTTGGGTTTTTAAACGAGATTGTAATGACGAGAAGGAATCAAAATCTGGAAACCATGGTGAGGCTCATCAGTAAGCCTAGATATAAACCAAATTACCATAGATTACCTAAGGGGCGCCTTTCTTGTTGGTATACCAACAGATTAGTTTTATTATATTTACCATGAGTCTCATTGTATTTACGACCTCAATGAGACCTCACTGGAATAATGGTTAGTAAGGAGAATTATCCCAAAATAGCCTTCATTCAGGTCAGTGAAATGTTTTAATTTCCCCAGACCCATTCTAGTCTCATAGTACTTTCATTGTATTTACCATTGATTGGGGAAGATATGGTAAAAATTGCCATGACATTTTATGCTGCCCCTTCCAAATAGCAAATCCAGATTACCATCAAATAATATGGAGTAAATTCATGTAAATTGCCATTCCAAATCTATGGGCTTTCTACCATGAAATTACCATTGAATGACCATAAGATCGCCGTGGAACCGTTCCGAGGGTCAGTTGGCTTCGGGAGGCTGCCAATAAGCAAGAGGCACAGCAGGGGTGGCGGAAGATGAGGAATGTATGATTTGGATCTGTCAGATCTACAGGATTTGTATCAATAAGTGGTGAATTGCTATGCAAATAACCCACAACTGTATTAGTATATATGTGATTATTTATCATAATATACAATGTATAATATAATATATAATATACAATATAATATATAATATATAATATATAATATATAATATATAATATATAATATATAATATATAATATATAATATACAATATATAGTATATAATATACAATATATAGTATATAATATACAATATATATAATATATGATATATATTATATATATGGTATATATAATATATGATATATATATAATATATTTAATATATAATATATAATATATAAATTATAAATATATACATACAGTTGATAGATAAACATGAGGGGACTGACCAATTCAAAGCTATTTTAAACACAGAAGAACTTGGATGCACATCCAAGTACCAGCTGGCGCAAAGATAAGCTCTGGCGAGGATCAACTGTCAGAAATACAAAACTGTGAAGTCAAGGTCTGAGACCTAAAACCCGGCTGATGTCTGATGTCTGATCATTTTTACTATCTGATTCCGTAATATTCCATATTTGTTGGTATCTCGTGGCTAAAGTCAGGGAACATAGCGTTTCTTTTTCTCCAGTCCGGGCATGGCAAAAATGCTATCCCTTGACCGATGTTCGCCATCACCATGAACGATGCACGGGGGCCAGGAAGTGGTTGTGAAGAACAAGCTGGCGCTGATCTATGTCTGAAGACTCAGAGAATGTTGGATAAATGTTGAATAATTCTATTGGTCATTTAGAGACTAGCGTAATTTATCTATTTATATTCATCCCATAGGATCCATGGTGCTGGTATATATGCTAACATGACTGGGGTATATTGATGGGATCCATGGCACACCATATATAGCAGCACCGTTAGGATCCGTCATGGGCTTTCTGTTGGATAAATCTGGCTTTCTGTCCCAGTCATCCCCAGAAACAAAAGTCGCCGAGCATCGAACTGGGACGAGTGGAGATCAGGAGCTCCTGCTGGTTATGCTCAAATATGACTCTCCCAAAAAATAGCAGATGGACCATGATGGAAAAAAATTAGGCAACATCCAGGGAGAGTAAGTTTGTGCGGTTTCCGGGTTGCTCCAAGCCATTACAGTTTTATTCTGTTTTATGTATTGTATACCCTCTGGTAAACTAACATAACATAACATAACTATGGAAAATCACCATTTTGAATGGGAAAACTCAATATAAATGGCAATGTTCAATAGCTATGTTAGTCATTACCAAATGGTATAACCACAAGGGAGGGAAGCGGGGGGTAATTTTTAGTTCGTTGCTGTGAACTCAAAGGTGCGAGCCATCGGGGATCTGACCGAATTTGGATTCCCATTTGGTTTTCGGGAAGACCAACAAATCGGTGACCTTGATAGCTACTGTATACCATCCAACCATTGCTACCCAGCTTTGGGGTGTTTGGTTTTCATGCATACTCACAATTACCCAGCAAGGTACCTTGGGGTTGGGTATTGTGGTATGCTCTCTTGCAGGGTAAAATCCAATCTCTTACCGAGATTGAACTTACCAAATTTATTGTCATTGCTCAAATCAGCTTAAGCATTCCAAATTGGCTCAATCTCCAGTTTGTGGTCCTGGAGAAATACTTGAAAAATACTTGAACACCCAGTTGGACAATTTCTGGAAGCCCTTCGGAAGGTAATTGGATCCATAGGGATAGTATTGATCTCCAGTTTTCCGGCCGTTGCCAGGCGGGCCTAGTGCGCTTGGACTATCCTGCCAACTGGCCGAACGCATGGCAGGACTGGGCCTTTTTTGGGTGGCTGCAAGTTTTATCGGTTCTTCACGATTTGTCGTGAAAATTTGGCATGACATTGCCTGAAAATTGCATCAGACAAAGTCCAGATTTAGGGATGATGTGCATTGATTCATGTGACAATGTGCATTGATTCTCTCAGCAGACTTGGATTTATCATCTTTGATTGACCCTTTTTTGGCACCACGAATTACCTGGAACTGGTTCCGGGGGATCCCATTGTGAAACCTGCTCAAGGTCCGCCTCGGCTAGAGTCTCATGACTCAGAATGACGAAACGCTCTAATTTTGATCCATAAAAATATCATGGATCTTCATTGATATACTGGTTGGTGACTGGAACCATGGAATTTTGAATGACTTTCCCATCATCTTGGGAATGTCGTATCCCCAACTGACGAAGTCCATCATTTTTCAGAGGGGTAGGTATACCACCAACCAGTATACATAATATAATTAAAAAAAACAGCCAAAATTGATGGTTCCCCTCTCAAGGAAGTTGGACTTCCGATCAATAGAATTCAAAAAAAGCGGATTTGCGCTCAAAAGATGCGGATTGACACACAAAAGTATGGGGAATGCTGAGAAAACCTGAGCGACATCCTGACAAAACCTCCATGGTTAACCATCGAACTGCAAGAAACAGGTCTAAACTGTCCTAAATTCTCTTGAGAATTTGCATCAAGAAAGGGATGGTTGACAGAAAAAAATGACATCTCCAGAATCTCCAGCACTGAAAGTTTGGATACCCCAACTGTGCTGTTTGGGTCTCATGGCTACAGCCAAGCCGGAGACGTATGTGGCGGTGACCGTGGCAATGCTGGGGGCTGCCATGTTTGGCTTCGATCAAGGTAATTTTGGCAACGTTCAAAGTTTCGAGTCTTTCAGACAAGAATGGTGCTTAGGCCGGGTGCAGCTATACCTGGAAGATCATGGAATCAGGTTCTGATCCGGAATCTTTGGAGGTTGTGAACCGTAAAATGGATGATAATCTGACCAAATTAGAGGTCATTTGGCATTTGGATTCCAAGATATTCCAAGTATAATATGTCTGTTTTGATGAACGAAGACTCTGACGCGAAGGGCGCTTGCGGCCAAAATTGTGCAGACCCCCAAACAACTTTGAGTTTATGGTCATGTTGTAGATTCTCAGGAATCTCAAATCCATTTTTGCTTGGTGTTCCCCAATGCACCTCAAAAATGAGTTTGGAATTTCCTTAAACTAATCATCACTTACACAAGAAACCCTGGAGATGGTGACTTGTCTTTAAGACCACTCACATTGGGTTAACGGGGTGAGCCTTATCATATTTTTGGAAATCTATCCATATTCCACATATACGTATATTACATATGTTTATAATTATATAATATATTAATATATACACAATTATATATATAATTATATTATATACATAATATCTATCCCATATGTCATGTCCCACTATGAGCCTTAAGCTTTTTTTGCAGGTCGCTATGGCGACGAGATCACCTGTAGCGAGGCCGGAGCTCTGCAGAACGCCTCCTGGCTTCGCTTCGTGACGTGGGGCGCCACGCTGATCACCTTCGGCGCGGCGGCCGGCGCCACGTTGGCGGGGCCCCCGTTGTGTAACGGCCTGGGTCGGCGGCCCTGTGTGCAGATCGTGGGGGCGGTGTGTTGCCTGGGCTGTGTTATGGCGTCCTATGCATCTTGGCACAGCGTCTTGGTGAAGCTTTGACAATCACAAGTTGGTGTTGTTTGATGTTCTTTGTTAAATTTGTAAGCAGTTGATTTCTGGTGATTGTGAAATTACGAATTCAATTATAGCTTATCGTGGCTCTAAGCATCAAATGAACCGGGATATATCTGATAAGTGATGGTTGATGATTATACTGGGTTGTTCACCTACCTGGTTTATTGTGCGATTGTGAACTGACCTATATAACCGGAATCGCGTTCTCAAGCAGTAGGTTTAGGGACAGAGGGTCTTGAACGCTGCTTTCTTGTGATCACTTTTTTGCAGATTCAACATCATTCAAGGTGGTAAACACAATTCTGTGATTCAGACTGATTCTCCAGTTGCTTAATGATTTTGGGTCAAGCACCACAGTCAGGCAGTGAAGATTCTCTGCCAGTCTGCCAGAGTTGTCCCGGGAACAAAATCATTTGGGTGTGTCTATGGCAACATGTCATGGTCAGAACATGTGAGGTTGAAATATGTCCAAACCAAAAACATGGTGGGGTACAGAAAGGATACAGTAGCCTATTTTCAGAGCCCATTTCGACTCAAATCTATCTACCGGTTGTACCTGTTGCTGGGCTCAGGTGTCTACGAGTTTTACCTTGGACGTTTCATCACTGGCTGCGGCGTGGGCATCAGTTGCTTTGCCCTGCCACTGTACAGCGCGGAGATTTCCCCACCCCAGATTCGTGGCGCCACCGGATCGTTGTTCCAACCGAACGTGGTGGTGGGATGTGTCTCGATGCCGACTTTTTGGTGGCGAAAATACGGAATATTCTGGGGTCATGATATAGGTAATATAGGGATATATATATAAGATTATATATATATATTATATATTATATATATATATATTATATAGTCAGAGTTTTCGGCCCAGTTCTTTCCAGAGAGTGAAACCGAGCGTCAGCAAAAGACTGGGAGATCGTACCTCACAACATGGATTTGCGCGTTTCTGAGCTGCAACCTGGTTCCATCTTTTCGATTGTGGCATGGGTGGAGAACACTGAGCAGGGCATGCTGCTTTGCACTGGAGTTTCCCCGCACCAGGTCTTCAGTGTCTCTGGTGCGAATGGAGTTTCTGAGGGTTTGCATACCTTGTATGATGTCGTCAAGGCTGAAGGCAATTGTTGTTCAGTGGGAGAGGGCACTGAGATTCATGCACACCCTCCAAAGGATCCATTTGCGACCATCACTTTGTTGGACTTTTGTAGTGGCATGGGTGGCTTTTCCATAGGATCTAGCATTCTTGGAATCCAAACGGCTGCCTTTGTTGAAAGATCACCATTGGCATGTGATGCATTGCGATCCAATTTTCGCAGTCCAGTACTCCAGGCTGACCTGGGGGATATTAATACCCTCAAGAGAATCCACCCTCTTAAGGGCACAGGCCATGTTCAGGCAACAGGAGGATTCCCATGTCAAGGATTCTCTAGACAGGGTGATCAGTATGGTATGGATGACCACCGAAGTCATAGCCTGTACTACATCTTGCAGAGTTCATGGCTGCTCCAAGTGGACGAGATCTTGCTGGAGTGTGTTGCCAATGTGGTGAATTTTCCATCAGCGCTGCAATGCATTGACGACTTTGCAGCTCTCGCCAACATGAAGGTGATGAAACTCAACTTTGACCTTCAGGACCAATGGCCAGTTAGGCGCAACAGATTCTGGTGTAGACTCTCTCACAAGGATTTGCCGCACATTGACATTCCACGTTGGCCAGTGACTCATGATTTCCAAACACTTGGAGATATTATGCCACTTGATGCCATGTGGGATGAACTGGTTGAAAAGCAATTGGAATGGGATCCAAGTGAGTTGGCTTTGTATTTGGATCCAAGTTTTGGCACTGACGAAAGGCTTCTTTGTGCGCAGAGCAAGGCTCCAACAGTTTTGCATTCATGGGGCCATGTGAATAGACCATGTCCTTGCGGCTGTAGGGCAGCATTCAACTTGGCTCGACTTCGCAGTGGAGGAGCACGTGGATTTGGCCTTCTCTCCGCCAGAAGTGGTCGCTATCGGCATTTGCATTCTGAGGAGGGGGCCATGTTGTGCACAGTGCCACCATCTTTCCATTTTCCTATGCCTCCACGTGCAGCTCTCAGCCTTCTTGGTCAAATTGCGGCGCCTTTGCAAGTTCTTTGGGTGCAATCTCACATTTTGGCCTCTTTGCAATTTCACCACTGGGGATGGACGGACTTGGAACCTCTCCAGGCTATCAAAATCTTGCAGAATGCATTGCGCACCTACTCATTCACCAGATGGATCACTCCCAAGATGTATCAACCACGAGACATTCAACTGCAGTTGGTCAAGGAGGAGGTCACTCATGTGATTCAGATCAACGAGCCTATCACAGTTGGGCAATTGATCCAGGCCGAGAATGCTCTTTGTGGATGGGGCCACTACGTGATCATCACATGTCAGGGCTACCGAATGCATCCAGAGGTTCAACTCCTACCAGGGGTGACATATGAGATCAAGATCTGTGTCAGCAGACAGGTGAAGCCATGTCCCTTTCCAACACCGCTCTTGGGAGGTGGATCAGCACAAAGACACCTTCAATTGGGAGACCGGTTGCTTTGGGACTTCATGCGGGAGATCTCATGTGCTCGTGATGCAGAAGAATTCCCTCAAGAACCATTCCTGCTGCCGCCCTTCCAGATCACCCACTTTCTCAGGCTGGATTTGCCGTCTGCAGTGCAGCAGACCTGGATCCAACGCAGCTCCTGTGGATATGGGCCTATCTTCATGATCTGTGAACTTCACGGTCATTGGATTCTTCTACATGGACTCTGGAATTGCCAGCATGATGGACTTCATTGGACCCTTTACGATGGACTTCGAATGGGTCAAAGCTGGCCATGGGCATATCACACAGCCCAGAAAATGTCCAAGACATTGCAAGTTGGATTTTCAGGGATGACTCCTGGTGTTGGACTTTGCCAGCGTCATGCCTTTACTTGCGGCTCCATTGCCCTGATCCACATGGCTCAGTTGCTTCATCTGATACATGACGTTTCTGATGACCAGCTCCAAAACATTCACTTTTGGCTGCTTGAGCGACAGCAATGGCACCCAAGTGATCTCTTTGCCGGAGGTGCCGAGAACACTCAGCAACAACTGGCCAAGCTGCTGTCAGAGAAGGGCGTCCCCTTAGCGGCATCTTCAGATAGGGCCAAGATGATCACCGGCAGACTTGGACTTAAACAAGTCCAAGCAATTCTGCAAGCTCGAAATCCCTGGTCTGACCTCAAGTCAGCGGCCAGCAAGCCAGGGTCAATGTTTCGCTTGGTCACACAAGACGAACAGAAGCTTTACATTGCCGAGCGTGCCAAGACCAAACACGGCGCCAAGATTGCCAATCACAAAGCCAAGAAGCAACACAAAGGAGCTCACCCGAGCCAACCAGTCTGTCTTGAACCATCTCAGTTTGACTTGGATGCCCATCACTTCAAGGATGGTGATGATCTGCCTGTTCCGCAGATCCGCTACGAAGAGGTGGAATCTGAAGCTCGAGGAGTAGCCCTATGCACAACAGAGATGGCGCGTCATTTTCTGGACAAACCTGACACCATCAGCACAGACGCCTTGGCACTGCTGCTTCTGGACAAGCCTGATGATGAGGCTGTTCAAAAGGCACAACTTCAGCCTATCATCATCCCAGCCAGATTCAAAGGCACAGATGAGCACACTTTGATCTACGGCCACATCCTTCAGCTGGGAGACAATCATGTCTTACGAGAACTTGCCAGCCAAGACTCCAACCCAGACTTGGTCGAGACCCAGGTGGTGAAGTTTCAGGTCTTTCGAGACCAACTCAATGGAGATTGGACGTCATTTGCTCAGGCCCCCATTCGGGCATTGGTGTCTATGATGGACTCTCTACAACTTTGCAAGGGCTCCAAATGCGGTGCAGCATGTGGCAAATATCATCCTGGGCTTGATGAGACGGTGGAGAATGTCATCTTTGAGATTTGGGCCAGGAGTTTCTTCGACGCCAATGGCCGTAAATCTCCACAAGACCAAGCCAGCCTTTTCACTGTCTTCTTGCGTATTCCTGAAGGTGCCCTGGGCAAGTTACTCACCAACACCCCGGTTGGAGTGTATGCAGAGCCAAGAGGGTCAAAACCTCGAGAGCAAGATGATCGATATCGAGTCGTATGGCTTCCTGGCGTCTCTGCGGAAGAAGCTGCACATCAATGCCGAACCTATGATCGGGCGATCTGTTTGACAAGACTCCGATTTAAATACGGCATCCGAGTCAAGAAGGAAGATGAACAGGCTGCTTGGTCCCATTTGCGACCGGGCACAGATTTTGTGGCCATGAACTTGCAGCACATCTACGAGCTTTTTCCAGTCCCACATGGAACTCAACGGCATGCCATTGTGAAGCTTCTTTCTGACTGGAAGTGGACTGCCAGACCTTTGCAGCCAGGACGAGGCAATTACCATCACATGTCTTGGCGTGTTGGTTCTCAGGATCCTCCACCCCTACCAGTCATGACAGGTTTCCAGAATGACATAGTCATCACACAGGTGAAGGAATTGAAACAGCCTGAGCATGAACAAACTTTCATTGCTTCTACAAAGACACAGAGACAGATCCGTGCGGCACCGGCACAACCAGTGACTCCACCTGCAATTGCAGACCCATGGCTGGAGAGAAAAGAAGATCCTTGGGCAAGATATGGCACCAAGTCGACACCTTCCTCATCGGCTGATGGCAAATCCAAACTGACTGCCATTCAAGAACAACTGCGGTCTGACATCAGCAATGACATGGCACAAAGTATGCAGACTCAAGCCAAAGAAGCAGTACAAGCGGCAGCAGCATCATTGCAGAGCGGTGCTGGACAACAAGAAACCCGCATCAAAGCACTTGAAGTGGGTCTCAATGAATTGAAAGGCCAAAATGCCCAATTCAGCACATGGTTCCAGCAGGCCGGTGAGAGATTGCAGGCTACAGAATCTACGATGGGTGCAATGCAGCAAACGCTCAACACTCATCAGAACGAGCTCCATGTCTTGGGAAGCACATTCCAATCCACCATGAAGACAGTCAAAGATGATCTGTCCTCAGAGATGAATGACTCCTTCAACAAGCAGCTCAGCCGCCTTGAGGCGCTGCTTGAGAAGAAGCAGCGTCAAGCTTGACTAGCGCAAACCGGTTCCGAGAATGGATCGACTCGGAAGCCGGGAGGTACAACAAGATCCACTCTCAGTTTTGGATGGATGCTCATGATGTTGATGGTGTTCATTACACCATCCATGGCTCTGCAGCAGCAGCACTCCTTTGCCCGGTTCTTCATCGACAGCTCGGCAGCTTTTGCTGACCGAGGTTTGGGGTCGGGGAGTTGCGGCTGCCGTGTTCCGGAGTCAAACCATTGGTCTTTTATCGGTCATGCCCCATCTTTTGTGTCTTCTTTGGCGTTTGAAAAGTCAGTTGGTGGTACAATTAGATATGGTGAGGCGCTGCACTCTGGTCCTCACATGGGTGAAATGCTGACTGTGGGCGTCAGCAATCCCACTGGCCTCAGACAAAAGGAAGACACCTTATTGGAGCTTGGCCCTGGAGTTTGGTCATTGGCTGAGACTCAACTTTCTGCAGCCACTTTCAAAACATGCTCTGCAATTTTGCGGCAGAAAAGCAGAGCTTTGAATCGAGAAGTTCGCCTACATGGAGGTGCTCCAGCCCCCTTGCGACAGGGATCTACGTGGGCTGGAAAATGGACAGGTGTTGCGGTCATGTCAGACCTGTCATCGTCCACCTTGGACGTGCCATGGCCGTTGGAACATTGGGATAGTGGGCGAGTTTTGCTCGCGCGGCATTGGGCAAATGCCATGCCTATTACCATTGGGACCATATATGGCTTTGCTCAAGGGCCAACATGGCCAAAAGCCAGGCAGCTGACTGATCAACTGCTTGAAACTTTCACCACGGAGCTGGTCCTGGGGATGAGTGGTGTCAGATTGATCATGGGGGACTTCAACCAGAACCCAGGACAATTGACACAACATCAGATCTGGATGAGACATGGCTGGCAAAATGCACAGGATATTGCTGCTCAGTTGTTCAACCATGAGGTTGTCCCGACATGTAAGGGAGCCCATGAGAGAGATCAAGTTTGGCTTTCACCGGAAGCAATCAATTTGCTGCGCAATTTGAAGGTGACAGAGGACTTCCTGGATCACTCTACAGTCTCCATCAACTTGCAAATCCCTGAGAAGGAGGTTTATGTCCATAGATGGCCAAGACCTGCCAAAATTCCATGGGAGCATATTGATACCAGCAATTGGAACCCAACCTGTTCTACCAGCTTCACATCTCAGCAAGATCCTACAGTGTTTTTGCGAAACTGGGCCCATGATTTTGAACATGCGTTAGTACAACATGCCACTGCCACTGGTGGATTCACTTTACCAAATCGGTGTCAAGGACGTGCTCAACGCCTCACCCCTGTGAAGCAGACTCTTTCTACACCAACATGCAAAGCCAGCCGTGACGGTGAAGTTCGCATCACCAACTCTATGGCTGGTACTGCAACTAGGGTTTGGTTCAAGCAGTTGAGAAGGCTTCAAAGCTTGAAACATGCAGTGCAGGCGGCAAAAGACACACCTGCCGCGATCACATACAGGATCGAGCTCTGGAATGCCATCAAGAAGTCCCAGGGCTTTGTGCCAAATTTTGATACCTGGTGGAGCTCAAGGACACCAGATTGCTGGGGTTCCTCAGACATTGCCCCAGGCAGTTCCACTCGAATCGACAGTGGTGCAGGCCATCTATGATAGCTTCTTGCTGCACTTTCGGGCTTTTGAGGCATGGCACCTCAATGAACGTTCCAGAAGCCTGAAATCAAAGTATGAGGGATCTCTTGAGGCTATCTACATGGACCTGCGCCCTGATCCACGACCGGGAGTCCAAACTCTCTGGAAAGAGGAGCACTACACCATTTTGGCTGTAGATGCGGAAAGCCAACAAGTTCATCTTGACAAGGATGTACAGCAACATGGTGATTCTGTTTGGCTTCATGATCAGCACATGCTCAATGTCATCACTCATTCTGGAGACATTTGCACAGTTTCGTCTTCAGAACATTTGATGGTTGGGGATGAAGTTACCCAGAGGATTTTTCTGACGGGCGTTTCAGACATACTCCAAGCTTTTGAAGCGCACTGGACACCAAGGTGGAGCATTCTGGCGCAAATTCCTCCAGCTGACTGGCAGCGCATTGTGGACTTTGCAGGTCACTATATGCCATCCTTCAACTTTCAGTGGGAGGAACTCAGTCTGCCTAGTTGGAGAGCCATGATCAGAAAATTCAAGCGTAAGGCAGCTCGAGGCCCTGATGGATTTTCTGGTGAAGACCTCAAGCATATGCCGGATGGATATGCTCAACCTTTGCTGGACTTGCTTCAATCCATTGAGCAAGAGGATACAGCTTGGCCTCAACAGCTGGCCTTCGGCACGGTGATCGGGCTGAGCAAACAAGATGGAGCGCATGAAGAAGGTCACTTCAGACCGATCACCTTGTTTCCAACAATTTACAGAGCCTGGGCAAGACTGCGCACAAAGCAGATGATTTTGCAGATGTCCAAGTATATTCCACCTGAAGCACTGGGATTTCTACCACAAAGAGAAACCACCGAAGTATGGATGATGTTGCAGGCACAAATCGAGTTGATGGTTCAGATGCACATGGACTATGCTGGACTTTCTACAGATTTGAAACGTGCTTTCAACCACATAGGCAGGAACCAAGTTTTCCTGATTGCGAGGCATGTTGGATTGCCACACCAACTGTTGAGGCCTTGGCAGAAATTTCTCAACAACTTTGTGCGTAGATTTGATGTGCATGGATGTTTGGGCACGGCACTTACGTCGTCATCAGGTTTTCCAGAGGGATGCCCTCTGTCAATTCTGGCTATGCTCAATGTTAACTGGTGTTACCACATTTACATGCGAGCGTTTTGTCCAACAGTGGTTGCATACAGTTTTGTAGACAACCTTACTTTAGCAGCACGAGATGCACTTGCAGTGATCCATGCTTTTTTTGCTCTACAGTCTGTTTGCCTGCTATTTGGCCTGATGACGGATGCATCTAAGACGTACGTATGGGCATTGTCTAAGTCATCCAGGGCATTGATTGGACAGCTGGGATTTGAATGTGTCACTGATGCAAGTGAACTTGGTGGTGCAATGACATTTGGCCGCAGTCGGCGAACTCGATTGTTACGCCAACGAGGTTCCAAATTGCATGCCAGATGGACGAAGTTGAGACGCTCCCAAGCACCTGGACCACAGAAAATGTCAGTGCTATCTAAGGTGTTTTGGCCTCAAGCTCTGCACGGCTCAGCCAACTGTCTCATTGCTGAGACTTACCCCATGGAACTGAGACGTGAAGCCACCAAAGCACTTGGTATCAATGGAGCAGGAGTCAATCCAGTTTTACGCTTATCACTTGCGGATGACATGCGTAGTGACCCAAGTTATTACCAACTCCATCTCTGCCTTTCGACTTTCAGACGTATGCTGCAGAAAAGCCCTGATTTGCTTACTATGTGGCGAATATGGATGAGCAATTATGATGGGCATCTTATTCCTGGGCCCTTTTCCAAACTTATGCAGTGCTTTCAGATGATTGGTTGGTCAGTCATTGACCCACCGATGGTAGCTGATCATGAAGGTTTGTCATGGAACTTGATGTATCTGGACAATAAAACCCTGAACACTGTTTTGGAAGATGCCTGGCTTCAGTACGTTGCAGCGGGTGTTCGTCACAAGACGATGTCTGATTTGCGGGGCATGGATGGTTTCCTTACGAAGTTGGGCAGCACTAAGCTGTCTACTCTGGATAGAGCACGTCTCGCAGCTCTGCACTCAGGAGCATTTATCAGCAGATATGAACACTCCAAGTATGACACTGAAAAAACACCAATGTGTGCACTTTGTCAACTGGAAGATGATCGTTTGCACTGGCTTGTCTGCCCGCGGTTCCATCACATTCGTTGCTCTATTCCGGACTGGTGCCCCGATAATGTGGAGCTGCCCAGATGCACTTTGCAGCATCTACTGGTCCCACGGCAGGACGTGATGACTGAGTGGCGAGCGCTCTTGAGTGCACCGGAGGAAGATGGCATATCTTTTTTTGTTCCTGCCCCCACAACTGGTTTCCAACACTTGTTTTTAGATGGTTCTTGTATTCAAGATTTGTTTCCTGTGCTGAATAGGGCTGCATGGGGTGTTGTTAGTGCCACAATGGAACAAGTGGTTGCCATGAGCCACCTAAAAGGGTCACACAAACCATAGACAGAGCCGAGCTGACTGCGCTGATTGCAGCGCTTCACTGGACTTCTGGCACTGAATTGGAGGTATGCCTTTGGTCAGACTCTCAATCCACGATAGCGGTGGCTGAGTTTATTCAACGGCATCACATGCTACCGGATGGGGTAGAGAATGCGGATCTTTGGGTTCAAGTCCTTGACCTTTTACAAGACAGGGGCACACTATTCACTGGTTTTCGCTGGATTCCTTCACATCTCCCTGCGGAGGTTGCCGAGGACTCTTTTGAGGAATGGGTCATCAAGTGGAATGATGCAGCAGACAGGCTTGCAGTGTTTGCCAATACTGCTCGTCCTCTGGAACAACGCCATTGTCTTGTTCGGGCACAGGCGATTCTTTCTGGTTGGGCCAAGAGGCTCAGACAACTGCAGCAGTTTTACTTCCAGGTGGCAGAATTCACAGGAGATGAAGAGGCGTTACCAGACCATGTTAGTGTTGTTTCCTCCGAATCTGAAAATGATGGGCTCTGGTTCTCATGGGCAGACTCACTACCCATCAACTGGAAGGTACAATGTCAGCATGGTGGCAAGAAGGTGCCAGGAGACTTTTTGGTCTCTGTCGTGGAGTGGGTTTGCGCTGCTGAAAGACTTGAAGGAACCGTCAGAGAAATCAACGAAGTTGAATTAGTTTTTGCATTTTTGCTGGATAGGGAATTCAAGTTCCCCTTCTCAATTGATGGTTCGTTGAAGCTGTGCATGCGTTGTCCAGATTCTTTGTTTCAACAACCAACACTTGCAATGATGCTTAGGCCAGTTCAGTATGCTTTGGCTGAACTGCACAAGCTTTTTCCACATGTTGTGATGCAGACAGTGCCACTGAACCGGGTATCCCTGGGTTTGTACAAGAAATTTGCCGGTCTGAGAATCCATATTCCAGACGATTTGTGGTCACTTGTCCAATCACGTGTACAATCTTTTACAGCTACTAGAGCTGTGCGAAGGGCATGTGACTTGGCTCGCCCGGCCTAAGACAAGGACTTGTTGCGGCCGCACTGCATTGCCGTGCGTCGCAGCACCCAAATCAGTCCGAGCTATATATATAGTCAGATGGGTGACCAGCATTTTTAATAGGGACTAAGTGGAAGTAACTTCAACGAGTTTTTCTGGAAGCTGAGATGAGATGATCCTGGACATTGGGAGCCATGGCTAGTCATACCCTCGCCCCTAAGCATTGGATGAACCCAATCTGTGGATGACATCCATATTTGCCCAGACTCTCGAAAAAAATCCTGGACCTTACGATTCACCACCCAAAAAAAGTCCAAGACTTTGATTGTAAACATGTTTTGCTAGATTTTCTTAGATTTTTTGGGTAGTTTTCATATCCCACATCCCATATCCATTCTTAGAAACGGCGGAGGTTTCTTCTCGTGCCTCTTCACCTTGCTGAACAACGATTGGTACATGGGCATGGTCTTGCCGGGCTTGGCAGGTGCCTTGCTGCTGCTGCTGGGCCAATTCGTTCCTGAGTCTCCACGTTTCCTGATGGCGCCTTGGAGTCACGTCGGAGAGAGTTGGTGGCTTTTTTGGGGCTTGACATATCTTGAAAATGGTTGAAATATGGCATTTTTAAGTTTTTTTTGGGGTTGAAATCATGTTGAAATATGGGTTCGTCTGAAATTGTGAAGCCACAAATCTACAGATGAATCATTATTTTGATTTATTTTGAGTATGGCCGGGACAGGGGGTAGGGGACACACCCATATTGAAATGTCAAGAGAAAAAATTGATCCAACTCACTGCTTGCACGGGGGCGCACAGTAGGGCTGTGATGATCAGCTACCAGAGACGTTAAAAAAAGGAACACTTTCCGAGATATGTTTATATTGCGTACGCACATGCATACATATGTCATATATTATATATATGTATGTATAGTATAATATGTATATATATATGTATATATACATGTATATGTATATATATATTGTGAATTGTACAGATATCCAAAGGGGTTCCCAGGTCCTTTCAGTCAAACACTGCCTTCCAGTGAACCGCCATCCTTCAGGGCACAACCAATTCATGCCGCAGACACATATGGGCTGAGGCAGCCCTTGGGCAGGCGGGAGGGCTTGTGCTTGAGCCATTTGCATTGCCGTGGACGGCATAGCTGGTGAAGCTCATTTGGAGCTTGGTTTGGCAAAGCTCACCAGAGCTTGGAAACAACATTGCTCACCCGAGCATCCAAACCGAAGACCTTGGTCTGGCGTGGTGAAAAAGGGATTGGCCGATCCTTTTGGTGCTGGACGCTTTTGTGAAGGGTTCTGCAACAGGCTGCCATTGTGACACCAATCACATTGGTAGCGGAGCCACCTTTGCTCCAGGGGGTTCGTGGAACTCTTTTACAAGCTGGCCTGGTTGTAGCAGTTCGCACCCGAGCCTGAGACATGTCCGAAGCATCCGACGGAAAATCAGCATCCGATTCACAGGTGCCCACACAGCTGACCTCTTTAGTCCCTCAATTTGATCCGGCCCAACATGACCTTGAGCAATACTCTCAGAAAGTTGAGCTGCTGGCCAACATCTGGCCTGCCAACAAACTGGACGAGCTCGTGACCCGCTTGATCTTAGGAACGAGTGGAGCAGCTTTCCAGAAGCTCCAGTTGCAGAAAGATGAACTGATGGTAGGAGATAAATCTGGAGTTGAAAAGCTGGTGACGATTTTGGGCGGTCATTGGGGTAAAGTGTCACTGGAACGCAAGTACGAGATCTTTGAGAAGGCCGTTTTCAGATGCACACAGCGACAGGACGAGTCAAATGATTCATTCCTGGCACGTGCTGACATTCTTTGGACAGAACTGATAGCCAGTAAGATTTCTTTAGAAGAACTTCAAGCATACGTGGTTCTCCGTGGGAGTCTTCTCTCAGCCGAAGACAAAAAACGTGTGATCCTGGAAAGTGAGGCTACTAAGGCAGGTACGTTGAACATGGAGAAGGTCACCACTTCAGTCCGTATGCTGGGATCGGGGTTCTTTCACGATTTCACAGGTGTCAAAAGGTCCAAAGGAAAGGTATACGATGCTCATGCTTTTGTCGCTGAGGAATGGGACGATTCAGAAAGCACTTACAATGTTGATGATTGGAACGAGGATGAGATGGTTGAGAATCTAGCCAATGAAGGTGATGAAGATGCAGTCCTGGTTTGTGAGTACGAAAGTGCCATGCAAGATGCAGTCCAGGAAGACGAAAGTCTGGCAGCCACCTTCAATGCTTACACAGATGCCCGTAAGCGCTTAAGTGAGCGCTTCCGCAACCGTGGATTCTGGCCCACCAGTGGTTCCAAGGGAAAAGGCAAAGGTCACAAAGGCCGTGGAAAATCCCCGGCAAAGGGGAATTTTGGCAACCGAAAGAGTTTGCAGCAGCGCATTCTGGAATCCAACTGCCGTCACTGCGGCCGCAAAGGCCATTGGCGAGCAGAATGTCCCGAGAGAAGCCGTGGTTCAAACTCAGCTACTGCCAATTCAGCTCCAACAATGGCCACAGTGACCATGATCGAGGATCATACTTCTGAAGGCACTTTGCCTCTGGAGTTTGTGCACCTGCCGGAGATTCACGAAAACACGTTGGATGCCACCAGACAGCAATCAGCCTATGTGTCAGTACATGGGGTTAATAACTTTGGGGTAAATCATAAGGTTAACCTGGGGAATAAGGATAACCAATTGGGGAAAAGTCGAATCATCCGAAAGGTTGAAGAACGACTAGGGTTTCCACCGTCATGCACTCGACCCAGGAGTGAGCAAGCAAGACCAATGCAGTCCGATGACAAGTTTCATCCCGCATGTCCTGAGCCAGCCATGACCACCAAGCTCGCAACAGTTGAGCCAGTGTTTTTTGCATCACAGGGAGCCTTAGGCATCCTGGACTCAGGTGCAACGAAGACCGTGATGGGAAGCCAGTTGCTCTCAGATTTTCTGAGAAATTTGCATCCGAGGGTTCGCCGACAGGTGAAACGGTGTAAATGTGAAGTGACTTTCAAGTTTGGGAACCAAGGAACACTCGACAGTCAGCATGCATTGGTTATTCCAATTGAGAAGTTAGGCTTAAAGATAGCAATAGTACCTGGGGGGACTCCACTTTTGCTTTCCAACACGTTGCTTAGAACTCTGAAGGCAACCCTGGATATCGAGCAGCAAGTGTTGCACAGCCCATTCCTTGGAAGACCAATCCAACTGAATCTGAATACTCGAGGTTTGTTTCTGATTGATGTTAACGAACTTTCCTTGGCTTCCAATGGGAAAATGCCTGCTGCTGAAACGTTCGTGCATGAGACCTTGGATGCGAAGACAATCCGAGAAACAAAACAGCCGAGAGCCCAACAGGTGTCACTAACATGTCAGCCAAAGCCAACTGTTTTGCAGTCAAGGGATGAGCGAGTTTGCACAGAGGGTTTCACAGTACCATGTACCAAACATGCCATGAGAAAAACCGAGGAATCTTCACCACACAACAGTGCCAATGAACACTCCAAGCCAGTTGCCACAGTGAAACACGACCATAAAACAGTCAAGAATGAAAACATCAGAGGTGAAAAGGGTTTGTCCCTACTAGCAAATGAAACAAAGAGCAGTCACCATGAGGAAGACTCAAATGAACAGCAGCCGCTGTTGATCGCAAACACGGAGTGTCCTGACCCAGATCGTTTCCTGCAGACACCTCATGTCGCCGACCGAACGCCTGAGCCGTTTAGCCAAGACACAGACCGAGGAAGACTCGATGATGTCTTTCAAGGCCATGACACTGGACGAGATGGGACAGACTCCCATCACGTTTGGCAAAGCTCATGTGGGCAAGAATTTCATGGAAATTTGGACTGTGGAAAAACAATGGCTGATGTGGTTCACCAAGACCTACGCCTCATCGAGCAAAACAGATCACATGAAGCTGTTGCACTACACGGAGTTAATGGTGAGCCAAGCCGAGACAGAAGCCGAGAGCGATCAACAGCAAATGCCACTGATGCAGCCGCACCCCAAGCCCAAAGCCAAAGGCAAAGCATCCAATCCGCCGGAGATTCCGATGCCAGAGATGTTCGAGGCAGAACCATGGATGGAATCCGAACTGGTGTATGTGCCGCCAAGCCTCCAACAGAGGAGCTCACAGTGCTGCAGGATCGCATGTCAAGTCTGGAGGGAGCCATGACCGAGATCCTCAATCACCTTCGCCAAGGATGAATGCTGAGCACTGGGCCCAAGGTTTGAAACTTGCAGGAGATGTTGACGCCGATGAATCTCACATTCATTTCACATGCCAATCCGAACTTCAAATTTCATTTCAAGAACTTGTCAAACAAATCACGAAGGAATTTCAGATTGTAGAACAGACAACACCAGATCAGCGTCGACAGAGACTTCACCTACTAGAAGTGTTCTGCAGTTCCAAGAGCGAGCTCACCAAACAAGCCACCAACATGGGATATCGTGCCAAACGTTTTGGATTTCAAGAGGGAGACCTTTCGTGTCCTGAGGGGAGAAGAAAACTGTTTCAAATTGTTTGCCAAGAAACGCCCAAGAACGTGTGGTATAGTCCAACTTGTGGACCATGGAGCTCGTGGAACAATCTGAATGCAAGCCGCTCGGTTGAGGCTTTTGATCAGATACACCAGCAGAGAGTACAGCACTTGTACCAGCTAGCAATGGGAATTGTTCTTTGCCGTGTACAGGTTGCAAGAAAGCAACATTTTCACTGGGAACAGCCACGTAGATCACTGATGTTCAGGACTCCTCTACTGCGTGAAGTGTATGATCACACTGCGAGTGCCACATTTGATATGTGCAAGGTTGGACAGCTCCGGGATCCAGAAAACCAATTCTTGATTCAAAAGGGGTTAGAAGTTCGTACCACGTCACATGAGCTATACAGTCAACTACATGGTAGGTACTGCAATCATGATCATCAACATCAAGTCCTGGAAGGAACAGTAGTCCACAATGGTATCCGAAAGAATCGTACTGAGTTCTCTGAACTGTATCCCAGGAAATTTGCCAGGTATGTGTCCAAAATCCTATGCAAAGCAAAGACCAGTCCATGCCATAGTCATACGGTTTTGGATCTGTCCAATACGTTTGCAACAACCACCAAGCGGCAATCAATGACCAGCCAAAACGCTGGTGCACGAGATTCCAAGAGAATCAAGGTTCAACATGCGAAACTGATCGAACCCTGTCAGATGCCCAAGAAGCGAAGGAGACTGAACAGACCCACCCCCGATGATCAGGGTAATAAAGATCTCAGTAAGGACATCGTGGAGAAGGTAAAGGGGATTCTTCCAAGAGTAGGGAAAACGGAAATTCATGACTCAGACGTCATTGCCAACCTGCAGAAACTGTTTGATGACAAGAAAGTGGTTCGGGTCATAGCATGCAAAGGGACAGAACGCACCATCCCTCCTCCACAGGGCCTACTTGCCGAAGAAGCACCATTCCGTAGAGCACTGATTGTACAGAGAGGTGATCACCAAATCAAGGTTGAGGACCAGTGGGAGGAATGGGGCGAGCTTGCCCAAAGGCAACTGGTGAGAAGCCTTGTCCCGTGCCATGTAAATATAACAGTTTTCGCATGCAATCCATCCGTAGACCCTGTCAGACCTGTCAGCAACCAATTCACGGAGAACCTGCAATCCCCGGTCTCGGACAGACCAATGCATGCACCAGGTATCTCTGTCAATACACCGCTGCCAGCCGAAAGGACACTTGACGCGTCAGCCGACATGGGTTCCTCAAAAGGAAGTGACAGTTTTCCAGAAGTGACAGAAAGTGTTGATCTTGATAACCAAGATAAATATCAAGGTCCTCGATTCAATGCACTCTCAAGTGAAGAACGCAAACTTCTGTTGAGACTTCATAGAAACTTGGGGCACCCATCAAGCCAAGTGTTGTCACAAGTGCTACGCAACCAAGGGTATCCTAGCCACATGATCCAAGGGCTGCACGACATGACATGTTCGACTGGCAAGCAGCACCAGAATCCCAAAATCCAAAGACCAGCAACCTTGAAGCAAGAGCTGGATTTCGGTGACAAAGTATCAGTAGATGGAACACGTGGACCAACGAGAATGGTAAGACATTCCATTACTAACACTTTTTGGATCATGGCACCAATTACCACACTGCGGTAATTGCACCGAATCGAACGACCGAGAAGGCCATTGAAAAGCTGACAATAGGATGGCTTTCATGGGCAGGACCACCAAATGAGTTCATCGCCGATTCTGCAACTGAGTTCAACAATGAAGTGTTCGGGAAGTTTCTGCAACAGTTCAATACCAAGGGTATCATAATTCCCCCTGAAGCGCACTGGCAATTATCCAAATCTGAAAGACACGGGGATATCCTACAACACATGCTGACCAAGTTTGAGGACGATTTTCCCATTGAGACCTACGCTGATTTGCAGAATGCCCTGACCAAGAGCACTTCCGCCAAGAATGCCTGCAGCCTCCGCCATGGGTTCTCACCAGAGGTGCTGGTGTTTGGTAAAGGCATAAAGGTTCCAGGTTCGGTAACTAGCGATGATGAACTCCCAGCTCATATCCTTGCAAATGAAGAAAGTGGACATGGGCTCAGGTTCAGAACCCAGCTGGCCATGCGTGAAAGTGCCCGAAAAGCATTTTACTCAGCAGACAACAGTGCTGCACTTCGCAGAGCAGCTTTGCGAAGAGATCGACCAGACAGGGGAAATTATCAACCAGGAGAGTGGATCATGTTTTGGAGGTCAAATGAAAATCAAAAGGGGTGGGTAGGACCAGCCAAAGTGGTTCAACAAGATGGTCGATCCTCAGTCTTTTGCTTGTACCTGGGAAATCTCATCAGAGCCGCTCCAGAGCACATTCGGCCAGTGAGTGCAGTCGAAGCACAGCTCATAAAAGATCCACATCCAGAAGTATCCGACATGCTTCAGGAATCATCCAGAACAGAGCACAGGGAAAACCATACAATGACACCAATTTCCATTCCCACGAGTCAAGAAGTGCAACCGACAGTTTCAACAGCAGATCAACAAAACCCAGTGACCATACCAACAACACAAAGTGAATCTAGCCAACAACCAGATCAAGAACCTGAAATGGAAAATACACCAACTGAGAACATTCATCAAGAGCTCAGAAATGCTATTGAAACACCTGTGCCAGAGACGGATGATGAACTGCTGTGTGATCATTTGATCTGCACCGATGCCGAGACGTTCCTGACTTGCGAAGCTGAAGAGAACCTTGCCTGGCGTTTAGAGCTGAACGTGCCCACTGAATACCAAGAGACAACATCAATTCCAATCGATGACATAATACTCCTTGCCACCAACCAAAAGAAACAACGAACAGAAGTAAAACTCAGCCAACTCACCCCGGAAGAACGCGAAGAGTTCGAAAAGGCCAAAACGACAGAAGTCAACAATTGGTTGCAAACGGGAACCGTTTGCAAAGCACTGCGGTCAAGCCTATCTCCAGAGCAAGTATTGAGATGCAGATGGATTCATGTCTGGAAACCAATTGAAGACAAAGCTGAACAAGAAAAACAGAACAAAACACGAAAGGCAAAATCCAGACTGGTGGTGTTGGGTTACATGGACCCAGAACTAGAGACAATACCACGGGATAGTCCAACACTAGGCCGCCAGTCCAGAATGCTTATCCTCCAATTGATTTCATCAATGAAATGGATCCTGACTTCGTTTGACATAAAGGCAGCATTCCTCCAAGGGAAAACTCAGGAGGGCCGGAAAATTGGTTTGGAACCTGTCCCTGAACTAGCAAGAGCAATGAAGCTCAAGGAAAACGAAATATGCCGACTTGAGAAATCAGCATATGGTCTCATAGATGCCCCATTCTTATGGTTTCAAGAATTGGATCGCACCCTGAGAAAACTTTCCTTTGTGCCTTCACCATTTGACCCATGCGTATATCTCTTATGCAAAAGTGGTTCTGAGACACCATCTGGGATCATAGGGATGTCGATGATGGTCTCTGCGGCGGAGATGGATATTTCATGGAACAACTGAACAAACTAGAGAAAACCTTTTCCTTTGGATCCAAAAGATCTCAAAATTTTGTCTTCACAGGGATTGAGAGGACCCAACTACAAGACAGCACGATCGTACTTTCCCAAGAAAAATATGTGACAAAAATTGAGCCAATCCATATCCAAAGTGAACGAAAGGTACAACCTGAACTTTCCATCAATGCAGAAGAAAAGTTGGCTCTTCGGGCCATCATAGGTTCGCTCCAATACGCTGCAGTCAACACACGACCTGACCTATCAAGCCGATTGAGCCATTTGCAAAGTGCAATCAACACCGCCACCATCAATACACTGATTGAAGCAAACAAGACCTTACACGAAGCCAAACGTCACAAAGACACAAAAATCAAAATTCAGCCAATTTCCATTCAACAGCTCAGGTTCCTTGCGTTTTCAGATGCATCATTCTCATCACCAAAACAACCAGACTCACATTCAGGATCAATCATCATGGCCACTCACTCCAATATCACCCAAAACTACTCATGCCCAGTCAATGCCATCAGCTGGGGATGCAAAAAGATACAGAAAGTAGTCGTGAGCACACTTTCCGCCGAGACGATGTCCCTAAATGCAACACTGGATCAGCTATCATGGATTCGCCTTTTTTGGGGTTGGCTACTTAATCCAAATCTCAATTGGAAACGTCCAAAGGAAACTTTGAATAACCTCCCAACTACAATCGCAGCTCCCACATTTAAACCCATAGAACCCTCAATTGCAGTTACTGATTGTAAATCACTTTATGATCTTGTAACTCGTACAGAACCACCAAGTTGCCAGGAGTACAGAACACAGTTGTTGGCAAGATCCATAAAGGATCTCCTCAGTGAAGGCATAACGCTCAGGTGGGTTCACAGCGGTGCACAATTGGCAGACGCCCTGACCAAAGTGATGCAAGCCACTTTCCTGCGTCAAACGCTGGAACTGGGAACCTACAAACTCCATGATGAACATGCCATTCTCAAAGATCGGGCTTCAGCTCGCAGCCGGATGCAATGGTTGCAGTCAAGTGCGTCCGAGGCAGAAAAGACATGATGTTGAAGTTTTGGGAGTGTGAATTGTACAGATATCCAAAGGGGTTCCCAGGTCCTTTCAGTCAAACACTGCCTTCCAGTGAACCGCCATCCTTCAGGGCACAGCCAATTCATGCCGCAGACACATATGGGCTGAGGCAGCCCTTGGGCAGGCGGGAGGGCTTGTGCTTGAGCCATTTGCATTGCCGTGGACGGCATAGCTGGTGAAGCTCATTTGGAGCTTGGTTTGGCAAAGCTCACCAGAGCTTGGAAACAACATTGCTCACCCGAGCATCCAAACCGAAGACCTTGGTCTGGCGTGGTGAAAAAGGGATTGGCCGATCCTTTTGGTGCTGGACGCTTTTGTGAAGGGTTCTGCAACAGGCTGCCATTGTGACACCAATCACAATATATATATATATATTAAATTATACATACTAGTATACATACATATGACTACTGAATATGCGCATCTTTTCTCCGTACAGGCGCGTGCCAGATTTTTCATGCCCAATTTTCTTGGACTTGAATGTGCTTGATGGTTAGTTGACTGAAGCAGCAAAACGGGAATAAAACCATCCTTTCATCGTGCTTTCCACATGTTTTAGGTGAGTTGCAGGGCTTCATTTTGGTTACATGCACACTTAAAATGGATGTCAATTGGCCAGATATTTGATGATTTTTTGATGATGCTTGGTCCCTTTGCCCAAATCAAACCATATCAACATACCCTAGACTGGCCATAAGTTTGAAATGTTTCAGGGAACATGTCGAGGAACCCTTGTATTTCATAGGGAAAACATGAGAAACCCCACCCACCCCGTGGGTTTCGGTGCCCAGGAGCAGGCCCTCCGCAGCAAGGGCATCGAGGCCGCGACGGTGCTGGGCACAGGAGCTCTGAAGCGACTGAGACATGGCGATGTGCGGCCGGAGGTGACGGAGATTTTGTCGCAGATCAAGATGGAGATGAAGTGTGACTTGGAACTTTTTCCAGAGTTTGGCAAAGATTCGATTGAGATTGGGCAGTTGGGCGAAAAATCATGAAACATCCAGAGACATTTGAGTTGGGACTCTAACTTATAGCCTTGTTGGATGGTTCTTGGATTCTGTTACTTTTAAGTGTATCGATGTTTCAACTTGACTATGATTTTCGAGGTTTCTTGGATGGGATGAACATCGTTCCATGGTGCATCCCTTCCCAGGTGAACCTGTGAGCTTCCGGGGCCTCTTCAAGAAGCCCAACTTGCGCAAACGGGTTCTTCATTGCAAAATAACATATATGTTTTTGCTTGGTGCTCCATGTCCATAAACATAATATATGTACATGTAGAATCATGTAGATATGTCCTGTCCATAAACATAGTAATACTTAATAATTATTTCCTGTCCATAAACACATATATATATATAACATTATATAACTCTATATATATGTACATATATACTCTAGACTCTAGACTATAAATATATAGGATGATGATCCCAACAAACTGACATCTTTTTTCAGGATATCATGGGACGGTTGAACCCCCCCAAGGTGCTCATCGCTTGCGCGTTGGTGGTTGGACAACAAACCACTGGTGTGAACGCCTTCTTGGGCTATGCGGCAACTTTGTTCAAACACTGTGGCATCGAAGATCCCATCAAATTCAACTCGATCTTCAACAGTGTCTTGGTTACCCTCTGGTAAACGTTTACATAACTATGGAAATTCACCATGCTATTAATGGGAAAACTCACTATTTTGACTGAGCCATTTTCAATAGCTACGTTGAATTAGAGTATGACTATTGACTTTCGAGTGACAAAACAAGTGACTATAAGTTATGAACTAACCAGATCTAGTGACTATAAGTTATGACTCGATTTTCTGTTCGTGAAAAATAGTGTCTGGGCGCTATTTCTTCATGATTGGCATCTGAACATGAGCGACAGACACTGATGTTTTTTTTGCTGATAAGCATGTAATGTTGGCCAATACCACCAGTGGTGACAGGCTGACCGGAGATATCATGTATGGATATATGAAGGACGGTCATACCTCCGTTACGAGTGGTTTATGCTCCGTAAATTTATGTGTTGTGGCTTCAAAATTCCATAATTCCATATAGTTCCATCCTCCACCATTTAGGAGATATCTATAGATATCTTTAATATTCCACCATTTAGGATGATTGTTGGTAAAAACGAGATCCAAGGTATCATGATCTTCGGCTGCGTGGCTGGATTGCTGTTGATCGACTCCAAATACGGGGGCCGTCGCAGCCAGCTGCTGCTGGGGACGTTGATGATGGGCCCACCGCTGGTGGTGGCAGCTGTGGCACTGAAGTTTGGCTGGCCGTGGCTGACCATGTGCACCTGAGCAGTGATCAGAACTGATCCTGGTGGATACTCTCCGGTTAAGATACAAAATGATACACAAAACTATGGAACATCGCCATGTTTCAGAGGTAAATCAACGAGCTAAATGGTATTCAATGGCCATTTTCAACAGCTATGTTAAGTTACCTGGGAGTAGATAAATATCCCATCCTGATGTTAAAACACCTCTGTGCCGTCTAGAGTCTCATTGTATACCCATTCTGGGGGATGGCCCTCCATAACCCATGAATATCATGGCTTTTCCTGTGGCCACTGTTGTTTTTAAACGCGTTGAAAAAAACTACACTTAAGTAAATCTTAATTATCCAAATGAGCCAAGTGTAGGTCACTGGATCTCCCATAATAAATCTCCCCCTATGGATCCGAGGTATGGTGGTGCTCTATGGCGTGGGCTTTCAATTTGCCTGGGGCACTATACCTTGGATATACCCAGCGGAACTCTTTTCCATGTCCGAGAAGGGACTCCTGGATGACTCCGGGGATTTGGGCCTGGCCGGGGATGTTTTCATGTTAGAAGGAGAAGATTCAGCTCAAAATTGGGGAATCCGTATAGGAATCCCATCACCGATATTTCAGACCTTGAGAATTGCCCATCCCAACCACTTCAACCAACCCCCAAAAAAAACCTCCAGGGGCGCACGCACGATCCCAGGATCCGCAGTCTCACTGGCCGTGGGGGTGAACTATGTGGCCAATGCGCTGGTTGTGTACGTGACGCCGAGCTTCATGAGCTGGTCAACGGTAGGGACCTTGCGACTGGGTTTTCGATGTTGAGTGATGATGTGTTTTTTTTTGGGTTGGTGCCCAGAAATTGGGGGAATTCTGTGATGTTTTTGAGTTGATTCCCCCAAAAAAGGTAGGGGAACTTTGGGGCCTCACAGAGTCTGATGATTCTGATTCCCCCGAGTTTATTTAAACAAAAATAGGGATCTTTTAGGGCTATTAAAGGGTAATAATATATTATAATATATCTATAGATGCTGGTGTTTAATATATTATACATATACTAAAGGGTTTATATATACCTGGATTTTTTTAAAATATAGCCAGCACATAGCACATTCCACCACCCAGTGTGCCAGGTTGGTGTTCGGAGCTTTGAATCTGCTGAATGCCATCTTTGTACTTCTGTTCATCAAGGAGACCAAAGGAGTCTCCTTGGAAGTGATCCCCGATCTCTTCGGTGAGCGTCTCGACGAAAGTCTCGAAGCCGAGCCGTGGCCCGGAGCCTATGGAAAGGCGAAAGCCAGGGAAAGGCAAAAAAGGTTGGGAATTTGGCTGGTGAATGGAGGGGATGAACTTGGTTTGATATTGTTGGATGTTAAATGATGTTAAAAATCATTGTTTTCTGTGATTTCCCCCTTAACGCAAGCCGTGGACAAGCTTTCGAGATGGTGTTCACAGATTCTGGGGAAGGTTCGTCTTGAAAACCTTGGAATTCAGTATGAGACAATTTTCTGATAAGTGACCATGTCCATTTTTCTTGACTTGAAACGACGGGATGAAGCAAGGTTGCTTTCCATGACCCGGATGAGGTTGAAGAATCTGGTGAAGAATCTGGTTCAGATTCTGATTCATCATTGTGTAACAATTGGTTCATATGTATAATCGCTTATTAATTAAGCATAGTAATAGCCAACCATGTTAATTAGGCATATTATATATAATTGTTCATCGTGTTCCATTTAAATAGTTTTAAATCTTACCCTCTGGTTCTCTAACATAGCTATGGAAAATCACAATCTTTAATGGGTAAATCGGTAAATCATTTTTTTGATCACCAGAGGGTATATCCACATTTATTCCACTTAAATGATGGAGATCTCAAATGATTTGAAGAATCTGTTTTTTCGAATCTGATTCATCAGAATGTTCCCAAGAAAACAGGTTGGTAAAAAAATCAATCGTTAAAAAATCCCCATTCTCCCCATATACTTTCCAGAACTCCAACTAGCGCACAGCTCGGTGCACACGGACTAGGAGCTGATTGGATTGATGGACCAGGGGTGAGGGATCCTGGGATATCCGGAGATCCTCCGGAGATCGGGAGAGACATGGAGAGACCCGGTAGCTGAGCGAGCACCATGAATTGGGGGATGGTCATAGCTCCCAAAAAAACGGGATGGATCTGGATTTATAGTGGCCAGTATGTCTGCGGATTCCCATGGGATGGATGATCACAATTTTTAAAACTGCCATGGTGAAGGTGGCACCTGTGGTGAAAAAACTTGTTACAACTGGGCAAAATCTGCTTAAAAAAGAAGCAACTGACATGATCTAAAATGTAGTTGTGCCAAGCAAAGCATTTGGGTTTAATCAGGTACCAACCAGGTTTTGAACCATACATGACACATGCACCATGAAAACACGATAGAACAAGCGTTTTGGCCAGATTTGACATCACATCATCCACACTTTGATGGTTCTGTAGCAGGAAACCCTGTGCTCCTTTGGCACCTTTGAGTGGCATGCCACTCATGAAAGAGACCCTTTTCTTCAGTTGGGAAATTCCGTTAGAGAAATTCAGTTTCGGCCAGAGTCAGAGACTTCCCAGAGATCAGTCCATCGACTCAGTCCCCAACGACGGCCCCAACGTGTCAGGCTCCCTTTGGTGGACTTCTTCCTGAGAGTTGGGGGCCCAGTGGGAAAAATTCACCTTTTGGAAAGCCATGGTTTCGATGGGGGGGTCATCATCGAAGTTTCCCTGGTGGATTTAATGAGAACATCATCTAACAATAGAGGTTTCTAGCTGGGAAAATCAGCTATACATGGAGGTTTCATGAGGTTTCTAAGGTTTCACTACGGTTTCTAGCTGGGAACATCATCTGGCTAACCGTAAAAAATATAATAAAATATATAGAAAATAATGGGACATCACCGTAATACATGGAGGTTTTATCATATCTATAAATGCTGGATTTTACATTGCCATCTTGGCTTTTTGTTGGGGAGCCACGGGATCGCAGCGCTGAGGTCCTTGCAATCTTTGACCAAGAGGTGATCAGCGATGAAGTGCAACGGAGCAATGAGGTGACGACGGGCCCCAGTCGATAGCGGCTAGCGTGCGAAGTCAGTTGCCTAAGAAAGTGGCTGAATGAACTATGGCAACTATGGCAACTATGGTAGATACAACAGTTATCTTAGATCTATAGTCTATAGATATCTATAGTGTCCTCTAGTTGATGTTTTTTTTTAACCAACATTCACATCAGTGCGGGTCTCACCAACGGTTTAAGCATGATTTGGCATCAGACACATTTGAAAAAATGGGTTCGGCTCAGCCATGGAATGATATGGTGATATCGGGAATGGGGGTATCTGATGAAGATGTAACCTCTGGTAAACGTTAACAAAAAACTATGGAAAATCACAATTTTTAATGGGAAAATCCACTATAAATGGCCATTTTCAATAGCTATGTTAGTTTACCAGAGGGTATATCAAACCATGGAATGATATGGAAGGTGTTTCACCCGCAAAAGATGAATGGGAATTTTGGTCGTAGGGCCTCCGAAGCAACCCTTGACCCTGCCATGATCTATTGGGATCGAAAGACAGTTTTCCAAAATTGGGATGAGCTATTCACATCTATTCTCAGGGTCTATGTCAGTTGCGTCATCTTTCAATAGTCGGGTTCAACCACAAACAAACCCAAAACATGGTTTAACCATCAAACAACACTGGATAAGGGGTCACCATTTTTTTGGAATGATGTTCCATGATGATCTCTATACAGATACATGCACAACGTATGAATCATATATTCTTCAATTTATGGATGTTGGTTTATAAACCTCATTAACTATAGGATACTATGGGATTAAATGACCAGAAACCATAGTTAACCCATGTTAACCAATAGTTATGCTATTATAAACCAACTTTGCTATCTTTAGCCTCTCTATATCAATCTTTTTCAACGCCAGGATCGCCAAAGAAGTGGGGGGAACCCAGACTGTCAGCAACAGCTGAGCCCTTGGGGAAGAACCTCAGTTGTCACATAGCTACTGTGTTTGATTATATGGTGGGTAAAACAATGTCATAAACTTTCATAAACCATCCCCCAAATCACCATGTTTATAGGTGGTATGCTTACCATTCCCAAATCATTGTGGTTTATGGTACCCGCATTATGAATATAACATATACACAGATCTATACAGATCTCATGAACATTTCTTTGTTCAAAGCTTTGTTCTACCCTCTGGTAAATAAACATAGACCCTGAAAATAACCTATTTTTAATGGAAACTAGTCTTCCAACCCCTATCTGCCAGGGTCTATGTTAATTTACTGGAGGGTAAATAGAGGCAAATCTTCCAAGCAGAGACCTTTTCTCCAAGCATTTTGTGATGCTTTTGTGCTGAATGACGCCATCAAGGTCATCAAATCAAGCATGCCATGCGCGAACGTCACTTGGATGAAGTTTTTACCGCTGCCGGTGTATCTAAAAACCGACCATGGCATTATATGGCATAGACATCTTCTTGATGTCTTTTTGGGCAACATCAATTTTCGTATTAAAACATAATCAGCAATTTTCCGTGTCGATGATCTTTGGAGAACGTGGACATGAACTAAAAAAACCATTTCCAAGGAAATTTCTATCCAAAGCCTCAACAAAAACATCAGTAATCCAAAATCTTAGGAGAATCCTAAACCAGAGAAATTGGTAGGTAAACCTTTGGATAAACCAGAACATTTCCATCCATATTTCTATCCAAAAAAAATCACTAATCCGAAAAACAACATCAAATTATAATCACTAATCCAAAAAAAAATCACTAATCCATAATTTAGGATTTCCATCCACTCAGATTATTTCGAGCAAACAAAAACTTCGAAACCGAAGCAAACAAGACCGAGGTGATGTGGTGGCCTTGGTGGAGTGCTGGTACCGGCACGGCGACCCATATGGGGCTTTCTTAAAAAAACGGGGTCAACATCGAGAGTGAACCATCTACTGTATTTTCTCTGGTTGGTGGTTTGGAACATTATATTATAAGTTTCCATATATTGGGAATTTCATAGTCCCAACTGACTTTCATATTAGAGGGGTAGGCTCAAAACCACCAACCAGTTCTGTTATTGTCTGATTTCGTCTGTTTAAACCAATCCGAATTTTGGAACATTGCTGAAGCAATATGTTCACTGGCCATGAAACTTCTGCAATGGTGCCACCGTGATCGAATCGCGGGAGTGTTGGTCTCTTGTTCCAGTAACAGAAAAGTTTCCAGTCTGAGGAACAAACACACACACATATATATAATATATATATAATATATTATATTATATTATATTACATATTATATATATTTTATATTATACATATATATATATATATTATTATAGATGAGATTCATAGGGCTTTTTTGGGGTGAATGATGGTGAATGGCATTTGAACCGTGTTCAGAAAGGTCAAACTTGAATTTCAGCTCAGGATATTGACCACCCTGGGCACTTCGGCCTGCCGCCTCAGTCGTGCGGCGACCTCCCCATCAACAAAAAAAACCATTTTGGTGTACCCTCTGGTAAACTAACATAACTATGGAAAGATCCACCATGTTTAATGGGAAAATTCATTATTTCTATGGCCATTTTCAATAGCTATGTTAAATTACCAGAGGGTATGGTGTATAAAGTTCACCAGAAATGGTATAGGATAACGAGTACATGGATGGGATAAGTGGCTGAATGAACTATGAGTACTATGGTTTATGGTGATAAGGAAGGAACGTATATCTAGTATTCCTGTTTTTTTTAAAACCAACATTCACATCACTGGGCGGCACCATCCTGTACATGGGTAAGGTTTAATAGATAATGGGCTGACATGATGCTTTATGGACATGGCCCCTGCTGGATAACCTGCAGAACACAAGGGGTTTGTCCGATCACCATCCAATGTTGTTTTCATGCGGTTTCCAAATGTTGGGAAAATCAACACAGTGGTTTTTTGATAGTTGAATGTTCAGAGTTGGTCATTTTCCCTCCAATTCTGAATGAACACTGCTCTGTCATAGCATTTCGTGAAGGTGATGGAACCAACTTCACCCAATTTCACGTTCCACAGCGAACATGGCCATTTTAGTTCGATGACGATGGAGATTTTCCTGTGAACTGTGACAGATTCCCAGAATGCAACCCTCCAAAGAACCATCAACCCCGCGAACTCCACATGATTATAGATGTATCAAATGTATCTACCATGATTATAGATGTATCTACCATCATCGTAGATCTATCTGTATCTACTCCAGATGATAAAAAAGAGTACGATTCGATGTACCATGATTCAATCAGATGGCATCTGCCATGATTTCCCTCGCTGAAACTCCATTTTGGGTCCCCGGGTCCCGAGGCCCCCCAGCTGGTCTCCGATTGTTTGTTGGGGCCGCTCAGAGGATGCGCGAAGCGAAGCGCCAGTGGCCGCTTAAAGGAAGCAAGGCTGTAAGCCAGTGACATGATGGTTATAGAATGATGGTTAATGATGATTGATAATGGTTGAGTTATATAATGGTTAGTCATGGTTAATAGAGGATGATGATGGTTAATGATGGTTAATGATGGTTAATGATGGTTAATGATGGTTAATGATGGTTAATGATGGTTGACGATGGTTAATGATTGTTAGTGGTTGATAAACGATGATTTTCATGGCTGCTAATGGTTATATGGGGGTTTCTGCAGTCATGACTGGCTGATTTGGGCACCGTTTTTTGGTTGGCACCCCCTACATATATAAGGGGTATGATGGGATATAGGGGATAGTCCCAGTTAGTGGATTTAAATAATTTAAATGTGTTTGTTTCAAAACATTGAAATCCACTAACTGGGACTATATCCCATCATATCCCGTATATATTTTTGTTTACTGGATTTTGATGTTTTTCTGGGGTGCTGTTGCACTTTTTTGTTTAAAGCAAATCGGCACATGACCATGATCATAGGGGGTACCCATCCCAACTGATGGGATACAGTTATACTATTCACCAGTTTATACACTTATGGGGTGTACTGTCTGTGTACATATCTATTATTCAATTTATACAGTTCTGGGGTGTACTTGGTGATATGTATTCTATGTCATGTTATACTGTTATACTCATAAAATCTCATAAACATCACCCCAACTGCACCAAGTGTGGCATGCTCAACCCGGTTTTTCGCTCACCGTTCGTGCAAGGAAGGTGACCTCCCTCTATGTCGTGTGGGTGGGGGCCTAGTGTCAGGGGATGCCCGATACCACTGAGAAGTCCAGCCCAAGGTTTTTTTGCTGTGCAAGATATCTCCACATTTCTGGATCTGGATTCGAAGGATTGGAGCAGAAGGGTTCGCCATTTCATGAGCAACTATCTTCCATCTCAGCGATGTTGTAGAGTTTCATCATTCAGAAATCCTAGCCAGTCCCTAGCTGCTCTAGCTCAATCCCAGATCAAGAAGCCTGAACATGCTGAACATAATTCAACGATGCATCTGGCCGATGAGCCTCTTCTGTGGCTGAAAAAATGACTGTGAAGCGCCACTCTTGGGTGTGGCTTACCGTGCCCAGATTGAGATTTTGACTGTGGCGAATGACAAGTTTCTGAGCGCAAACCTCAGAGTCAACACTAAAAACTCATCATTTGTCAAAGGGAGATACTGGGGCTATGGGGAGCTATTTCTCCCAGCTCTTATCGTCTCGAGGTTTCGCCCGATCTACAGGTCATTCATCATTTTCCAGATTCTTTATTGACCGTTTTGGATCCT